TGGCAGGTTTCCAGGTTGCTTCGGCTGAATTGTCCTTCCAATTTGCATGGAATCTCCTAGGTGAAGCTCTATTGGTTTTACAGGAGTTCTGTAATATTACATAGAAGTACAATACCACGAGAACAGGGATGATATAGAGGATAACTGTATATGGTATAGCGTGTTTCATGATAAGTCTGGGAAACAAACCAAGAGTATTGAGGGGTCAAGCTGATTTCGGGAACTACTGTATGCGAAGAAATCCCTTCAAAGAAATATTCATGGCGGTGGCCGAACAGCCTGCTCAGCTGGCTATCATTAAGCTGCTCCTGGAGTGGGGCGGGTTCGATGTCCGAACGCAGGATATTGATGGAAATACCGCGTTATATTACTTGGCGGCGACTTTGGCTATTGGTTCCGAGACTGTAAAAGTATTGCGAGCAATGAATGGTGGCAAGGAAGTCTGGCAGAGCTCGAGAAACCGGTGTGGCCTGACGCCAAAGCAGTTGATGGAGGAATGATAGTTGCATACAACAGCTCAGTAGCAGGGATGATTGTTTGCATCAATTCTTTGGTGTGATAAGGATCTATAGAGCGATTTAGTCTCCCACAAAATCCAGATCGTGGTTCTTGCCAGTCTTTTCAAATTTACCAACAGTAATCGCAGTATGGTCAAACCCGTACTTTTTCTGAGTATTCTTCATTTGTATCTTTGCAGGCGTATCAGTTGCAGCCGAGGAGCCCGGCTCACTTTTTGTCCAGGTGACCTGGATTGCGTACTGCTTGCCCGCCTGGAGTTTGCTCTTGCCCATATCCTTCTGCATCTATTGTGAACATTAGGTCTCTTTAGGAGGGACGCGCTTTTCCAGGCCGCCGGCCAACTCGGTAATATTGCTGCTGACGTCCGTAGAGGATTCTTGGATGCAGTTTGGTATGGCAATGGGACTGTTGTGAGCTTAGGATACAGTCGATCGCCCTAATCGACATACTGACGATCAATTGAACAGTGCCAGCCACTAAGTACTAAGGCTCACTTCAGTGCTCGCAGCGATGCAGAAGCTGTTGCATAAGCACTCGACACCTGCTACATATCACACACCCCCGAGGAAACACAATGAATGCTTATACACTTTTGGTCAAAGGAACCGCATGCAGAGGCCGCGTTAGGCTCACAAGGCTGATACCCAGTGTCAATTAGTTTGAGCCCCTGGATTGCTGGTGATAGGGCCATCGCTTATCACAGAAAGAAAAATAAAGCCTGTGTGAATGAAGTTATGTGTGTTAGGAGCCCGTAATATAGCAGGTGCTAACCCTGTTCTTTTTTTAGAGTGGGTAGGTGACAGCCCGGAAGATCGCCGCATAAATCTTTAAAAGGATCAGTTTTCCAGCCTCTTTTGGTCATTATAATCAGCCCTGCTCTACTTCTCACAATATTCTTTTTATTTCTTACTATAGAAAATAGACGACATGGAAAAGTGGTACGAGCATGTTGACGAGCTGGCCGCCGAAGGCTTACTGACCCACAATGCCATTTTGAACACACTCAGTGAAAGAACTTTTCGAATAGGATGTGTTGAAGAAAGAAACAGAGGCGCCACACCTTCGCCAGACCTTCAATTCTCTTACTAGGGATGAAAGCGGCACGAAAAAACTCACAGCCTGCATTCCTATCCTTTCTCGATCTCCGGCTTTCTCCCACCATCCCTTAGAGACGCGGGTGCCCTCGTATACTGCAGTCTTCTATATTTATCCCAATATCCATTTTATTTACCTATCCCTGATGCCCTCACTAATGAAGGGCCCATGCGCGCGCTGGCATGGGCCATGCCCGGCAGATCAAAGCTCTCTATGATGAAGGCCACGACAGTCGGGCCAGATCACCGGCTGACTTTTGAAGGCAGCCCTTCCAGAGCTTTGCAACTACCAGAGATGGCAAGTCTATTCTGTTTGATGCAGTGCATGCGAAGGAGTAAGCGGGACGAAGGGCTTTTGATTTCATAGGCGTCGACTGTGCACACATTCGTCATAAATTTGCTGCTACAAACTACGATGACGATGACTATGAGATGTTCCATGATATTCTTGATGTGCTGTACGGTGTGCAGCCCACGGAGATTGGGTGGAAATACCCTCCCTGAGACTCCTTCCGGCCAGTAGGGAGGAAGCTGGTAGGGGATGAACGCGAACTCGTCCATCATCTCAGTATCCCTCAAGATAAATTTCAAGCCGTTGTAAAGCTGCTGGTGACTACTTATTTTGGAAAGCCTAAAGTCCCGGTCGAGCACCTAGCTGACTTGGACCATGCTGTGGACTGCATCGTCTGCCCTGTTATTCAGAGGCCCGGCATTAGTATTACCTAGGACATGTTTGAACAGGCTGTTGGTAACGGAGGGGTAAGCCTAGTAATTTTTCATCTTTCCTATAATGTCCAAGTACTGACTGGATCAGCCGCTGCTTATGGGTGGCCTTCAGCGTCTCTTGGAGCCGTTCTACAAAACCTCGAGGATAACGAAACCACCGTCGACCTTCCTTAGCCAGGAAAGGTGGCCACCCTGCCTGTTTTGGCACAGATGAACTCTGTTGGCGTCTTTTCATGGTACTGCGTCTGTATCAAACCACCCAAGACCTACGACGTCAGTGACGCGACCGTCAAGGCTTCAGTCCTAGGAGATGATCTAGACGCATTGCCCGCCGCTGCAATTGCCCTTCTCGTCTTAGGAAGGAGTTTGCAGACCGGAGAGAAGCTCGTGTTTGGCTACTATATACCTGATCCTGAACTCGAGAGAGCAAAAGCTCCTGTTTCAACTCAGTCCAATTCAGCACGCTCTTCGTGGCAATACCACCCGGCCTGGTCGTGAGATTGACGGAGACGAGTTGGTATTCGGACAGAAAGGGAAATGGTGTTGCACTAGTGCTGCAACAGGACTTGAAGAAGGCATTTGTGTTTCATAGTGTCTCTGGACAACATGGCCCGATGTATCCTGCTATTGCGTGGAGAGGGGATTAGCAAGTCGAGGTCGAGGTGGAAGATATTGAGATGTGGACCGAGCAGCAACCTGAATATGACTATGAAGAGGGAAAGAAAGAGGAAAGATTTGGTGTATAATACCTTTTTTTTTTTTTTTTTTTTTTCCTCTAGCCTCTTCTGAAATACATCAATACAAATATTCCCCAGTCAAGATAGAAATTAAATACTGGAAACAGCCAGCCAGAAATTGTGGCTTTTTCTTCAAGTTGACAAGCGTTTTCTAACAAGATTGTATATGATCGTACTTCTACTGTACATAGGAAGCCCACCAATGTACATGCAACCTATCCAATATCATCCCAGCAATCAATATCAAGATCTAGGCATATGCCAAGGCTCTTCAGAAGAGGCTGACCCGTCTCAAGGTACGTCTTAAGATTAGACAAAATTGCTGCCATCCCTCCGAAGTGAGATCACGCTCTCGCTCATCAGCAACAGTATCATGGACCGAGACTCCCATGACCGAAGAAAGCTATCTTGACTGTCGTAGGCCCATAAGGACGCTTTCCATCGGGGCAGTCCAAGCGGAAACAAGACGCCCGGGAAGAGTACTCTCGATAACAGTTCCTTCGAGATCGGATCTGTCATTCCCATCCATTCACTGATGAGTTCATGATGAACCAAACGTTGTCCCGGAAATTGGAGGATCTTTTTGGGTTAGTTACAGCGTCCCATGCCTCCTCTGGGGATGCGTTGATATAGATTGTTTGACAGTGTGAAGGGCAGTCTATCGGCTTTCAAGCATGTTGAGCCCGATGTGAAGAACCAGTGAATGCACTGGGAAGTTTTAACATTGGGAAAATCCTTATGGTTCATGTTCCATGGTCCCGTTTTGTATCATTCAGATTCATGTCCGGAAACGCAAGAAAAGAGTTATGCTGACAGGTAAAGTGGATATCAAATGGCCTTTGAGATAATGGTTTGTGCCCGATCCATGTCGCCCACGGTGGAAGAAGATAAGACTCCCCCAAAAGTTGAATGCGAAATATATGGACCAAGATGTAAAGTAGGAAGATATTGGATGCCGTAGTATACCTACCAAGGCATTTCTTATGAGTGTGCAGAAAATGTTAGCACTATTAATGAGAGAGATGTAAAAAGGAAGGATCGATAAGAACCAAGATTATATGAGCACCTGTGACTCTCCTTAGGACGCTTCTCAGTAAACATAGGGCTGATAAAATGTTCCATTCTCCAACTACGTACAAAACCGTCCGAGCTACTTATCAACAAATCAAATGAGTCCCAGTCCCTCCTTCTCATTTTACTCATAAAAGAGATACAACATTTCAAGCATGTTCCTTTTGCTCCACCGTTCCTTCCTTCTTAGCATCACTCTCAAGAATAGCCATCTCGACATTCTCACCCTCCGGTAACCGCTTAGCCATCGATACTATCTGCCATGCCGACGGCGCGTCCTGGAACACATGATTCAGCGCCTCGAGATTGCGATTCATAGTTTCCGGGAAAAAGAAATAAACAGATATCGGGATGCATGCTGAAATGACGGTATACATGATATAGTACTGGTATCCGATTGTCGTAAGAGCCACGGGAGTAATCATCACCACGATGAAGTTCCACAGCCAGTGATTCGCGGTTGAAATGGATGACATGGCAGCGCGAAGCTGGATCGGAGCTACTTCGGTACAGTAGAGGAAATTGGCGCCTGAGAAACCGATCGGATAGAACGAGTTGAACAGGAAGATGAAAATGACGGAGGCAATGTTGGCTTTTGAGCTGTTTTCAAAGCTATTGGTGATGGCCATTGCCGCCATGCAAAGACACATGCCGACACTGCTGCAGATAAACACGGCACGTCGTCCGAGGGAGTCGATGGTGAAAAAGGCGACGAAGCTGCAGAGGAATTTCCACGTCAGGGCACACGCGGACAGAACCGTGCCGAGATCTTTGCCCAGGTTCAGACCTTCGAACAAGCTTGATGCGTAAACTGAGATTAGATTTCCACCGCACATTTGTTGGAAGAATTGCACTGCAATACACAGGCAGAATTGGTACCACAAGCGGCCTTCGCTCTTTCTGGAGAAGATATCCTTGAGTGATGCTGATCCTCTTGTCAGCTCAAGGGATGCTTCAATTCCTGCAATCTCGGTTCTTATCGCTTCGTCTTCCACGGGAAGGCCTCTGTATTGTGCCAAGCTTGTCTTTGCCTCCTCAACTCTGTTGGCGATGATGAGCCACCGTGGGGATTCCGGAAAAGCAAAGACAAAAAATATAATCATCAGTGACCAGAGGAAGGAAATTGCTAGTGGAACCCGCCATTGAATATTTCCATTGGCCTTGCTCAGACCAAAGTCGATCCAATTGCATAGGGTATAGCCGAAAGTTATAAATGACCCATCCAACACAACATGCTTACCGCGCTTACTGGCAGGCGAGCACTCAGATTGCCAGACCGGTACCGTAACGTTGAATTGGCCAATGCTCATTCCAAGAATAATGCGGCCAATGACAAATTGGACAAGGCTGTATGTTGCAGTTTGCAACACCTGACCGATAACGCTGAGGCTAGCCGCGATGAAGATGGTCCAGCGACGGCCCAATCTGTCACCGAGATATGTGCACGTAAGTGCCCCAATAAGAGCACCAACTTGAAATGAAGCAATAACGGTACCCTTGTAGGTTGAATTTCGTGATTCGAGCTCGCCGGACGTGTTGATAGTATCTAGGTCTGGAAATATGCTGACCCAGCTCTGCAGGTTGGCTAAAGGGCCGAGACCGGCCTGGTTGTAGCCGAAGAGAATGAAGGATGGTGCAACGATGAGGCCGGTTTGGGCCATCTGGAGCCCGCGTGCTCCACACTTCTCGAACATCTTTGCAATTGAGGACGGAATAGAACAGCGTCGTTGTGAATGTTTACAGTTCTTCCGAGGAGGGAGGGTCTTGAGGGTCGACTTTTTTAAAGGCACAGCGTCGGGGTCACATCCCTAGACTTTCAGCACAGCGGCAGTGTGGGAAATATAGGGAACCCCGCGGTCAAGAATAGCCAAGTCTAGAATGGTACATCGGTCAATGGACTAGCTGGAGAAGAGGGGAAGCCATTAGTTGGTAACGACCTCGGTATCGGCGAATTGACTGGTATAAAGCCTATGTGGATTACTTCAAGTCAAAGCACCGGTGTTGTCTCTGTTAGCCGAGAGACAGCGAGAAAGAAATGGAAACAAAAATAGTATCTCCACGTAATGATTATGACTTATAAAGTGATTCAGACGGCATTTATTTTATATTTCCAACAAAAAAATTAAAAATAAAAATAAAAGCCATGCACATAATTAATTTTGGCATACTGTCTAGGTCTAGATCTTCGCCATTGGCCGGTATCCAGACGCTGCATCCTCAGGAAGATCAACTCCCCACACAATACGGCAATCCCAATTAGTCCTTTGAGCATTACGCTCATTCTTGCCTGCCTCCCGGGGGGCTAATCTCCAATACGTATGAGTAATAGCCGGGAACGCAAATTCATCCGGAAAGCCTTCACCCTCCAAGATCCATCTTCTCGCAACTTCATGAGCGGTCGTATCACCATCCCTCTCTGCATCAGAAGCAAGTAGTATGCAGCTAATTAGCCAGGCTAGGGTAAACATGACTTGGCGGCCTTCTGCCAGGGTTGTTTCCAGACCACCCGGAGTCACAGCGACATGCAACTTCGCATACAATGCCTCCCAAGCACTCAGCAGGGTGCGTTTGTACGAGTCGTGGAGGTTGTCAATTGCGTCACGAATCCAAGTGCCAAAAGACTTCAGGTTCTCGCCGTGGGTAAGATGTCGAACGGTCTCGCTTGCGAGGACATTGGTGGTTCCCTCCCAGACGGAATTGCTGGCAGTGTCTCTCCAGAGACGACTCACGTTAAACTCTGGCTCTTCTGGTTCATCTTTCTTATGTTAGTTGACATGTTACATTTGAATTGAGTAATGGAAACTCACCCATATATCCAACACCACCCATAGCCTCCTGGCATTCCTGGAATGATAACGTAGCTGACTTGCAAATCACAGCCTTAGCAGTCGATGTCAACGCTCTGAGGACCAGAGTAGTCAACTTCGGAGACTTGGCAAGTAACGCATAATGCCTAGGCACGGAATCTGGGAACCCATAGTCACTATAGCTCAGCAACGATGTAGTGAAAAATGCCAACTGCATCCACCCTCGATGCTTCACCTCCAATTGCGCCAGCGTGCTGAGATGCATCGGAAACGTCCAAAGCGGCTGGTCAAGAGTTTTCCGCGACAGAGCAAAGGATTTGGAGATCTCAACCGCACGACGCAGACATGATAGCGCAGTAATGAAGTTGTGCGTTCTCGTCACGTTCAACAACATCGCGATAGTTGCGATGCCGCGATCCTTGGGTCCGACCATGTGCGCACGAACGCCCTTCAACTCCAGCTCAGCTGTGGGGAGTTCCTTAGTACCGAATTTCTGCTTCAGTCGATGAATGCGAATTCCATTTGTAACTTCTTTTTCGCTTCCATGTTCTCCGCATACGGTCTTGACTGTAGGAGCGACGAATAGTGAGAGCTGACCCGATTCTGTTTTGGCGAGGATAAATGCGACATTGCAGTCAGTCGCGCTGGAGAAGAACTTGAATCCGAATAGCAAGTAGTCGCCCTCATCGATGCGGCCGAAGCGGCCAGTTTTGGTTGTAAGAGGAGAGTAGACAGCGACTGTTTCACTGTTGCGCACATCGCTGCCGCCAGCTCGTTCGGTCATCCACTGAGCAGAGATCCAAGAATTCTCTCGAGCTGTAAGCTTCGCATACAGCTCATGAAACGGGTGGTCTGCAGGCATCGAATCCAATTGAAATCGAACCAGCCGACAAGCTCCAGAAGTCATAGATACAGGACAAGAGTACGCAGCTGACGAAGCAGAGTAAATATAATTGCTGGAATCATTAGCAGTCTCCCAAGACACAAGAACCAGGGAAGCCCTACAAAGCATGCTGCACAACCCTCCGATGTACCCCAAACTCATCCTCATACCCATGAGCAACAACCCTAACCCCAAATTAGCCTTTACACTAGTAGAATATACCAAAATACCAAATACACACCCATTTGACAGCCCCCACTTCCCGAGCTGCTTCCACCCGTCAGATGTAACCAGCCGATCTCTCTCGGGCCGGGAGCCCCACACATTCCGGGTCTTGACGAACGGCGGCTGCGACTCAGCATTGCGTACCAAGTCGTGCACGCTTTCCGAAATGGCTTCCGCAGCGAAGCGGTGTAGACTGGGTTGGATCTGTGATAGGATATCTGGGGGGAGGTAGGACGATAGGATTCGCTGGTACACGGGATCGGAGGAAAAGGGGTTGGAGAGGGGGGCTGGAGTGAGGAAGTAGCCGAAGTCTGCAGTTGCCATGTTATACTCTGGGATTGCAGGTTTTGAGGGTAATTTGATGCAAACGGTATAATAAGTCAAATTCTCTTAGCATACTTTATATTCCTTGGTCTTCCCCGGGGGGTAAATTGTAGCTTCCCCGGCTGCCAACTGCCATGGAAATGCAGATGCCGAAAAGCGCCGAAAAACAACGAGAGGCACCGAGAACTAACGACAACCGAAGAGCAACGCAATCTCCCGAGAACTTTCATGATGATTTGGCGATCTGCATTTCGTATTGCGGGGGAAATTACCAGGGAAGAATATCACGGCCGGCGGTTACATAGTCCTATTTTAAGGAGGTCCTACATCTCATGCATTTGCTCTATTGCACTGCATCCTTCCTCCTTTTACACTGCTGCAGCCAGAGAGCATACTCTACAGACGAAATAAAATGCAAGACACCATTCAGCGCCAGCTCCAGCCAATCTGGTACCCAACCACACCTGTGGACAAAATCCCCATGAACATCTACCGCGCCCACATCAACCGCAAATTCGCCCAGAACCTCACCTCCTCCCATGACCTGCACCGCTGGTCAGTCACCAATCCCCAAGACTTCTGGCTGGATCTCCATGACTACATTGGCATTATTCCCAAGCTCCCCGTGAGCGTCACTCAAGCCTACGATGCAAGTATTCCGATGAGCAAGGTCCCGAAGTTCTTCGAGGGTGCTGTGGTGAATTATGCGGAGAATGTCTTGTCGGGAAAACCGTTGGATAAGCTTGCCTTAGTGGGAATTCGCGAGATGGAGGCAATTGAAGGGGATAAGTGGGTTTGGAGGGATGTTATAGAGATTGTGAGGAAGGTGCAGGGTGCGTTGAGGGCGAGCGGTGTGCAGAAGGGGGATCGGGTGGGTGCGATTATCTCGACGAGTGTTTGGTCTGTAGTGTTGTTTTTGGCGACGGCTTCGATTGGGGCTGTTTGGAGTAGTATTGCGTCGGATATTGGGGAGGAGGTACGGTTTTCCCTTTGGTATCCTGAAATTTATGCTAATGGGGATATTTAGGGCTGCATTTCCCGCCTTCAACAAATCTCCCCAAAGATACTCTTCGCCGACACCGCGTCAATTTTCAAAGGAAAAACCCGCTCTAATCTATCCAAAATCCAAACTGTCTTCGACAGACTCAACAGCAGGCCACAAGTCATACTCATACCCCTCGCAAACATCCAAGACAACCTCCCCTTCCAAAAGCTGGAAACCTTCCTCACCAAGACTGATAACTTACCCCTCCAATTCACCCGCGTACCTTACTCCCACCCGCTCTACATCCTATACACAAGCGGCACAACTGGCGTCCCCAAATGCCTCGTCCACGCACACGCCACAATACTCCAACACAAAAAGGTCTCCTATCTCCACAACTCCCTCGGTCCAGATGATGTGGTCTTCCAATACAGCAGCACGTCCTGGGTCCTCTGGAACATCATGATCGGGCACCTATCCGCAGGTCCAACACTAGTCGTCTACGACGGCTCCCCGCTCTGGCCTAGTCCGAAGGCCTTTTTAAAGCTTTTGGAGTTCCACAAAGTCACCTACTGGGGTGTTTCGCCGAGATACCTCCAGGAACTCGAGATGACGGGCTGTGTCCCAAAGAACGAGGCTGATCTTTCGGGGTTGAAAATGGTGCAGACAGGTGGTTCGCATCTGGCGGAGGATCAGTATTACTGGTTTTATCGCGCTTTCCCAACTAAGATCCACTTGACCAGTGTCACTGGTGGGACGGATCTGGTTACTTCGTGGATCGGGACTGATCCTGCTGGTCCTGTATATCCGGGTGAGATCCAGTTGCCGATGCTGGGACAGGATGTTGATATCGCGGATGCTATTACGGGTGAATCAGTGAGGGACTCCGGAAAGCAGGGGGAATTCGTCTGCCGCACACCATTTCCCTCTATGCCGGTGTTCTTCTGGGGCGATGACGGATCGAAGTATCAGGAGACATACTTTAGTAAATTCCCCGGTTGTTGGGCGCAGCATGATTGGGCAAGCTATAACCCGTTGACTCGTGGATGGAAGATTCATGGACGAAGGTATGCCCCCGAACTATCTACTACAGCGTGAATAAGCTGGTTACTGACTTACTGACGATAAAGCGACGGCGTCCTAAACCCTCAAGGCATCCGCTTCGGCTCCTCAGACATCTACTCCATCGTCGAAGCAGCCCCGTTCAACAACTTCCTCTCCAATACCCTCTGCGTCGGCCGCCGTCGTCCATCTGATACCGACGAATCTGTCTTCCTCTTCGTGGTCATGCAACAACCCCACAAAATGACAAATACGTTCAGGGAAAGTCTGAAAGATGCTATCCGGAAAGGACTTAGCAATAAGCACGTCCCGAGGTTCGTGATTGAGGTTGACGAGGTCCCTATGACAGTTAATGGGAAAAAGGTCGAGACGTTGGTGAGAGGGACCATTTCGAGTGGAAAGTTGCCGGATAAGGTCAGTAATACGGTTGCTAACCCGGGGTGTTTGGGTGTTTTCCAGAGGTTTTATGGGTTGGAGTTGGAGACGAGAAGAGCTAAGCTGTAAGTTTTTGTGTGCTGCTACTGTGTGATATTGTCTGAATGTAGTTTGTTGTATATTTTCTGGGATTATAATTAGTTGATATGTGATATAACATCATCTAATAACCAAGACCCGCTCCAATCAAATCCGACACCTTCCCAATTCCCACTAAACAGATCCAGATCTCCAAAGTCCGTCTTGCCAGCTGATTCCGGTAATATATTCCCAGTCCCGGTCTTAGAAGCACCGAAGGGTGGCATCTCAGCCACGCTCAAAGCCTCATTCAACAACCCCTGCGGAACCATCTCCGTGGCAGTCAGCTCCTCGCCACCAAAAAACACATTCCACTGCCGACACAACCTTTTCCCAAAATCCTCAAAAAATGGCACCATTTCCTCTCGCAACAATGGGACCGGATCACCCCTCGTCGGCATTTGACTAATCTCGCCCCCGAGCCTCTGTAACGCGCGCAGTGCGCCAAATGCAGAACCCCATTGTCTTGACAATCTCTTTAGGGAATCCATAAGTATGCGCAATTCCTCAATAGCCATTTCCCGTAAAACAGGAAACCTGATAGCAGGTATCAATGCGAGTCCTGCGCACAAAGCGTAGAATGCAAAAACGGGACCAAGACGGCATAGTTCGTCGCGGGATAGGAATTCCTTGTATATACCTGAAATGAACGACGAGGCTATGAACGACCTGGCAGACGGGATACCATCGGAAGTCGGAGTGCGGTCGAGTATGATCAGGTTCGCGAAGTACGTTAGCATGATCTGTCGGGCTTCGAGGGTGTATTGCGATGATGAACCAGGACTGAGTGTAGTGACGCTTCGGAAGTCCTGTTTGACCCAGCGATAAAGCGCATTCTCGAGGGATTTTTGGTTCTGGTTGGGTTGTTGTTGGGGGCGTAAACAGCTTTCCACGATGTCGCCTAGGAGTTGACATATTGATGCGTAGACGAGGAATAACCGGTTCGTCACAACTTCTCCCTTATCGAAGTCCTCCAGCGATGGAGGCAACACATCACTATCGCACAGATTTATAGTGCGAGGCCGCCCAACACCCGCCGAAATAATACAATCCCGGACCTAACTCGTTAGCCACTCTTCGCTTCCTTTCCTTGTTTCAGAGTTTAGAGCTTACGACTAAAGTCCACCACAATCTTCTCCTTAGCGCCCTCTCCCTTTTTCTCTCATTCGTACCAGATCCCGGTGGTTCTTTATGCAACCCAATCTGAAACGCAATCGCCTCCGCAGTTCTCAACCAAAATCCGCTCGTATCAGTCGATATCGTCTCCGGTCCGACGGGATTATACCAATGCAGCAGAACCGCGCTGACAATAGAGACAAGCGGATTTCGCTCATGTCCAAAGAAAAACAGCAATTTCGCGCGGCGGTAAAAGTCTGCACTCGTTCCATGGATGCTAGGTTGTTTCGAGACGCGGCTCGCTGCTAGTAGTATGGATTGGAGGAGGAGATAGGACACAGACTGCCCATGTAGCCATTCAGGTTCAACAATTGGCGTCCAGACATTGCAGTATTTCGTATAAGCTGTTATATACTCATCTTGCACTGATTTCGGCGGTAGCTGGAATGCGCCTTGGTGCGTTAATAATTCAAGATCCGCTGACGAAAGTTTGGATCCTGATCCGGATCCTAATTCTGAATCTTGGTGGTTAGGCGATGCAATTGCTTCGTCAAAAGATACATGGCGTCCTAGATAGTGGTCTCTGCCGCGATATGCTTCGATCACATCATTCGTTTTCGGTCTTTGTGTAGCTTGTATCTGTACTGGATATTTATGTGTTGGGTTTGCATCGTCCTGACCATGCTGCGGTTCCGTGCTCTCCCGAGGTGAAAGACTATTCGTGTATCGCTTTCTCTTCCTGCTATACATTCTATACCGACCCAATTCATCAGCTGTCGCGTATAAATATAAGCGTCACAAGCCGTGGGGTTGAATCGTACATGCATTCCTTCCCGGCCTTGTGACAATTAGAGCATGGACGCCGACTGGCCAGGTCGCATTTAATCTATACCGGTTAGCATTGCTCAATACACTAAACAGACTAGACAGACCTTTTTCTTGTGGCATATTATGCAAGCATTCAACATTGTCCTCATTTTTAGGGACTTTGAGAGTGCAGGTACGCGGAAATAACACCGAGTTTAAAGGACTCCGGGGAATGCGGAGACTACGGGACCGAGGCAAAAGGGGAGTGTCGGGAAGGATTTTACGACATTAAAGGATGTTAAATGAACTATAACTGACTTGAAATGTGTGAAGTTTACTAAATAAGGGCTAAAGCAAACCAGCTGTACTAGAAATCCGGATCTCCTACCAAGCAGACTATGCGACACCCATTATTTATGCGTGCTCACACGATTTGAGACAATCAAATGGATTATACCATGAAGTGCAACAATTGAGGTTGATCAATATATCTCAGCTTTATCCTATAAGGTCACCTGGTATAATTCATCATTCGCAAGTCTGGATATGTTGCGATTTCATTCAAAATGCATGTCCGAAAAGGGAACATCGATATCCCCCGAAGCCGATCTCTGGTTATACGATTTTGTCTCCCACCCTCGAACCCTTGTCTCGTAAATTTGGAGCCGCGGGCTCATTCCAAGCACTAAGTATCAGAGTGGATTACCACCTCTTGTGTAGTCACTGGTTATTAGCGATATATAATGGCTATATCCGGCTTGATATGGCAATGTGTATAGAGCTTGGACTTCCGTGTGTGTGTAATAGTCCCGGGAATACACCCACTCTCCTATAGAATCAGGGACAATGGATGGATGCAATATGCAATTGGTAATGACTTGCCGTGGTATAGAAGGCTATGTGTCACGGCGGTATGCATCAGGGATTATCACGGGCCGATATGGTTGAATAATTGTGTTAGCCATCATGCTTGCTTTGGGAATATCCAGGCAGTCTTTTCTCCTCATTCGTAGCGTCTAGAACATTTTAGAGCTGTTGTAGCCATCTGCTATAATGGCAGAAGACAAAGAATTAGCTGTGAGTTGTCGACTCATGGATTTTCCGGCCTCGGTTGATCCTATAACCTTTCTCGTGTATGGTATGCGTGTTTTATAATTTCGAGAATGGCGTGGTGCGGGCATGTTTTGATAAAGCGACAGAAAACTTGTCATTTGGGTTTCCTTGCCTGGTTTTGTTGATGTCCACGCCTTGCAAGGTTATTACAGTCACAGAGCGATGCCAAAGCTTGGTACCCTCACTGTATCCTAGAGCCCAGAACGGTTTTCTGTGAATTCTTATTGCGGTAGTACCCGGGATCCAAGCTAAATAGCCCCGGGCAGACCATGTTAGATCTGTCGTCATCATGCTATTAACTCCTTTGCTGCATCAAGCAAGTTGTTGCCTGTCCATAAGCCATCTTGTGGCGTCACATAAACCGTTTTTTTTTTTTTTTTTTTTTTTTTTTTTTTTTTTTTTTTTTTTTTTTTTTGGTTTATCATGATCTTGTAATGTTAGAACCCGGTTTGGGATGTCCTCATGGATCCAATCATCGAGCTATTCGACCCAGCCAAAAATCTGTGTTTTCTTGTTGTATATTCAGAAGCTGGCTTTCAAAGGGAATATTAGATGATTTCAGCCGGCGTGTCGTTCTTCCAGGAATCTGGGAGGTAGGCACAGTCACGCCTCAATGCTATGGCGGAGTAGACAAGAGACATTGCAGCCACAAATATCAAACATTGAACTCTCTGCTTGCTGCGCCATAGGAACAACCTTTTTTGATCCAAACCCAAGTACTGGGAACCAAGTGCAACTGCATGTGCCACGGCTGGTGACTCGACTTTCGACTTCTGGGCAGAAGCCGGTTTGTGTTTGCCTTCTCAGGCATTTTCTGCATAATACTGAACGGTCCAACTGAAGCTTTTCTTTCACGTGAACTTACGCTGTGTGTACTTGCTTGTTCCTCGTAGTAGTAAGAGTCGCAAGAATTAAACACGAAAAGAATCCGTTCTGCGGCACTGACCCGTGCTCAGATCCCTGAACGCAGACAGATTAGGGATGAGAGGTGCCGGGAGTTGGTTCTTATATTCATCCAGGGTTTTAGTGTGAGTAATGTAGCCTCTTCTGCTGATATGTTTTGGGCATTTGGATTCAACCCATCTTGGAGAGTGACGGTGATCCGGCCTGGTTGAAGCTTAGGCTGTTCTCGTATCCTTTTCCATTGGGATGCATCTCTGTGACTTTTCTCGAGCGTGGTGTTCCCAAAAAAGAAAGGAAGGAGGGAAGAAAAGAATAGAAAAGAAAGGATGCAAACGCATTTCTATCTTAGATCATGTCAAGCTCCGGAAAGCTTTCTTCCTGTCCTATTTCTCTCTCAAACGCCTGACCCAGGCCACCGGCTCCGTGGTAGGGCCATGAATTAGGTGTCCTTCATGCTGGCTCGTTCTGATTTTCCGTGGAGATTCACTGTTTGTATCTCAATGAAGAGAAGCAGGGATAGATTGATAGGTTGATGATGGTTGAGAGTATCGCAGCATTTTCTCCAGGGTCGATAGGTTCACTTGAAACAATATGTCAGACTAGCAGAAGTCAATAAATCGAATGAACATCTATTTTCGCTTTCTCCTATCACATTTTAAATCATCTCATCTCAAACATCAATTCATCTGCATACTGCAAATTCAAATTTGATAGGGCATACATGAGTTAAACACTGTGGCTCCGAGTACAAAAACAGCCATTAATAGAACTCGAAAAGAAAAAACGGAAAAAACAAATACATAAGAAAAAAGAAAAAGGAAAAGAAAGGGAATCCGTAAAATGCCATTATAAACAAATTTTAAACAATCACGATCTCTTTAAGCCTTGATAGCACCGCCCAATGCACCACCCCCGAACTGCTGACCACCAGGCCGACGGCCCTGCTGCCCACCGGGTATTCTGGCCCCACCACCGCGAGCCTGGCCACCACCACGGCCACCGCGGCCACCACGGCCGGGGCCCTGGTCGCGCTGGAAGGCGTTGGCCATGCCCTGGGTGCGCTGCTCGAGGGTCTTCTCGTTGGCCTCGAGGAGGTTCATGGATTTATCGCCAAGGGTGACGATCTGGGATTGCAGGCGGGAGAGCTCGACGCCCTTGCGGAAGACGATTGCGTCGTTGACCTGGTCGAGCGCGGCGGCGAGTTCCTCGTGCGAGATCATACGGCTGATGACGGCAGAGATCTTCTTGACGGGGAGGTCAAACATGGAGGACAGGGAGGTGAGGGAGACGCTGTCGTAGAAGGGGGCGTATGTGAAGAGGTATGTGCGCAGGCCTTCCTCTTGGATCTGCGAGGAGAGCATGGCCTTGATCTTGTCGGGCTGCGGCATGAGCTCCCAGATTTTAATGGAGTTAAGCATGTCGGCGGCCTTTTGCCAGTCACCGGCGGCGAGGAACTTGGCGGACATGATGACGCCGTCGCGGGTGTTTTCGGCAGGGCCTGTGAAAACCTGGCGTTCGTTGTAGTCGAGCATGCGGCGGAAGGTCTTGGAGATAATACGACGCTTCATCTCGGGCGAGGAAGAGGTCTGCGCCATCAAGGGCACTTCAAGGAACATGCTGGAGGTGAGATAGATACACTCGAGCAGCTCCAGGTTGATATGCATGTGGAAGGGCAGCTGGCGCTGGCGCTCCAGACGCTCCTGCTCGGGCGAAACGGTCGAGTACCGCTGGAGGATGATACCCTGGGCGAGCAGCTCCTTTTGACGTCCGCTACCGCAGACCTCGGAGAGGGTGTTCTGGGCTTCGTAGATAAGACCGGCACGGAACGCGCACAGACCGATCTGGACGAGCGTGCGGTTGAAGAGAATCTGGGTGCTGATGTCAAAGTTGCCAATGCTCTCGGTCAAGTGGGACATGAGCATCAAGTCGCGAGACCGGTAGTATTTGTCGTGGAGGGCAAGGAAGTAGATCTGGCAAAGCATAGCGCGGGCCTTGATGATACCGTCGCTGTTGACGAAGAGGTAGTGGCAGAGAGCCTGAACGAGGTTGTTTACATCGCTGGCCTTGCTGCGAGGAGTGGTGGCAGACTCCAAAGTCTCAGGAAGGGCCTTCCAGGCACCCTCCTCGAGGATAGCAACAACCTGAGAAGGCTTGAAGTAGACGTGCTCCAACCGTCTCATGACGATTCTGTTAACGCTGTCCTGGCGAGGGTCGCTCTTGTCGGCCTTGGTGTTGCCTTCGACGTAGATCTGGGCGCGGACAAGGTTGGTGTACAGCTGCTGCTCATCGCTCAACCGCTCAATGTACTCAGCAGTGTGGGGGTCAATCTGCTGCAATGACCGGGTGAGTTCGTCGTCCAGTCTCTCGATGTACGAAACAATGCTGCCGGGGACATAGAAAACCTCGCCCTCAGCAGGCTGGGGCTGTCTGTCATCATCATCCCACTCCTCGGCACCCTCCGAAACAACCCAGTTGCGGTTCTGCTCCAAAACACCCAAGAGAGCCGAGAGTTCCTTGTCGGCAAGCTTCCACTGGTCGGGGCTCATGTAGTTCGCAGCCGAGGACGAGGAAAGGTCGAAACGGGTAGAGATGAGGGTCAGATACACACGAATGCGCTGGTAAGGAGTCTGAGCAACCTCCAGAAGCTTCTCCATAGTCTTGATCTGCTCCAGGCGGTCGGTGTTCTTCTTTCCGCGGGACTCGACGATCACACGGAGATGCTTAAGGATGCTCTCAGGAGTGTATTGTAGAGTCTTGCCACCGCGACCGACAGTAGCAAAACCATCATCCTCATCAGCAGCAGCAGCGGGGGCCTGGAAACGCTCGATCTTCGAGGGCTTGGGGGCAGCAACGGGAGCAGCAGCGGGCTTCTGGGGGACAGCCTCCTCCACGTCGCTATCCATAAAGGCATCCTTGCCGGCACGGTACTTATCGACCAGGGTGGCGTATTCCTTGTTGTTCTTCTTGATACGCTGCTTAACGGCGTTGAAGCCCTTGGACATGTTCTGGTTCATCTTCTTAGCGGAGGTCTTCTGCTTGGCGACAGTCTCGGTGACGAAATCTTCGAGGTCGGCAACGGTCTTGATGTAAACCTTGGGAGTCGGGCCAGCCTGTGTGATCTTGACGATCTGGCGGTTCAACTTGTCGAATTCTGCTCGAGTCAGTTCCTATTCACACATCCCCTCGTCACCCCTCACACTATCCAGTAGGCAGGGTGGTCACTCACCAGCCGAAATAACAGCCCAATCCCCAATCTTCTCAGCATTCTCAATCAACCGCACAGTATTCTCCAACTCCTCCAACCTCTTATCCTTCGCACTCTTAACAACAGTAACCTTCTCCTCATCCTCGCTCTCCTCACTCTCCGAAACATCCTTCAAGAACGCATTAGCACCGGTCTTCCCACCGGCCTCTTCATCAGAGTCGGACTCCTCCTCCTCCACATCCGATTCCTCCTCGCTAGACTCTTCCTCTGCTGCTGATCTCTCTTCTTCCTCTTCGGAGAGGACCTCGTCCTCGGACTCGGAGGAGTCGCTGTCGCTGCCGGTGCCTTTGAAGAAACGCGACATGGTGGCGGGTTTTTTTCGGTCGGGGATTCGGGGTGGAAGACGGGTTCGCTCGGACGGATTCGAGGGGCGTATTTAGAAAAAGAGTCGAGCGTGACTCACACCGGGACAGACAGGGGTGGGATGGAATAACGTGGTTCCCTAAGGCTGGACGTTTCTTTGTGAAGGTGAGGGTTCCGAGCCGCAGAGGTTGGCCGCGGCGTGCCACACACGAATTTTAAGCGAGCGAGCGCCTTTCCGTATATAGAAGGTAGACACCCCAGGCATTAAGGCACGTATCAAAATCTGGGGATTCTACTCCGGACTATTACTGGTTTATTTACCGTAGATAACGGGTCCTATTTGGCATATAAACAGAAACAAGCAGAGGGTATACGTTTTCATCGCCTCGACATTACCGACCTGCGTCCCAGCATAACAAATGCATCAACAGCGTACACAGCGGGAAAGATACAAGAGGAAATAACATAGTAATGCCCAGCGGGAATGGAAATGGCAAGATGGAAATGTAACAGATACAAAGACTAGCATGAGTTCTGACGCTTCAGGTCATGCACAAACATTGGGGGTTGCTTATCGCGGGAAAGACATCTGTCTCGGGCATACCCTCCGGTGGTCTGGCGTGTACATTCTTGCCACGGCGGAGGGTTATTACACCACATTTGTTCCCTCGCTATTCCATCTTCGCTTCTCCCTATACTAGTAACACGGGCAATACCGGTGGAAGAGATAGCTGACGGACGAAAAGAGACAGCAGCGAAAGGAAACTCGCAATATCGGGCGAGACCTCCAATAACAGATAAACCACGTAGTTTGGTGTGACCCTGCGTTGACCCTGCGCTGACCCCACGTGGGAAAACGCTGCCCGAATAACAAAAGAAACGGCTAAAATATCAGAATACTGGCACCCGGCGGTGCAACTCAACAGCAACAACGCAATCAATGCCATTGATTCTGGCTTGTGAGCCCTTCGCCTCCCAGGACACCATCCTCAAGAGTACGAATGAAATCACGGTTCCGCGTAGTCCCAGCGCGACTTCCCCGTCGCCTCTGGTTCGCCGAATTCGAGTCAATGTAACCATCAGGCGGCGGCGGGTAGTATGCCGGACTGGGTTGTAACCGGATAGGCGCATTCGGGTCGAGGTGGCTGGCAACACGCTGGATCGTTGGTGGAATCCCTTGTGGGTCCATGGTGGATGCACGCTGGCGACCAGCTCTAGTGGTCGCCTGGGCATACAAGCTTTGCGATGGCGCATATTGTGCCTGAGGCACCTGTCCCGGCATAAGATGCATCTGATTGTAGCCCGGCGGCTGCGTGGGATACGGAGGTGGTGCCCCTTGCTGGCCAGTAAACATTCCGTTGTACATCGGAGGTGGCTGCGACTGAGAAGGATGGAACTGGTTCATCTGCATCGAGTAGGCATTCTGGGCTGCAGTGTGTGCGTGTGCCGCTTGTGCTGCTCTCTGCTTGCTCGCGGCTTCGGCCTGCTGTTGCTGCTGGATTCCAGGAGGGACGGTCTTGTTGAGCGAGGCGTACTTCAGATTCATCGGCGGTACAAACGGTCCGGTGAACTTTTGCTGTGTGATGAACGGATGCAGCTTGGCTTGTTGCGGCGACCAACGTTCTAGCGGGTTGATAGACAGCAAACCGCGGACGAAGTCGATAAACGCCACTCGGTTGTTCAATTCTGCAATTGTCAGCCTGCCATATACGAAACCTTAACAGGAACGGACATACCTCTCTCGACTTCTGCTTGCTTCATATTCTTCCGCGGCATGGGGTAGCTCCGAATAATCTCCTCCAACGTCGACGCCTGGAAGTATTTCTTGCTAGGCTGCTCCTTGGTGTTGTGTTCGCGAGAATACTGTTCCAAGCTCTTGAGGCGGTAGGATTTCCTTCCAAACTCGTCTTGCGTCTTCTCAAAGAATTGGCCCGATTGCTTGCCCATTTCGAGCATCCACGTCGGGGGCAACCCGAGCATCTCGACAATCCGGCACACCTGATTGTACTCCGAAGAACCAGGGAACAGCGGGAGGCCAAGGAAAAGTTCAACTACAATACATCCGAGCGACCACATATCAATTGCAGAAGAGTATCTGCACGTGTTAGTATGAGCGCGAACGAAACGAAGAGGAGCACATACGGCAATCCGAGCAAAACCTCAGGAGAACGGTAAAATCTCGACTGGATATAGGTGTAGACTGTCTGACGCTCGTCGCATGCAGACCCAAAGTCGATAACCTTGATGATCGGGCTCTCCAGGCTGCGCGGAGTTGGGTTAGCTGCTGTGGGATCTCCAACTGTCGCGATAGGCGGAACTAACTTCTTCAGCAATATATTCTCAGGTTTAAGATCGCAGTGAATCAGATGCGCCTTGTTCAGAAGGCTCAGGGCATTGAGAAGCTGTTGCGCAAAGACACGCACTAATGTCGTACTCAGTCCTCGGAATTGATTCTGCTTGATCAATTCGTAAAGGTTGACACTAAGCAACTCGAAGGCCAAGCAGAGATGCTGTTTGTGGATAAAAGTATCTTTCAATCGCAGCAAATGATGATCGTCGTTCTTGTCGTACTTGCTATTAAGCTGTGCGAGCTTGATATTAGTACGAATCTACCAAATCGGCGCAGGAGACTCACCAAGTCAAGGACAGACACTTCCATCATACTTTGATTGAAGTATGCGGTCTTGTTCTTAATGACCTTGACGGCAACAACCTCCTGCGTTTTCAGGTTCTGGCACTTGACGACTTGTCCAAACGTTCCTTGTCCTAGTACATCCAGGATGAGGTATCGGTTCCTGCAGAGTCAGCATGTGTCGCACGACAGGTTAGATCATTGAGCTTACTTGTGACCTGCATCTTCACTACCCAGGATATCATTGACATATAAAATGTAATCGCTGTCTTCGTTATCGTAACCATCGTTCTTGACGCCCTTGCTTGGCTTCGTCAAGACTCGTCGCGGGTTCCTAGATGACTCGTAGTTGAAGTTCGGGTTGCATATCCGGTAAGAGGAAGGAAGATGGGTCGTCAACGCGTGCAGCGGCTGTATTGTTTTAGAATCTTGGTCGCATGTTCGGGAACCCAAACTCGGAACTTACACTGATGAAACCACCCTCTGGATTCGCACGTCTGTAGGCAGGTTGTGCATTGGCCCGTGGTTGCAGCTCCTGGAGCGACTTTATTTTCTGGAATTTGGGCACTGGACCCCTACCAGGAGTGGGCTGTTGACTTCCACCAGAAATGGAGGCAGACCGCGGTGACCGTCCATCATACCCAAACGGAGCGCTCAATTGCGACGTAGCCGACGATGGGTAATATTGTTCTGGGGGAGTCATTTCGGTCGATGTCGACTGCAACGGAGGAAGACGCGGAGGACGAGACGAAGCTGTTGAGACTAGTCAGCATGCAATGGTTGAAAGAAAGAAACTCTTCCCGAATCTACTCACATGGAGGCGACTGATACGCCTGGGGTGGCGAGGTGTAATTCGACGACTTTGTTGGTGAGCGTCGAAGATTGTTGTTTGGACCGGGCGGCAGAGCATATGGATTGTGAGACTTGCCCGGGCTGGCATTGTACGGGGCCGATGGAGAGAGCGCGTTCTTCGGAGAATATCTGCGAGCGGCAGTGGACTCCTCTGTAGGGAAATATTGAGAGGATGGTCGAGCGTAATGGCTCGTTCTGACCGAGTATTTGGCCCGGTTGTAGGGGTCGCTATCGTCCATCATAGTATCCGCGTCAAGGACGAAATCCCGATTCCGTGGGGGGACAGTGGGCGACGAAGCAATGGACATGGGTTTAGAGCTGGAATTCATCGAGGGGGCACGAGTAGGGATGCCGGCAGGAGTTTGAAAGGACTCGTACTGGTATCCCATGGGTGGCTGGGACGAGGCCGGCTGGGAGACATATTTGGAGGGAGTCGAGGTCAACCCATTGTTGTACTGCGCGGGACGGCCACCCATCAAGGGATCCTGATATGGCTGCCACTGAGAATCCATATTTTTTCTTTATTTTGTCCAATCCAACACCTGTCAACCGATTTGGTCTGCAATGTTGTTTCCGAGGGGTTGACTCGGAGGCGAGTTGAGGAATGGGCGTCGTCACCGTCCGAGGGCGGTACTGGGCATCTGTCTGCTGCGATCGCGTTGGAGGAAACAAGCGAAAGACGGATTATAGTACAGAGTACAGAGTACAGAGCACGTAGCACTCTATAGTTAGCAGTAATGGCGAGGTGGTAGTGCTGGAGGAGGGCTATGATAGCAGCGGGGACGGCACACGCACGTCGTAGCGCAATCGATCGGGCGGATAAGTTGTGTGTACCGGAAAGAGGGAGATATATTCGGGCGAGAGACGCGAGACACACGACGCAGGCGAGACCAGACGAATTGATTCGAGAACTAGACCTTGTGAGTTTTTTCGCACCGCATCATACCCGGAGATTCGTGAATGGTTGTCGTTTTCGTGGGTTCGAGAATGGCCAGAGTGTTGGACTGCTATCGTTGAGCGGTCGCAATTCACCTGTGGAAATGGAACCACAACCACAGCCACCGATAGACACGATCGCCTTGAAAGATGGAGTGGAAAGGGGCAAAGGGGAAATGAGAGAAACAGAGAAGTGAGAGAGAAACAGTGAGCGAGGCAAAAGGAAATGAAGGTGTCAACTGCTGGATCCGGGAGGGCAAATCCGGATGAGGGGGCCAGAAGCACTGAAATACAGAGCCAAAATAGGAAAGGCACCCCGGTTAACAGGAAATACACAAGCAGTGCAGACGCAGAGAGAACGATATACAAATATCAAGTAGAAGAAACAGAAGAAGAAAAATCAGAGTCGACGTTGTCAGGTGGAGGTGGAGTTACTGGCGAGACCTCAGGCGGCGGTTGGGCGAGACTCGAAGATACGAGACTGTACGCTTACTGAACACAGTGAACAATAGACAGTGGACAGTGGACAGTGCATTGAAAGAAAGAGGATAGTTACAGAGGATAGTATAATTAGGATTAGCTGCTCTAGTAAGCTACTGCACCAGTCTCACCTCATTCAACCCATCCGTGGATATATATCGTGTGGATGTATGGATGATGACGAAGTTACCATCATACATAAATCTCAACCGTTGTTATATCCTCGCACGGCCACCAGATAAACATGCATGTGCTTTACCTGTAAAAGTATATAAAAGTAGCGGTGCTCGTGCACGGTGTGAAGGAATACATGGTGTGCATTGGTGGCATTGGTGGCCTCGATCTATAACTATCTTCGACGCATGCAAGGATTAGATAGCTGCACTGAGACAGTCCTCGCCCCTGATAGCAGCTATTAGACAAAGCTGCCAGAAAAAAACCATTTCTCTATTCCTTCTAAGTCTCTTTTCAAATTGCTATAATTTATTCTCTACCATTAAATATGATTGTCTGTTGTCTTGGTGACGTGACTTTACCAGGGCGGTGAATGTATCTATATATCACGTGACTATATTCTGCCACTACATCAAAGCGGTCTGTTGCCATGTTCTTCGCATAGTTACCAGACGAGCCTCCATCCTCTGCTGCCTACCGGTCGACAGGGGTCTGTACTGACTAGAAGATCACTGAAGGGCTTCATTCATTGACTCAAGATACGGTAACCAGGAAACCAGTTCTATCCTGGACGCCATCGAGTCTCTCAGAATTTGATAACGCCACCGCCGCTGATATGACTACGACGGATCTATAGCCATCTTCTTTATTTTACTGCAGATGCGCTTTTCCTTGGTGGCTTATGCTGCATTTTACGGGATCGTAATCAACGGATTCGTTTTACTTAATCCGTCATACTAAAAATGCAATACAGCAACATGGACGTGAAACAGGACCCAGAAGCGCGGGCGGAGGAAACTCTAGATACCATCCCGCAAGACGATGGACAGCTACTCGCAGAAGCACCAGGAGTAAAGGAGGAAACGTCTGAAGTAAATGCAGAACCTCAAGAAGCAGCCATGGACGAGGCACGCCGCCTAAAGGAGCTCCATGCTGACGTTCGCAACCAAGATGATCTCGAAAGGGACATTACGCGCCAGGTAGGATATACTACCGTGGAAGATTAGCTACTTCTAACTTCTCTAGGCGGACCGGCTGCTCAACGAGCAAGCGGACGAACGAGACAACAAGAGATTAGAGAAGACTCGCCATGAAAAAGAGAAGATAGAGGCACAAATCTTGAAACTACACCAGCGCGCCTCGCAGCCAGTTGGAACGGCCGCTCGAGCTCGCATACAAAATGATATACAGAAACTCGAGTTTCAGGACACATCACTGGCAAAAGACTTGGAAGAAATTCAACAACGGATCGACGCGAGACGTGAAGGCCAGGAAACAGCTTCCCAGGTGACCGGGACAGGAAGATTGCCCAACGAGTCACGTAGGGACTACCTCATCCGAACCGGAAAGATTACACCGTTTGCCAAGATGAGCGGCGGCCCTGAAGAGGGGCCTCTAGCTAGTCTACGTGATGCTTTAGTGGATGCAGAGGATGAGCGCGATGAAAGCGAAGCTCTGGAACAAATGAAGAATAGAATGGAAGTGTCGCATCGAAACCTTAGGCGTCCTGGATTTGGCTTTGATGAGAGCACTGAAGTCAGTTCGGAGGCACCAGAGGATCATCCAAAGAAGCGGAGGAAATTACAACAGCGTGTGAAACACGAAGACCCAGAAGATGTGGAAGTTCTTTCCGACCAAGATGACTCCGCAAGCTATGTGGCATTCGAAGCTGAAGAGGAGAGTGACGACGACTTTGTCGTAGAAGAAGACGAAGAGGCGGGAAAGAAACGCGCCAAGAAAGCAGCCAAATCTGAAGATGGGATAGAAGATCTCAGTGGGTTAGACGATGGCAGAGAAGAGATATATCAAGCCAGACTGCAGGATTGGGTAAGCCGGAGAAGCGCGGCCAGAAAGCGTGCACGGGATGCTCGACGCGCAGCTGGCGAGGACGATGGTGAAGATGAACAGTCGGAAGAGGAGGAATGGTTCATGCCACATCCGACCGTGCCGGACTTGGAGTATGATAACGGCTACCGCGCACCTGGCGACGTCCATCAATACCTATTCGACTATCAGAAAACCGGGATGCAATGGCTTTGGGAGCTGCACCAGCAGCATGTAGGAGGGATCATTGGCGATGAGATGGGTCTTGGGAAAACCATACAGGTAATCAGCTATTTGGCAGGTCTGCATTACAGTAAACAGTTCACCAAACCCGCGCTTGTTGTATGCCCAGCAACAGTGATGAAGCAATGGGTCAACGAATTCCATCGCTGGTGGCCGCCTTTTCGAGTTTCGATTCTACACACTTCTGGCAGTGGAATGGTTAATGTCCGCAATGAGAGCAGCCGAGAAGATGAACTTCTCACGCAGAAGTACCGCGGTGGTAGTTCTCGTGGGTTGACCAGTGCCCAGAAAGCGGCGAGGAAGGTCACCAAGCGGGTAGCTGAAGAGGGTCACGTTCTTGTCACAACATACGCTGGGCTACAAACGTACGCGCCTTTGCTGATCCCGATGGAATGGGGATGTGCTGTCTTGGACGAAGGACACAAGATCCGCAATCCCGATACGTCCATCACATTTCATTGCAAGGAGCTTCGAACACCCCATCGGATTATTCTCTCAGGTACCCCGATGCAGAACAACCTAACAGAGCTCTGGTCACTTTTCGATTTTGTCTTTCCCATGCGACTAGGGACACTAGTCAACTTTCGAAACCAGTTCGACTTTCCCATCCGGCAGGGGGGATACGCCAATGCGTCGAACCTGCAAGTTCAAACGGCTGCAAAATGCGCCGAGACGCTCAAGGATGCCATCACCCCGTATTTGCTTCAACGATTTAAGATCGACGTGGCGGCCGACCTCCCGAAGAAGAGCGAGCAGGTGCTTTTCTGCAAGCTGACGATGCCTCAAATGCAAGCGTACAAGGCTTTTCTTGGGTCAGGGGAAATGCAGTCTATACTGACGGGACGACGTCAAGCATTGTTTGGTATTGATATACTGCGCAAAATTTGCAACCATCCAGATCTCCTGGATCGCAAGATTACGTCTGGAAATACAAACTACGGGCGCGCCAGCCAGTCCGGCAAGATGCAGGTTGTCAAGTCGCTTTTGCATCTGTGGAAAGACACAGGCCACAAGACTTTGTTATTTACACAACACCGCATCATGCTCGATATCCTGGAGAAACTCGTCCGATCGATGCCTGATTTCCAATATCGCAGAATGGACGGTAGCACACCGATCAAGTCCCGACAATCGATGGTAGACGAGTTCAACAACGATCCGAACCTGCATGTCTTTCTTCTGACGACCCGTGTTGGTGGGCTGGGTGTAAACCTGACGGGCGCCGACCGAGTCATCATCTACGATCCGGACTGGAATCCGTCGACAGACGTGCAGGCACGCGAACGGGCATGGAGACTTGGACAGAAGCGTGATGTCACAGTGTACCGGTTGATGACTGCAGGAACTATCGAGGAGAAGATTTACCATCGACAGATCTTCAAGCAGTTCTTGACGAACAAGATCTTAAAGGATCCGAAGCAGCGCTCGACATTCCAGCTGAGCGACTTGCACGACCTCTTCACGCTTGGTGACGAAAATGGCCAGACAGAAACAAGCAAACTATTCCAGGATGCTGAAGTCAAATACGAAAACACTGACCCCAACGAAACCCAAGACCTCAGCAAAGTAACCGGGATCGCATCAATGGAAAAATTCCACGAACCCGAACCCCAAACAAATAGCGCATCAACCCCGGATCCCAACGCCAATGACAATAAAACCGAATCCCGCATAATGGAAGGAATCTTCTCCCGAGCCGGCGTGCACTCCGCCCTAGAGCACGACCAAATCATAAACCCCAACGGTAAGCGAGTGGTCCGAGCGGACCCCAAGATCATCGAGGCAGAAGCCAAGCGCGTCGCAGCCGAGGCAGCAGAAGAACTACGCAGGGCTGGTGAAGCAGCACGTTCAGTACCTATTGGGACGCCCACGTGGACGGGGCAATCGGGGATTGCAGGACGGCCGGAATCAATGTTCGGAGGGAGTAGTAGCAGTGCCCGTCGCGCGGCGGGACCATCGTCTGCGAATATATTGGCCAACCTTTCCGCGCGCACAGCAGCACCGAGGAGTGGTAGTGGCAGCGGTACCAACACTCCTACTACTCCCAGGGGTACTCCGACCGCAACCGCAGCCGACACCGACACCGGATTCAACATCAGCATGATCCGAGATTTCATCCTGGCGCAAGGCGGGTCCGCATTTTCGCAAAATCTAGTGAACCATTTTAACCGGTTCTGCACGACGCCGCAACGCACGGCGGAGTTTAAGGAGATGCTGAAGCGGATAGCGGTGCTGGAGCGGGGTGCTGGAGCTGGGGGTCGGAATGGACGGGGAAAGTGGGTGTTGAAACGGGAGTATGCCAAGAAGTGAACGGTGGAGGCCCTAGGTGGGTTTGCGATATTTGGTGGGTATTAGGGGGTTGGTGAGGGCTTTGTTTTTTGTTTTCTTGTTTTTACTTGGTTGGTATTACTAGCATAGAGGCGTTGTTTGTTGATGTGGTACTTTGTACCACGGGTCGATATGGATCATTTACTTAGGGATTCTTGCATAGAATAGGGGTATGCATATTTACAGTGCATAATGCATACATAGCAGGAAATCAATTCGAATCTAATCATATGGAATGCTCGAGAATACTACTCTGCAGGCTTGCTCCATAGCATACTGAGAATGCGTAGTATCGCATCTCAAGCAGAGCAAGTACGAGTCTACGAGTCTACCATATGATAAAGACAAAAGATAGAAGCAATAATGACATCAAAACAAACCAAAAAGCCAGAGAACCACCCAAAGTCCACGACTGGGAATGACATCAATCCCATCAATCTGACACTCACACTCACACTCAGACCAAGTACCCTCAATGCCCAAGCGCACTAATCTCAGCACTAAATCGCACCAACTCTACAATTCACAGATACATTTGAAAATCACACACTAGCCACTGCAGTGTCCTAAATCTACAGCCAATCTGCATAATTTCCCACAGAGATGATAAACAAACAGACTCGGGACAATACATTGAAGCGGAAAATTCACATAAACCCCTGAACTTGATCCATGGATGCAGCTGCACATCCTCATCTCTACAAGTGCATCTGTAGATGAGGTGGATTAGGTGGATAAAAATAGGCGATCGACATGAGTAGCCTTGTAGGTGATTGTGATTGTTGGATTTTGCCTCCCGTACTGCGTATCGTATCTTCATGTCTTGAACTCTTTTCGTCTCCGATCAAGGAGTTCTCCCCAGATATAAATACATACCACCTCCCCTTCTTTCTTTCAGCGACAACAACAACACTCTCCTCTCCACTACTCTAATAATTCCAACTCCAAACAACAACACCAACAAAATGAAATTCCTCGCCTCCCTCACCTCTGCCCTGTTGGCCACCACCGCCGCAGCAACCCCCCTCATCTCCCGCGCCAGCGACGCCTCCGCCATAACCACCAAGAAATTCCACCTCAAAACCTCCAGCGACAGCGACTCCCACAACAACCTCTACGTCTACGCGTACCACACGGGCGCAGGCCTCAACGATGCCGTGCTGAGCGCCAACGCAGACGACGCGAGCAAGGCGTTTGTCAACGGGACGAATGTGCAGTTTGATCTGGGGACGCCGTTCCCTTGGGGGGTTAACATGGTTGGGGCTACTAACTATGGTGGTAAGTCTCCCTTTCTGGAGCTGGATTGCGCTTCCCTCCAGGATCCCCCGGGTATAAGGCAATGTGCTAACGGTGGTGAACGTGCAGCATGGCAAGGCGTCCAAATCAACACCGGCTACGGCACTTCCGGCTTCGAGCTTGACAATGCGCATTTGAAGTGGAGCGAGCAGAATGGCTTCGGCGGATGGTTGGTGTGCGACTGGGTTCACAATGCTCCCCAGCTGTTTTATCTGTATGAGCCGATGAAGGCGGATATTCCGTCGAGCTGCAGCGAGGTTGAGTTGCAGGCTGTTTACCTTTAAACGGTGCTCACTGGACTGCATGCGATGCGGTGCGATCGGGATATGATGGACGAAGACGGTGTATCTCTATGAACTTAATGTACAATAGTAATCATGTCTATATCAACTAGCTAGGATTGCTCAATTATTGAAAAAATGCTCCGACTCTACTACTACTACTACTACCAGACTGTACAGTATCCTAAAATAGATGTCTCACATCCTCCCCGATCGGGTTAGCTCGGCGATCCTCCACCCTTTCTGTCAGGTTCTGTCTTTTCTCTACTCTGCACGGAGTCCTGTCATGCCACTACACAGTAGTCCTCTCTAATAAATAATAGTCACTCGTTCACTCGTTGCTCTCTCCCTCGTTCTCTCGCTGAGCGTCTGTACATATTCCAACAGTGTCGCATTTGTGTTTCACGGTCCGGACACTATCTGACTCGCTATCGGTGTTTCTAACAGAATACTTTTAATAACCGTCGTTCGCACATTCTTATTGAATTTCAGCATTACACCTGGCATCGACATCGACGCCGACATCCTTCCAAGTGGGATCATTGGTCCTTCTGTATCCGCGGATATCGCATTGTTGACACTGTCGATCGTGATTTTCAAGACGATCAATATGCGCTTCTTTGTGTTTTTCAGTGTGCTGTGCATGCTGTTGGGGCTGGTTGCTAGCTATCAGGGGAACGAGGCGCATGGGCTTGCAAGACGAGATGGTGAGCTGTTCAAGGTTCTGGAGAAAATCAGCAACTGACTGTTTAGATACTACGGCTGCCGAATCAGCAACCACCGGCGACGTTGCCTCTACTACCGAAGCCCCTGCGACTGCGACCGATTCAGACACTGCCTCTGCTACCGATGCTACCGGGTCCGCTACCAATTCCGCGAGTGAAAGCGATGCGACCACCGGCACAAACACAAACACAAACACCCACACCGCAACAGGAACAGGAACCGCCTCCAACAGCACCTCCATCGACCCCCGCATGGGCGCCGGCGGCATCTCCATGCTAACCCCCACCCAAGGCGCAACCTCCTACTACAAAATCGGCGAAAAAGTGACCTTCGTATGGAACTACACCTCCCTCGCCGTGACCCCCTCCGCCATCAACGTCGTCGCCTCCTGCAGCTTGAACGACGCAACCTACACAATCTCAAACAACATGAGCGTCGCGGAGACGGGCAAGGTCACTTGGGACACGGGCAAGTACCAGGCGAATGCGACAGTGCCGTTGCTCACGGCGACGTATACGTTGGTTGTTTATGATGCGGATGGGGACATTGGGGATACGGCTAGTGCGGGGAGGTTGGGGAGTCAGAGTCAGTTTAACTTTGGGATGTATGTGCCGCAGGCTTATACGCCTTTGAATGGTAGGCTTTCCCCACGCCACCTTTTTTTGCACGTTGGATAGCGATACTGACCGGGCAGAATACAAATGCGCGACATGCAACGGCGCCCTCCCTGAACTCGATGGCCATGCCGTGAGATTCGCTATGGGCATGGTTGCTCTTACGGTTCTCAGTTTTACGTGGTTTGCTGGTGGATATGGTGTTTTTGCTGTTTGACGTTTTTCAATTTATGGTGATGGCACGGCGTTGTAAATGATGTTATGGATTTGCATGGTACATATAAGTTCAGTTAGTACAGCAGCGTTAATGGCATATAGCAACTTGGTTTAGAATTATGGGCTTGGATGATAGAATTTACCGGCCGTACGTGCGAGTATGGAGAACCCTGTCTTATGCACATGCTGCACAGAACCGCCAAACAAAGCGTTTCTCCAAAGACAGACAAGACAGACAAACCAAGCTAGACAGAGTAACTCCATGTAGGCCAACGCCATATAGAAGCTTATAAGCAGGTGCAGTACAAACAACGGTATTTTTTTATAGAGATAATGGAATAAGAGCAATGAATAGACGTAGACAGAATGAGAAAGATGTCATGTCTCATTCTACGGATACATGAGTCTACTGTCTTTCTATCATTCTCGTTGTTTCTCTCTTGGTTTGCCCATAGTCCACTGTAGTATCAAACCAAGACCACATACCACTGTCCAAACGAAACGCTCTACCGAAGACCAAGCCCTGCCGTACAAATGGAAGCACATATCCTCTCTCCTATCTACCATCCAGCCCATTCCTTCCCAATCATTCCTCAAACCGCACCAAGGCGACCAAACAACCACAACCGCCACAAAGCTACGCGAAAGAAAAAGAAAAAAAAATGCCCTCAACCTACGGCTGGATCTGGCCTAAAGACCCCCGTCCCGGAAACCCCTCGCACTGGCCACGCCGCTGGCGCCTCTTCGATATCTTCAGGAATAGAGGACCGGATATATTTGTTGGACGGATTCGCAGCGACAAAAAAGACGAGGACAGAAACAAGAATAAAAAGAGGAGGGAAGGGAGAGTTGAGATGAGGGCACCGATTCAGCAACGACCTCCGCGGAACAGGGAGTGCGCTTGGGCGGGATGGGGGAACGTACACCCTACCAGCACCAATGTCACCGGATCTGGAGATAAGGGAGGCATGAAGACAAAATACGCGTATAGCTCAGCACTCCCCTGGACAACTCGCAAACCAAACGAGCGGTATGACTTCCGGACGAAGCGCTATACCGTGCCGGACAGCGGGACGTGGAGTCGTGTTGAGTATTGTTCTGGGGATTTGGAGGGTCATGGGTGGAAGAGGAAGAAGCATGTCATTCCAGTGCGGTACTGGGATAAGAACGGGGAGATGTATCCGGCAGGGTATTGGCATGATGTCGTTTATGGGGGGCATGCGCGTTGCTGTGATTGCGGGTAGGTTAGAGGCATGTTGGGTGGAAGGCTTCCCAGGTTGACTCTGCAGACTGGCGACGGATGGTTGGGAGTTGGGCGGCTGAGTCGGTCATTTTGTTGCATTTTGCGCAGGGCATTTGCTTGATGGTTGTGTAGGAGGATATCATGTCCTGTTGTTGTTAGTCTTGTATGTTAATCGGGCTCTAGGGCAAGGACGTACCAAAGTAAAAGCGAGATCCCACTGTCTCGGACGCAAATTCAAACAGTCCACAACCGCGGCTTCCAGATTGCTCACCGGCTTCCCGGGAGTCATCTTGCTCGAAACCACCCACTTAACTCCTCCCTGATCTTCAAGGCTCTGTACCTCAAACGCCATCCCCACCTTAACCAACACCACTACCACCGCATCCCTCTCCTTCACACTAACAACCCGGACACCAGGCACACTCCTCCCCGCAAACCCCTCAACAACCCTCCTCCAATCCCCATCCACTACCGCCCTCTCCCTCTCCTCCTTCTCCCTCCCCTCCTCCTCCCCTTTCCCCCTTTCTCCCTCCACAATCTCCTCCAGCAACGCCCCATAATCCCTCTCCCACATACCACTCGACTGCAACAACACTCCGTTCCCCTCCTGAATTTTGTCGTCAACATGGTCCCAGATCTCCTTGAGTTCGGGACTCCGCCACAGATCCTGGAAGGATTGGACCTCTGCTACTCCCGCGCGCGCCGTGGTGGAGAGTTGCTCGTAGAGTGTTTGCGGGGATTTGGGGAGAGTCTTGTTGTTGGATGCTGAGAACTGGGGGTTTACTATTGGGACTAGGGGTTCCAAGAGGCGCTCTGGGAGGAGGGTGCGGAGGTTGTGGATCTGCGGTTGTCAACCACTATTCTCAATTTTCACATTGATGAAGGGAAGGGATAAATACCATAGATTCAAGTTTCTGTAACTTAGCCAGCGAAGAAACGAGTTGTCGTTCTGTTGTCCAGACATTTGTTTCGGTAGATTCTGCTGGTGCTGGTGCCGGTGCGGCATCCTCGACTTTCGCTGTTGCGGCTGCCATTTTCGGGACCACGATTGAGTTGGAGCGGCCTTTGAATGCTGTTGCTGGGTTTTCGGTGGCCATTGCACTTTACTTAAGGCATATGCGAACAGTTATGTCTGCATTCATTCACTATGCGGCTGGTTTGACGAATGAGTCTTGAATGTCGGGGCGCGGGTCAGACGTGTCTCTTCACTTCGTATTATACGATCGGGTTATAAGAGCTGCATGGGTAGACGGGAGGAACGGTTTGGATAAGGCGTATTTTGAGTTGTTAAAGTCTACAATTCGATATCGGCACGATTGGAGAAATGTTGGAGGTGGATCGCCGAGCGGTGATGCTGATGGCACTAGCCACAGTGGCTGATGTGGAAATTTGCGATTTGCATTCGGAGGTTAAGAATTTTAGCAATTTTTAAGTCGAGATTTGCAAACATTGCGTCGCATAGACGACAATGACAGACGAGAAATATATGAATTATAGCAGGCTAAGGACGCGGTTTTGATCGTTAACATATTAGTATATAATACAACCGAATATAAATATCTCCGATTCCTAATTGCATCTAATGGTAGTAATGAATCGGAGTATATATTTGCAGCGGTGAATGCCCTAAGTTTATCCTATAGGTACCCTGTCAATATCATTTCTAGATAAGGAGTAACTATACAAACCCCTTCTACAGCACCAAGAGCACCATCTTCCATCAACAACATGGACACAGTACCAACCAACAGGAACCTAGCCTCCATGCCGGGGGTGGGGGGACCATAATATCTCATTCTTGCGAGTACCAAAATGCGGCAAGGGGAGCCCTCAAAAGAATACAAAGTTGCGCAGGAAGGTCCAGGAGATGTGGAATGTAGTAGAGATGCTTCAATTGCTTGGAGACACGGAGGACCTTCAGATTGTCACAAGAGAAGTGCAGAAAGTCAGGACAGATAGCCAAGGGATGCTATCTGTATATATTGCTATGAATAAAGAAAAAGATGAACTCTGGTCCATACGCAAATGGCTGCGGCCCCGAGCCCGTTAATGGTAATGGCTTTCATGAAACTACATATTCCCGGGGGTCGGCCAGTCTTAAGCGTGTACTTATTTATACGATTTTATGTTAACTCTGGTCGGTTTAGGGGAGTGAGGTGGCTCACCTCATCGGTATCCTGTCATCGAATCTTGGATAGGACCATAACTTCTCTACGGTAATTCCATCTTCACTTACTTTAAAAAGTTGGATACCGATATACCCTGTTTTCAACAGCCCATGATAATCTAACACATAGGGCAAATTTTCAATCTCTCAAATTAGTAAGACTTAAGACACCCGGCTCGTTTACTTGCCCAACCCGCAAGCCGGACCATGTAAAAATAGGTAAGAAAAAGCTTCGAAATACTTCTACAATAAATCAACAGAAATCCAAGAAATTGCCACATTGAGCTGAAGTAAAGTGCAGAATATACTGGCCCGGTGGTTTGGTGCCTGGGGCGTGCTTGGAGTTGCTGTTGAGGCTCCGGGATGAGGCTGTGTTATACGAATTGTATATAACCCTCCTCCACTCCCCCCAGGATAGTTCCACCCTTCTTTCTCACAATAATCAATCATGGAAGATATTGCGACTTCTGAAATTCAGGTCTATGACCTCTCCACCAAGACAGTCAATTTGACGCCTACGGGAGCAACCGTAGTCCGGGAGATCACCACGAAGATCCAGGTATGTTATCCCGTCTGTTCCAATGGAGATCGTATTCTGACCCCTCCTTAGCCCGGCCTGAGTGAAATCACTGTTTTGGGCCTCGACCCTAAGATCGATGTCGACTCCATCCGCATCGAAGGCTCTGGTCCAGCAACTATCACTGACATTCAGACTGAGATAGTCCCTCGACGGCTTCTCTTTGAGGATGTCTATGGAGGCGAGCCGGACGACGACGATCTTAGTGACAATGACGATCCCAAGTTGAAGTCCCTTCGGGATGAGCGGGCAAGCGCGGAAGAGAGGCTCGAAAAAGCTCGCAACAACGAAAAAATGGCGGTGCAGGTGCTAGGTTTCATGGACTCTTACGGAAACAGAATGCAGCCTCAGCACACGGAGAACAGCAAATTGGAGGAGTTCGTCGAGCAGTATATCGAGCGGTATGCGACGGAGAGTGAAAGGCACAGCAAGGCAAAGGCGCAAGTGTCAAAAGAAGAGAAGGAGATCGAGTCACTCTCGGTTAAAATACTGAAGGTTGAGCAACAACTTCAGCGACGTCGCGACAAAAGCTTGCGCGAGCGTGAGCAGGGAAAGTCGCAGGAAATGCGCAAGAGAGACGAGCAACGACGTTTCTGGACGCAATCTGTGGGACAGGTCGTCGTGCACCTTGACAGCCAGTCATCACTCACGCCCGGATCGAGCCGACGCAGTTCTCTCTCTGTTGTCGAGCAACCGACCGACAGCCCAGCAGATTCCAGCGAGAGAGAAGTCACCCTGCGTCTGAGCTACGTCGTCCCTGGTGCGAAGTGGTTCTCCCGCTATGAGATGAACATCAACACTCCTTCGTCGACCGCCCGAGTTACATACGGCGCAGAGTTCCAGAACCGAAGTTCCGAAACCTGGAGTGACACCAAGGTCATTCTGTCGACATCGCAGACCGCATTCTCAGGGCTTCACGAGAACATTCCCTCTCTGCAGGTCTGGCACGTCAAGCTGATCAGCCAGGATGATAGCAACGAACAGCCTTCGTGGGAAAAGATTGTTCGCAGCGTGTCCGAGGGAGGACGACCAGCTGTGGACCATCGCACTGCCAATCAGGATTTTAAGATGCAGTCACAGCGTTTGGAACAACAGAAAAAACGCATTCTCTTAATGGCACGTCAGGACCCTAATGTACTGACGCGAGAGCCTCTACAAGCAGTGAAAGTACCTCCGCAGCCTGCAGGGCCCCCAACCCTCTTTAGGCGGCAACCGGCACCTATGGCAATGATGCAGCAAGCCGCACCCATGGCATCCGCACCTATGGCAGCTCAGCAACTAGCGGCCAATGTCTATGAGGATAACGATGACGATGGCAACAACAACGAAGATAATGAAGACAAAATTCTCCAACCCCCAAACCTTGAATACCAAGACTCAACCCGTCAAGAATACGGCCTAACAACAACCTACAACCTCCCCGGCCGCCGCACCCTTATTCCCTCCAGCGTCAACCGGCGCCACGCCCTCACCAAACTCGACCTCAAATCCATACTCCTCCAACATGTCATCGTCCCCAAGCACCGCGCTGCCGCCTTCTTCCGCGCCCGCATTCGCAACACCTCGTCCATCCAGATCCTCCGCGGCCGCGTGGGCGTGACTGTCGACAACGCCTTCCTCGGAACGACAACTATGCCCAACTGCGGGCCAAATGACTTCTTCGATATCTCGCTAGGGGTGGACCCCTCGATTCTGGTTACCTACGCAAAGCCCACGGTGCGCCGCGAAACTAGCGGATCTTTCTTCAGCAAGGAAGACACGGCGATTTTCTCGCGCTGCTGCTGGGTGAAAAACACCAAGGCCACCGCTGCCAACATCGTTGTGCTCGACCAGGTGCCCATGAGCAACGACGAGAAGCTGTATATGGCGATTCTAGAGCCCAAGGGACTTGTTAAGGAGGGTGATAAGGTCCCCATGGTGGAGGAGGAAAGCAAGGGCAACGGAGAGGTATTTTTAGGCAAGGATGGGGGAGTCAAATGGGTGATGCGGTTAGAGCCTGGGAAGGATCTCCGGTTTGTGTTAGAGTATGAGATGAAGGTGCCAAGAGGGAATGATGTTAGCGTTTCTTGAGTGGTGATTCTCGCTAACGTGGATTGCTACTCTGATTTTGTGAGCGGCCTACAATCTGAGGAGGAACAGTTACGATATTATGATTCTATTTCGACCCTTGTAGTCACGAGACGTTCTTAAATAGATAGCTTGGAAATGAAACATGGACACACTGACAACATGAGTAAAATGGCGTGACCTGTAGTACCATTAGGAAGTCCCGCATACATACCCTTAGACCAATGTTATTGTCCATTTGTACTCGAAACGCAATCCCTACTCTTCTTGCAGCTATACAGAACATTCTAGATGGTTAGCCTTATTCTTTATGTAAAGACATATACTCATACCCACGTTGCTCCCATATTCTAGTTCCATACATCAATACATTATCTTTCCTTTCTACCGTATATCTCTTAACTTGTCTTTGTCATAGATTCTTCATCCACAGCGTCGCTTACAATTTTATTCAAGTGATGACAGAAAATTTTGAAGACAACTGCGTTTGCTCTGCAGGCCCTTTCATTGGTTAAGAAGGACATGCAGTGCAACCATTTCCTTTGCCTACTGCACTACGATTGGCCGTAATTTTCGCTCCGTATATGCTAATTGTCGTGTGCTCTGTTTGCTCTGCATATAATTATCCAGTGGCTTACTGACAAACAGTGCAGCTGTACCACTTTCAGCTAATACCCCACTTCACCCAGCTCAGCTCAGCGTGTACGACACGATAAAATATATAAACCAGCGAGCCCAACAAGTCCGGCAGTAGCACAAACCCTGCGACTTCTTAAAGGGCTCTACGTTACTATACTCGAAGCTATAAGATACATTTAACTCGACAAAGACCAAGAGAAGCTACCTTAAGCCCACATCCGTCCACATACCAAACATGTCTATCCCAGCTGCTGGCTTCCCTTCCGGATGCCTCTCTACACCAGACCAACACGGACAACCGAGCAGTGATAACTCTCTCCGTCTATCAGTCACAACCACGACTATCGACGACGTTACGTCCTCGCACCCAGCGCCTATAACATCAACCTCAATGTCACCCCAGTCGGAAGTGGAGATCCCCGGTGTGACAAGGTCTGAGCGGACGATGTGGATTTTGAGATTTATGAAGAGGAGGACTGGACGGGTGTCGAGTTTGGAGGATTACTGATTTGAGTGGTGCATATGATACGATGTGATGATGTTTCTGGGATGGTGGAATAGCTTGATAATGTCAGCATTCGTTGTTTTTTTATTTAGTTCTATCTGGTGCTCAATCCAGGGAGTTGATTCTTATCTTATGCCATATTAAAACAAGAAAATAAGTAGATTCAAAATAAATCATCAATAATAATAGTCGCAAACAGAATACCACAAGGGGAAAATATCTATATGACTATGATCCACCAGCTACTCTCGCACCCAACTCCCCAATTGAAACATCGTCCAGCAACTGATGCGTCTCCAGCTTAACATCAAAAGTGCTCTGCATCCAAGATTATAAGTCTGCTGCAAGCAAGAAGTCAAATCCGTATGATGCAGCTGTTGCTGATGGGTTGATAATTTGTTCGCAGATTGTTGGAAGGGTGACTAGTTTTGTAATCAAGGTGGTTGCTGGGCCGGATAGGTTTTCCGTATGGTTTCTTTTGTCGCTTGGACCTGGGGTTGTTTTGTGTGTGGGTTGGTTGGTCGAAGGTGTCAGTAGTGACGCTGAAAGTTGTAAAGTCTCCAGTTGAAGGGCATTTCGGTATCGTTCAAAAGGCTGGTGTTGGACTGTAGACTGTCGCTTGACCCAACAGGGAAAATGGCACACTCATTGGCAGCTGCTGGGGTACATCCATTTGTCCTATCTAATCGCCAATTTTTCCCGGAACTGGTGCAAGCAATTGCCAGTTTTTGGACGCTCCAGAATTTTGCTCCCTGCAACTGACCTGCAAAAGGTCTATGAAAGCACGGAGATATTTTGCGCGTTCTTATCTTCGGACAGTGCAGACTAATCTTTCTTTGAATGAGTTGCAAACATCGGAAAGTATGTCTCACAGTCCCAGAATCCAAGTCTAGCACCACTGGTCCAAAATTTGGTGGTTTAAGCACAACCAAAGGGAATTGATCTTGGGCATGGGATTGTGTGGAATCGACACCCTACTGGCCATCCTCCTATGCCACAACAAGGAACCCAACAGTTGTCACGGCCTCGGAATAGTAGATACTAACGAAATGATATATTAAGAGCTAGGCCCGGAATGCTAATGACTAGTTTTGGTACAAAAGATCTCGTCGAAAAAGAAAGGAACGAATGCCCAGGCAGGCGCTTCATACATGCGTGCAGTGCGGGTAGATAGCTCCTGATATCTCTGTCCGATATCCTCTCCGGCCTACTAAACATATCGCTCATGCGACAGGCGCAGCCTGTGACATGATATTCCTACCGAACCGTTGACGGGAATATCGAATCTGAGGAAAGAAAGAAAGAAGAATCTATTTACATGAAGACATCTACAGGTGCGCGGCGTCGCTAAGCGGTTGTTTAACTCAATTGCTCGTATTACACTGTTTGCCATGCTGATGTTGTTTGACGATGGCAGCGCTGAAGCACTGAGTGTCGCAGTTATCCATGTCTATGCCCTGGGTGTCAAATTGTGAGGTCTCGGATGTTTCTCAATGGTGCGCGGTTTCGTGGGAGATTCCGCGCGGATCCTCATGGCGGGGTTCCGGTAGGCGCCAGCCCAGTCATTGGCCTCCATACGTGTGTGGAGGCTGATTTGTCGGTGTTCCGGCGCAAGGCTGGTTGGCAGGTCTATGTGATCTGATGGTAGGTGTGATTTGGGGCTGGTATTTCGTGATCGGCTTCCATCTAGAGAGCTTGTATTTTGTTTATCAATGAATCCAGACGGCCCCGCGCAGGATTAAATACTGATAAGGTGGATCAAGTCGCAATGGCCTGTGGTACTTGCGTGATCTAGGAGTGCCGGGCGGGAAATGTATATAAAACACTGAGTCCGGGTCTCCAATACCGTTTTTGTGCATTGCCAGTTATCATCATGGCTCCTCTAATTTCAGACACCTCGCTCCCCTTGCGCTCTGCGCCCAATGAGAGACCCGGCACTGATCAGGGGCAATATCCTGCGCCATTACAACAGAGTGGATTGCTAGATAAGTTCTCATTTGAAGAAACAACGCCGGCCATTGGTCGTGAATTCCACAATGTCAACATTGTCGACGACCTCTTGAACGCCCCGGATGCAGACGAGCTGGTGCGGGACCTTGCTATCACAAGTAGGAAATGCTCGTATTTCATTCAATAGCCCTGGCTCTAACCATGTACTATTCAGTCTCTCAACGGGGTGTCGTCTTTTTCCGTGCTCAAGATAACCTCACTGATGAGCTGCAGAAGAACTTGGTGCAGCGCTTAGGGCAGCTAGCTGGCAAGCCAGCTGACTCGACTCTGCACATCCACCCGGTGCTTAATAACACCAGTGAATTTGGTGTCAGCGACGCGCAGGTCAGCACTATCAGCTCGCTTGCCCGCAAAAAGATGTTCCGCCATGAAAACCAGCCCAACAAGCGTCGCTATGATTCGGCCCAGTGGCACTCGGATATTCAATTCGAACCCGCCCCGGCTGACTACACTTCGCTTCGTTTGACCCAGTTACCCAAGACTGGTGGTGACACTCTCTGGGCGTCGGGATATGAGCTCTATGACCGATTCTCACCAACATATCAGAAGTTCTTTGAGGGCCTGACGGCAACCTACACTGGCTCTGGATTCCTCAAGGCTGCTGAGATGGATCCTGATAATATCAAGGTCTACACTGAGGCAAGGGGTAGCCCACTGAACATCGGCTCGGATTTGTCCACTGTTCATCCCATCGTACGAACAAACCCGGTCACTGGTTGGAAGAGCATCTTCGCCGTTGGGCCATTCCCTAAACATATCAATGAGCTCAGCGAGAGTGAGTCAGATGAGCTGCTGAAGAAATTCTACAACACTATCCTCGAGAACCATGACCTCCAGGTGAGGCTGAAGTGGAGGAATCCCAATGACATCGGTAAGTCTCACAGATATCTTTCATTTCCCCCCGAGTAACTATTTCTGATCAATATCCTCCAGCCATTTGGGATAATCGATGTGCTTTCCACACTGCCACATTTGACTACGAAGGTCTTGGCGAACGATTCGGCCACCGGGCGGTTGGTATTGGCGAGAAACCGTATTTGGATCCAAACAGCACATCCAAGGCCGAGGCACTGGCTGCTGGAGATTTTTGAATCGACGTTATGTTGAGTGCTGAGGCGCTGTAGTTTGTTAAGTGTCGATTAGGTTCTTTATTGCCCGCAAGGTTTGGGGCATTATGTAGACACCTGGACATGGGGCACAGACGACTTACTATTGCAGGGTGTATACTCATGCAGATCCTCTGTAGCAGAATTGTATATATTTTATTGTGAGGAATATCAGCACATCATAGTGATAGAAGAAGAAGAATTACGAATTCCTATTTGGACGCTGGATTTGGCTACCATTCAGTAATCACACACATGTCTCGACTACTATTTTGAAGTTGAGGTATATTGTGTCCTGCTGCAATCTCAGGGTTCTCCAGTCCCTGTTTTCATCGGGGCAATTGACCTGGCGAGAACTCATTTCCATGGCGCCGGGCAATTCGACGTATGCTACTCATGGGGTGGGGAGTCTACCAGCAGTATCGGTCATATGTCTTCTTGTCCAAAATTCAACCAGGAATCAAACCGTGAGATTGCCTGTAGAGCCCGAACAGAAGCCATCACAACACAGAAGCAGAGATGGCTCACCAAGGAGCTCAGCCAACGATCTCAACAAGGTCAACGAATGTACAGGCCACGGAAAAACTGGCAGCTCAACCCAACAGCTGCAGTTGCTCCCAAGCATCTGGCAAGCCGCTATTTCAACTGAAGTCAGGACATGCAGTTATTGGAGTATATCTACATCAAATCAAGGCCCAAGAGGATGCAACCTGTAGAGATTGTGGCTTATTAAGGGAAACAATACACCATCTTCTCTTCAAATGCCGGAAATGGCGACACCAACAGAACAAGCTCTACAGGGATCTGAAGCTAGATGGAGTTGTGAGACCCACTGCTGAAGAGGAACACCCACAGGGACGGCTTTTAGGAGAGCCCAGAGCTACCAGGGTGCTGTTACAATTCTTGGCTAGTACAAGCGTAGCTCTACCCCGAGCACACTCTCAGCAAACGGCAGAAAGGGCCCAAAGAGACAATGAATGGGGACTGAAAGCACTGTAAGAGGCGATTAGAACAGGAGAAGGATAGCAGGGAGGGTAGCCTAAGCTGAATCCCCAGCTTAGACCACCCACCCTGCTCTGAAACACAAGGAGAGCACTCTGCTCGAAAGCCCTGCGCATACAGGTGGTTTGGGGCGAGTAAAAGGATCAGAAAGATTATAGAAGGAGGCTAGTGCCTCAGGAGCTTATAGGGATAAGAAACTGTAGAATAGCTATCAGCCTCAAGTCTACGAATAAGGGTCTATCATAACTCTAGGGATCGGTATGGACAATAAACTTGATTAAATAATAATAGCGCACTCACCCAGGCTCACATCTGGTCGCTCTAACTCACTTAAAGAACGCTTGATATATCTCTCTAACTGAGAGGCAAGTACATACGACCATAGGGTGTGGAGAACAGGGCTTCCCGTCCGCTCAGCCGTACTTAAGCCACACGCCGGCCGGTTAGTAGTTGGGTGGGTGACCACCAGCGAATCCCGGCTGTTGTATGTTTTTGTTTTTCCCTTCATTTTTTGCCCTGTGTCTTTCTGGGGACAGTTCTGGCGCTATTGATCTTTTCAAACATATCAAATGGTCATTCAATAACCCAGACTCAGATGGCAATAAATTCCGAAATTAGAATCCAAATAGGTCTCCAGCAGCACCAATTGGATACTGATACCATCACCTACACCGGCAAATTATATTTTGGCGACCCTGACGCCGATGTTAGGGGAGAATGAATGGCCGTAGCAGCGCTCGCGGAAGTCACAGAGATATTGCCGATACAGTGCCGCGCAGGTTATAGAATAGCACAGCTAGTCACTCTTCCAATTATGTACATCTTGACATTATAGTCTTTGACAATGTTGTTGCTTTTCCCTAGAGGTCTTTGACAAGATGGGGATCTTTTCCGAAATCATCTGTCACGACTGCAACCAGTAGCGTATAAATATCTTTAAACTGTCGAACGCTCACACAAATGTCGTAATCAATCCCTGTTGAGCTTTCCTGGGCCGCGCTAACAGGCCTTAAACGGGTCATAATCTCCTGCCAGAATCCATTCCAGTGTCAAGATACTCACAAGCGTCCAGTTAACCTCCGCATAATCTGTCCGGAATAAGCTGTCGCGACGGTTTTTCTCCATTATCCAAACTCCCGAGAGGTTTCGTAGCCATGATTCCATTGTCATGTCCACATTGTTCAAATGGTCAAGCTCTGCTTGAAATGCAGACACAAACAGGTTGACTACTCTCATATCCAAAAAACTTGGGAAGCCTCCCTGCGCGGCCATGTCTTGTAAATCCATTGCTCGTCTGACTGCAGTTTAAGCATCTCTTGGAGGCGGATTTGTGTTTTATAGGAAGAGATTATGCATGTTGCCGAGCCGGACAATAATGACTATAGGCTGGCTGGTGATGGTAATCTGCAAAAATAGCAGCAGGAGAAGGGATTGACAGAGGAACGATAGAGAAACAGGCAATTCTGGGAAAAAATCAGCAACAAAGCCGGCTGGGAGACGGGCATCTACCCCACCGCTAGTGACCGGGCATAAATGGAAGGTATGAATATGTAGAATATTTATTTATTTATTTAATCAAGTTCATTCAAGATCACGGCGGCCTGCACGGTGCAGCAATTGCAACCAAGAGGGCCATAATGGATTAAAATGCCCTCTTAGATAGTAATAGATTTAATAGATTCGGCATGCTTTATAACATGGAGAGGATACTACGTAGACCTACGAAGTAATTAGTATGCGCCGCCGCCGACCGCGCAATTCGGTGATATGCGCAACTCGGTGATAAATTACGTTAATCAATTTAGATGAATCAGCGACTTATGCAAAAGAATCAGGCCAAATAAGGTGTCTTTAGGTGTCTATGGGGGACCTGTGGGAGACCAGGGCATGCCTATGGGCGGGCCTTGGGCCAGGGGTCCGGCCCATGGGCGACCTATGTCAATGTCTACATGGGAACATAAGAACAGGAGACAGCATTCTCGTAAAGAGCCAAAAATTGGACAGTCTGGGTGATGTGTGCTTCTAGATACGGCTTGATATGCACATCCAGATCTTCCTTTGTATATCTCGGGATATTAGGACGATATGTACCATCCATTTTGGCGTACAAGAAGACCTGATTCTCTTTCCCAATTGTTACAAGAAAGGAAAAGCTTTCACACCAGATCCGATGCACCTCTCCTGGGTTGATACCCGGAGTGGTACTGGAGATTCCAAATACACAAGAGTATTCAATTACCCTCGCTACCGAGTGTTGTCAGTCAGTACTTGAAGTACCCACTTTGTCTTTAATGTCATGTCCGAGAAATCTATAGCTTAAGTTTTATATTATATCATACCCAGCTGATCCAGGGACCTGGATAAGAACCATGTCACGAAGATTCTTTCTATCAGGAAATCAGAAATAGCATGAATGCCAGATTTCTAGCAAAAAGGCAACAAATCGGTGAGGCCGAATGTATGAAGCTCTCATATGGGACGACCCTGGTCAATGACCTGGTCGATCTTTAAAGTGACACAATGCGCAAGCAAAGAGAGAACACAATCCTCAGAGGCATAAGAGGATCGGCCTGTCGATACCTCAACAGGCAAATTCTTGATTGCATCATTTACACAAGAGAACTAATTGAATCCAAGCAGCTGCTTGCCATTGTGACCATGACTCCCACTAGTATCAGGCAATGGGATGATGGACAGACGCTTAAGGGCTCTGACTGCTTTGTCACCGAGCTGATGTCTGGCCTCACGCTGGGCCTCGTCTAGTTCTAGTTCCTCTTTCCTAGCAAGGGCCTTTAATTGCGATCAGTGTCTATTCATAAACGGGGTCTTGTATTAGACTCACCAAGTCATTTTCCCAGTGCTGGAGCATAGTGCTTAATGTGTGTGGTTTTCCAAGTGCCTCTGGTGTCTTGTCAAGGTAGGCTGCAAATAAATTCCACTCCTCTAAATCTCCAGGGCCATCGCTCTCGTAAGGTGCGAGGTCAGATGAAAGAATGTTGTACTCGAACCATTCCATGCATTCTGGCATCCCCTGGTTCCGGTATCCTGCAGACCCCGCGTTACGCAATAACGCATCAAATTCTGGGCTCAAACGATCTTTCAATTCATCGTATACTCCGTCGCGTTTGTCCATCCATCTCCCGAGGGTTATTTTCCATTCCAGGACTAGCCGCTCTACTCCACCAGGCACGAGGTAATTGCCATCCAAAATACTGCCCGCTTTGAGATCTCTCAGATTCCAGTTGTGCCGGGTCAACGGTTGAATTCGATCAAGGAAATCTGCCTGGGAAAATTCGGCTATTTTCTCAAAACATCGTATGTGGTAAAAGTCTGAATATGAGGCATTATTGTCATGTTTTGGAAAACAAAATAAGCGGCGCTGGCCATTTTGACTCACCAGCTGACGATCTGTACCATTGACCGAAATCCATCGCAGGATTCAATGCGAGACGTAATTCTCTGGGCCATATATTATTGCCGCATATGGGAAGCTTGCATTTGGCTCCCCTGGGAGAATCAGGTGCCTTCTCAATGAAGAACAAAGGTTGGAATTTGGGCGGATCAGATAGACCACCAGGCTCTGGGCTGAGCCCCAGATGCTGACGGAGTCGTTTCCTCTCGTTCTCTAAGATATAATTATTTTGTCCACTCTCATCGTCGTGAGGTGTTCCAACAACCTCCGTGTTGCACATGGCAGACTGAGCAAGGGTGAAATGACGAGAGGCACGGGAGTTGATATGTTTCTTATAAATAATCAACCTCGAGAATCAATTCATCCAGCGACTTACTGCACAAGGAGAAACAAACAGCTCCAGGGATGTTCAAGGATCGGTAAGAGTGAAACGTACAAACGCTTATGTTCGCAGGCAGAAGCAATTTTCCCATACGGAAAGGCGGACTTGGATTTGTCGAAGGATTGCTGAGAAAGTTGGTCTGGCTAAACTCGCTTGCTTAAAAGCAAGCGAGTTTAGCCAGCATGCCCCACTCCATGAATTCGAGAGGATGAATTGATTGGTAACTTGTTTACAGGTACGACGCTGAGGGCCGAGCCTTGTTGGCCACTTTCCGGGCATTGTTATCGGTAGCATCCGAGTAAGCACAGGTAATGTATCAAAATGATACTGCAAATGATATCCTCAATTCCATCAGAAAAAAGTGCAGTCTCGGAGATGAGAAACAAGCATTCCTTTCCCTTATACGGGCAACAGGCCCTTTCTTTATACGTGTAATAGACCTTATAATATCAGTCTCAAGTGACGATGCGGGGAGGCTGGAGCGGGGATCGATTTGGTTTGCTCAGTGCAGAAGAGTGGGTGTATATTGACACCGTTGTTGAGATAAAATGCAGCAGGGAAGGAGGGCACTTTGGTTTCTTATTACAGTATTGACGGCTTGGTTAAGCTATAAACATCTGGTACTCAGTGACAGATTCCAATAGACTACTTACACTCTTACTCCCCTGGGGGGGCTCTTGCTGAGATACCCCTTTACTCCAGAGCTCGGAGCTTATCGCTTCGTATAGACCCCGGTGCTTACAGCATGGTATCCTTTTCTGCCTACTCTTGCCGTCAACTCACTCCTCCATTCCTCGCCGTTCAACAACCTCTCCACCGTCTTCTCAAACGTATACATAGGCTTCCATCCCAGCTCCCTAACTGCCCTGCTGGAATCATACACCCGATCAATTCTCTCGAGGTGCTTCCAACCCTTTTCCTTGAACAGGGCTTCCAATTCCGGAAAGATCTTATTTAACACCGCCGCTGGATCCCGATTCAGCGCATCAAGTGTGTCCGCATTGTTGTCAAAAGGCGGCGGTGCACTGATGATATACTTCCCCCATTGAATCTCCCTCGCCCTTCTCATTGCGCATACCGACGCGCTGATAATATCCTCAATGTCGCATCGCCGATAAGCCAACTCCAAAACCTTCAAATTCTCATCTCCCATAGCAGCGCGCCGGTCTTCATCATCATCTTCCTCGGGGAAAAAGCGACTCGTGCGGAGAACTAACACCGGCAACTTGCTCCCCTTGTGCACCAGAGCGCACATATCCTCCGCCGCAACTTTTGTCACACCATAGATATTCTTCGGCACGGGGGTCACAGATTCATCGATCCAGGCGGCAGGTGATCCCGGGTTAGGATCCAGCGCCTTGCCAAAAGTACTAGTCGTGCTGAAAAACACGAAGCTCTCGATTCGGGATATGAATTTGGATGACTCTTCCAGGAGGACTAGAGTGCCGAGAATGTTGGTTGAGATGAAGTGTTCCTTGCTGTGGCTGCATACGTGCGGTTTGTGCAGTGTTGCAGTGTGAAGGATGTGTTTGATGGGGTTGGAACCGAGAATAGAGGCGATAAAAGCGCGGTCGCTAACAGAGCCTACGACTGATGTCGTTAGAGAAGGGAGGATGTCGATTCCCAGAGGTTTGAGGCCCAGGGAGGGCAGGGTGAGCATGAGAGCGGTGCCGAGATGGCCAGCCGAACCGGTGACGAGGACATCGTATGGTGAAGACATTTTTAAGACGCCGGTAGAGGGTAAATATGCCAGTTGCCAGGCGTTCTATTAGGAGTGGTCCAGTTTATGGGGAAATCGATGGTGTCGTTACAGTACCTTACAATGACTCATATATGACACCCCGCCAATGGATTGGCGTTGCTCACATGTGATGGGGAACTTGGGAAAGTAAATATAATGCCGACCAGCGCCTAGTAATTGAAACTCTATACAAATGACATCAAGCCTCCTGCTTGATGTTCAAAGGACGGCCGAGGTATTTGCCCTGAGAATATACCCCCCGAGAGACCTACTGGCTAGGACGGAAAAATGTGATAAAGTAGTCAGCTTGCTCTTTCCAAAAAATCATGGTTAGAGGATCGAAGCTGGTCACGAGGTATTTAGATATATTCAATGAGGGTTTCAAACCTCCCGTCGTTCCTGCTTTACTTCTAGGAAATGATTACTGCCAGGTCATCGCGATGGAACAGGGAATTAGTCTTAGCGACTTCCTTTTTCTCAATCCGGCGTTGAACAAAAACTGCAGCAATCTATACTTGAATCATGGCTATTGTACGAGCTCTTCTTCTTGGAGTATGGGCAGTCTAGAGCTAATCCAAGCAACCCTCTAGGCATACAAGCATTTGAAATATCGGATCATATTCCGGCTATTCCACTGTCAGTGCTACTGGTTCCATATCCTTGATTTCCTGTTATACCGGACTAATCACAGGGACATCTACTCCGTGGGATGGCCTTCCAAGTGCCACGGGTCTAGCATCGAGGACTTCAATTGCTACTCTCTCAGCCCCAGGTCCAACCCAAACTGGTATCCCTTGTACTTGCGATGATTACATGTTGCAAGCTGATGGTAAGTTTCTTGGTCATTGACTCTCAGCACAAATTTGACATTTCCTAGGTATGTACTGCTACGATATGGCTGTGGAAGCAAGCATCATGTTGAACTAATTGTATAAATGTAATCCGGCTCTAAGCGGTGATCGTAGCGGGCTTTAGCCTGGGTGTGCTTACTGCATTGAGGTATCGTAATCTATCCAGCCTTTAGTGGGATGAGAATGGCTAGGCTAGTCTACTTAGATTGAGTAATCATAACATGTGGGCATCCCTGTTTTGTCTCTATGTTTAGCGTCCTAAAAGTCTGAATATATATACTTTCTACATCAGCAGTAGAATCCACACTATTTTATCGAAACAGAAGTTGTATATCAAAAATGTTCTCTTCTGTGGTGCCTTTATCAAGCTACTCATAACGAATTATATTATTTGCCACTCTGGCGCTCTATACGAAATTCTAAAAATGATACGGCTGCCTCTATCTATAAAATACCAATGTAGTTGGCAATAATAGTTAGGAAGGAATGGTAATGAGTACAGTCACTTGACGAGATTATGCTGCAGTCTTACTTTACACGAGGGATACTCCACAAGGAATGTACACAGAAGAGATAGTTTGCGAAGAGGGCGAAGTGAAATCTAATTGATGCTACGGGAATGCCAGCACCTGAAAAGTGGCCCAATGAAGACTTGCTTGCTTGGTATTACATTAATATTATCCGCATACATCAGGTTGGAAAGTCCGGCTTCTCAGCATACATTGATCGAGCGTTGGTTTGGGGTCACAAAAGTGGTACATAGCGCACTCACAAGCTCTAGGGACATGGCAACTGGTCAATGACAACAACCATATATCTCGGGATTTATCCGCCTTCTCACCCTTCAGTCCCCAGGCAGATACCAACCCTTCTCCTAGTTTGTACTGCCACTCAGTGCTGATGTTCAACCTGGTTTGTCCTGTTCTCAGGTTTCTTGTGAAATTCAAGTATTCATTACTTCCCGCTTCGCCAATCTCGCCTCGAAATGAGGATTATAATTTCTGCAAATGTGGCACTTTCTGCGCAGCGTGTCCTATCGCTACGTACACCTTATCAACTTGATGACACTTGACGAGTCCGCATTTAGCATAATATTCACTGTCATGTTCCCATGGTTCAAAGGTGTCTTCTTCTAGATCCCCTTCCCAGTACTTTGTGTAATGTACTGTTTACCCGGACATTCTCAAGATGCACTTCTCGAAGTCGCATACTGAATGTTCGAAAAGTGCTGGAGTATTCATCCAGTCCATTGGGTGAGAGGTAGTTTGCTGCACCACGGGCCAGGTTGAGAGATAGTTCTAGGTGAGTCGCAATAGAATATGTGAATGTTTCTACCGATCCTGGTACGAGCTGGAGACTATCAGTAACCTCTGCGACATGATGTCAACGCTCTGCAAAAATCACTAGATAAAAGAAAGAAAAAAAAAAGAGAGAGAGAGAGCCATTTTTCCTCTACTCGTATAGAGCCTATGGAGCATTTTGGTAGGATATACTGACACCTCCTAAAAGGCATGCTTGACATGTGGGAGACAGTTGAGTATACAAAAGGATGCCCATGGTCGCACCGGGTTTCTTCATGATCGTGCAACTAGAACCATTTGACAAACGGCAAAGTTGACATTTCCTGAAAATTTCTGGCAGTGAAATGCAATATATGAGGCATCTGACTCATTTTCCACAGCTGGTCAATAGTTAGGGACTCCGTCTCCTGTTCAATTTCAGAACTCAGATAGACATTATCTCTCAACCAGAACGAAAGCGACATGTTGGACAGCTGATCCTTCCATGAATCGAGCAGCCAGAACATATTGAATATAGAGCTCAGACCCTGCTGGTGATACCAGTCTGGTAGAAGCTTCGCGTGGACCTCATAATTCCCTTGATTTTCGCAATTAAATTGCGCATTTCAACGCTTGGTCCCCAAAGAATATATCGAATATACCCACCCTTGCGCGTCGATAAGACTCGCCAGAAGTGAACTGATTTAGTTTTTCAAACGAACCTGGGCTTGTTGACAGAGATTTGTTGCCAGATAGTTCGTTCCAAAATTGCTTGCCATTGATGAGAAATAACCGTGTACTGGGCAAGTTTCGGGGTTTGCCCATGTCTGCCGAAAGGACTTTGCTTATTCTTGGATGGTATCACATCCTTTAAAGAGGAGATGATGAATTGGATCAATGTATTTGATAAAATTGCTATCCTTTCTATGCTTTTCTATGTCTCGTGGCTTTTGAAATCGGAAATCGAAGATAATTTTGCATTTCAGTGCGATGGGCGGAGATCAGATGTTGAGCCGAGACAAATATGACTAACTATTTATTAACTTCTAATTCTTCTAGCGAGGCTAAACAGAGGTTAACGCGCGGAGTCCTAAAATTAGGGTTACGTTCTCCCTTTCTTTTACATTAATCTCTTGTACAACCCTAGAGACGAAAAGATCATTTCTTCGGCCCGGTGGACGGCCCCTTGATGATCTCGAGTTTAGGTTCCTTCTCTTTATTACCGTAGCCTTGGTCTGACTCGCTTGATTCAGCTATTTGCATAGCCGTGGTGTTGTATTGTAGATACGTATGTAGCTAAACTGAAATGGATAGAAGAAAGTCTCGAGGCGGGGGAGGGGGGTCGATCTGGGCAAATTGCCACTAACGATTAACCTCGTTATTGCAATACTCCAATATATATAGGTACTGAATCCTGATTCTTTCTTGTCTATCGATATAGTAAAGATGGGCAGGGGAAGAGCCCATTCTAGGAAGATCATTAGTAGTTACGGAGTAGGTAGGTCGTGAATTGACTGGATCGTACGCAAAGCCTAAATCATTAACAGTGGAATTCGGCCATAAATCGATTGATAAGCTTGATAAGAGATAAAGGTCTAAGCGTATACAAGATTCATCTCAGGTAAAGAATACTTTCGTTGACTCGAAAGATATACTCTTATTGCTATAACCCTATCTCTATAACGCAAAGCATCTCTCAATACTATCAGCGTTGTTACCCCACCAATGAACCATCTTGGTACCAGTTGTCCCCAAGAAGACAAAGATAAACAATAGATTCGCGTTGAATCCAGTATCCAACGCTGCACCACTGATATAAGCCCACTTATTCCAGAATACCCTCCTATATCGATAGAGAAAGAAGTTGGTGAAAGTACCGACGAGGAATGTCGTAAAAGGCCCAGTGCTAAGGTTACCGTAGAAGACTGCTGCCGATGCGAAGAATATAGTCGTATTCCACAGATCGAAACGAGCGCGAGGGAATTTCTTATGCAACACCCACATTACACAGGGGGCAAGCGCGCCTGCAAGGAAGCCCCAGAGGATGGGTCTAAAAAAGTCCGAAGCGAAGAGCCTCCGCGGGCCAACAAGAGCATACTGGATGCCAGCTGTGTTGTACGATTGGAATTCTTGACCGGTCCACTGGCCGAGGGGGTCTGTCTCCCTGCCGCTGACGTAGTCGAACTTGGTGGCGATGACCCAGCGCATAACGCCGTAGTTTATGGGTAGCGCAAACATGTTGGCTATAATTTGGATTCCGATAACTTGTCGGGGAGGTAGGTGAAGGTAATGGCCAACCTGTAGTCAATAATCAATATTTTATAATTGATGGATGGCAGGGTAAGTAATCGAACCTTTTGATCTTCTAGAACTGTACGAGCATCGTACCACACATTTCCGGAGATAATTCGATAAGCAAGCTGGCCCAAAGGATGTCGTGATGAACCCTTCACGTCAATCATATCTGAGCAAGTAAACTTGTCAGTTGGATGTAACAACCAAACACAAGCTTCCGTCAACTCACATCCATAAAGAAGCTCGTTGAAGTAGCCGACCTTGATGGAGAAGCCCGACATAGCATATACAAAGCTCATCGGTAACATTGCCGCTGCACCAAAACCCAATGCTATAAAGTACGTCCAGATAGGCATGTAGATTGTCTTGGAAACAGCGATACCAAGAAGCATTAGGATTGGTACCAGAGTAAGCGCAACCCACTCCCTGTCATGCTTGTTAGTTAAAATTGTAACGAAGAAAGGGAGGATCTCACCATTTCGTGATACCAGGATACCGTTGGATAATTCGGCTAGCATAGGTTAGTTAGAATATCCTTATACGAGATTGGCACCATGCGTAAATACCTCAATCTATCCTGATGATAAGATCCTGATTGCTTTCTAGCTTTCCATATTTTGTGGATTTTGGGGCCTAGAAACAGACCGCACCAAACATAGGAAGACATATACGAGGCCACCCACTGCGAAGATGTCAGTAAAGAAGGAATGGAGCCATGCAGAAAGTGGGTCTACCATGAACATCTGCCACGTATATTGAGCTCCCGAGTAGGCAAGGCCTACTTCATCATATTTTGTCTCGTTAAAATGCTGCATGCCATTCGGATCGAGGTAGACTTGAAAGCCATCAGCATACGTCCCAAAATGTCATAGCGAAATGCCCACTTAGATCGTTGAACGGATAGTCTGACCCGTTCTTCAGGAATACACCGTTAGACATGATATTGTAAGTCGGCGACCCCCAAAGGTTCCCAAAATACGCAATAGGAATTAGGATCCAACACTGGAAGATATCAGAGAGTAATACTTCGACGCAGGGCATTTACATCGACTCACCGTCAAAACGAATGCCAGGAAGATAATCACTTGCACACTGTAGGGATACGTGATAACTAACGAAGTGATATTGGACCAATTAAGGGTTATGTTTAACAATCCCATACCACCACGGCCTGCTCCGATAAAGTTGACAGTGTGGCTGCGACTAGCAAACCAGCATAACGGAGCCAGAGATGCCACAAAGGGAAAAAGGTATTCTGGTAGGAACTGCCAAACAAACGTAGCCAGGAGTATTATCCAAAACATCTGTTGACAGTGTGAAATTAGCCAGCGTTAAGGAAAAAAGTGATTATTGCTGTGACAAAGACGTGCCTTCACCTGATCCCGCGCTCTTTTCTGGTCGTATCTGTTTTTGGTATCCATACTTCGGTAGAGTGTCACCTGTTGTAAGGACAGAGGAAATATGAATTCGGGGTCATCTATCAGAATTTTCCGAACTAGATAGGTCAGTTTTACCAGATTCGCTGACGGATACCACGAAGTACCTACCCATTGCAGCGAATGCAAAACCGAGCAAGGAACAACCCTGGCCTTTAATAAGCATATTGCTTTGGTCTGTATAGAAGTTTAAACCTACCCAGCCAAAGAATAAGGCGACTGCCGGGTTCATGGTGATGCCATAGTACAAGGCAGCGTTCGTGGGCAGAAAAGCTTTTGACATTAGACGTGCTCACATATTTGGACAGATTTGAATCTCTTACTAGCCCATTGACCTTGACTTCCAGCATTGGCAGCAATACCAACAATTGCGTGCTCCTTAGTTGACCAAGGACCCGGGTTCAAAGAGAATGAAAATATTCCCAATGACACCCTATAGGCAGGTAGGATACGTGCGAGGAAACGACCGAGAGGGTCAGACGCCAGAATTACAAAGAATACTGGGAATGGAGCGTAACTTGTTCGAAAGCTAGTAGGTTGTGAGCCATAGCGTTTGGTGCCAAGTTGCCGCCAGCGAGACCTACTAGGACAATTGAGAAACAACACTACCGATTGCGCAGAATATCACTGATAGAAGAATTGAGCGGAAAGTCAAGACTGGAAGTGATGGGTTGTCTTCGAAGCCAACAACAGTCCGCACTAACTCAGGGATATTCTTGAACTCGGCGGAATCAAAGTCATATTGCGACTCGTTGGAATAATCGACCTCATTTCTATCAATTGAGTCTAGATCCTTGACCTCTGGGGGCTGCACCTTCTCAGTAGGGAGCTTCTGTGGTTCTTGTCGTTGTGCCATGCTGGTTAGAGGATTGCTGTCGACAGAGATACAGCTGCTGAAGTCAATACTTCCTTACTTAAATTATGTCCAGCCGGGTATCTCCCGAGTCCTTCGCGGTGGTAGATGGGAATTATGCAATGCTTGAACCAAATGATACCGGCACGGCGAGGAAGGTGGTCCCAGATAAGAACTCCTCTGCTCAGGACATAAGAGTCTTCTACCTGGACAAGGCACATCCACTCTGCCGGAAATTGGCCTTTGAATAGGAAAGGTGTGCCACAGTTAGCATCTCTAAGCCATTCGCGATGATTGGAGAGCATGTCGTAAGTCAGGGATCAATGCAGACGTTATCTCGACCATGCAAGACGAGTCTAGGGGATTTCGCAATGACAAAAGGACGCGTTGTAAGTCGAAAGATGGGTTGGCCTAGACATTATTTCGAAGCCATTTAATCTAAGTTTGGAGAGCTTCAAGCTTGGCTTGTCTAGGGTATCTTCGTCTACTAGTCTTTACCAATCGCTAAATTTCTTATTGCGGATGGCGGAAATGGCGCAAGAATGGGGTGAAAGGTGCAATGAGGGGAAGTCGAATTGGGGCTCGTGAGCGCTTGTCAAAGGGACATACTGGCGCTCTTTCCGCTGATTATCTCGGGTCTCAATCGTAATAGCATGGGATTCATGAGCGGCCGGTTTTCCGAACTATAAGCCGGTTCCCAATTTATCTTCCCCGCAAGAAGACGCTTCTTCGTTGTGTAGCCAAGATCTGTATACATCAATCGCGTGCTATTGGATTGGATATTTCTCATGTAAGAAGTGGATATTGTCATCGGTCTTTGTCCTTGTCCAGGAGCTGCGGGAATGACCCTGCTAATTTTTGTCGGATAAGGTCTCCCTCTTCTTAGATAGGCGGTCATCATATATTCCATTCAAAAGAGGAAGAAATACCGAATCGGAAGATATCCAACGGTGACCGGGCGAAGAACACTCGAAACCACGTATAATGGCGCCATGGACGCAGAGTATTAGCTGCTAGCTAGGTCCTCTCCATGATACTCCAAGTGAAGACAGGGTCGGTCGTATTGCATTATTAACCGAATCTATAATGAAATGTTCTAAGCTGTTGGTGATATGTCATCATCATATATAAATACTTACTCTGTAGTTATTTGACTGACTCGGTTGTTTGCCCGTTATTCTTCTCCAACTCTTTCTCTCTTCAAAAGGCCCCCCTCCCTATTAGAGCATTGTTATTCTTTCTCGTCATTATTTATCAGGTTATATTGTGATATGTTAGCTAAGCTCTGAAACTCATGTAGAAATATGGCCCCTTCCTGTTACCTGCTCCTGGCAAATTGCATTGCTGGTGCTTCGGCTTTCGTGCTGCCCTTTTTTGGTCAGACGCCGATGACAGTTGGAAATCTCAGTCCTGAATTCACGTGTGATCTACCCCCTGTTCTTGATCCTGCCGGTGATGGGTTACCGTCGGCAGTGAGCCTATTCTCGTCAGATGAGGCGTTGGAACGACAGGTGAAACGTCACCAGGCCATTGTGCAGGTTCCGTCGGTCTCCTACGATAATTTGGGCGAAATTGGCAAGGATGAGCGATGGGCTCCCTTCTACAAGCTTTTCCCTGTTCTCCAAAAGTTGTATCCTACAGTGTAAGCTGGAAGCCAACGCCGAAGATTCTCCTCGCCGCTGACCACCCCAAGTCATAAGTACGCAAAGCTAGAGAAGATTAATACCTTTGGGCTGCTTTACACACTCGAAGGCTCTGATCCCTCTCTGAAACCAACCCTTCTTACCGCTCATCAGGACGTGGTTCCCGTTGCTGATGCATCCACATGGACTTATCCACCTTTCGAAGCTCATTTTGACGGCAAATATATCTGGGGCCGGGGTGCATCCGATGACAAGAACAGTCTTACTGGCATCTTCTCCGCCGTCGAGGGTCTTCTTTCCGAGTCTGACTGGAAGCCCAGACGGACTCTCCTCCTAGCATTCGGGTTTGACGAGGAAGTTGGCCTCAACCAAGGTGCTGGGCGGATCAGCGAGGTACTCAAGGACAGATATGGCGGCGACAGTATTGCTATTATCCTTGACGAGGGCGGTTTTGGCTCGGGACCTCTAGATAATAAGACCGTATATGTTCACCCTGCAATCACTGAGAAGGGCCATACCAATCTCTTCTTCGAGCTCCATGTCAAGGGCGGCCACAGTTCTGTCCCCCTACCGCATACTGGCATCGGCATCATTTCTGAAATCGTTGTCGCGCTCGAGTCTAACCCGTATGAGCCTACAATCGTCAAGAACAGCCCCATTCACAAACGTCTAGTTTGTCAAGCGCGTTACTCTCCTAACACCCAGCCAAAGGTCGAAGAGCTACTACGGAATAATGACTTTGATGGACTCGCAGTTGAATTTGCTGGCGCTAGCCCGTTGAACCGGTTTGTTGTTCAAACCTCACAGGCTATTGATCTGATTGAGGGCGGAGTGAAGATAAATGCCATGCCGGAGGTCGTTACCTTGGCCGTCAACTATCGTGTTGCACACCATGAGAGACCCGTACAGGTTCAACACAAGGCTATTCAAGTGATTGCGGACGTTGTCGAGAAGTATGGCCTTTGGGTGGACGCATTCAAAGGCGACAAAGAATATCAGGATTATGTCGCAGAGCTTCATCCCAGCGATATGCTATATCGCAGCGGTCTAATGCGCCGTGATGAAGCTGATTACAACGGGACTCTTGTCGTCAGAGCCACAAAAGCCGAAGCCGCACCGGTGTCTCCTGCCAGTGGTCCTGTGTGGAATGTTTTCTCGGGAACAATTCGACACACTTTTGCGTCAGAAGATAAGACTGTCGTACCAGTGGGAGACATCATGACTGGTAATACCGACACTAGGCATTATCTCAGTAAGTCTCATTCTGGTTATGGGCATGTCATACATACTGACGATACTATCAGGCCTTTCCCGCAATGTCTTTAGGTGGACACCAGCTGTCGGCCGGGGGCTGGACAATATTCATACTGTTGATGAGCGTGTAAGCGTTCTTGACCACCTGAACGCTGTCAGGTTTTACTATGACTTTATTCGCAACTTCGACACTGCGGATGTATAAGAATATATCAGCATAGCGATCTGAACAATCAATTATTCATTAAATAATATTTCCTCACCCTGCTGTGATGTATTATGCATATCAGCCTGAGTGAACAGACATTATTTGAACTTGAATCGGCGAGGACTCTCATACCTCCTTTAGTGTTGAATGGCGAATCACCTGGAAGGACTCGTCCCTCGACGTAAAATAGATACGCACACACACATACACTAACAGCTGGTGTCGCCAGAAAGTATATACGCATGCTAACATAATGAGGCTCAATAGCAAACCGTGGCTCACGGGCTACCATGACCAATTCCTTCCCATCCGTGAAGATACTCCATATGACACTTCCAACAGTAAAGTATCTTCATCCCCGGGAGCTTCCACGGGACATCGGCCTCGCTAGCTATATTAGCTTTAACCACGGTCCCTATGTGCGCTACTCCGCCCCCCAACCTCCCAATTACTGAATAAGCTGCCACTACTTGGACTGGATGACTTGATTGACCGGATATCGGATGGAAACAATTGGAACTCTATTGAGCTAGGCTGCGAGTAATACAGGTAACTAATGAGGATCTGATAAATATCGGCCCGATCTAGCGAGCTCTGGAGAGGTTTTATCGTACTGCGATGAAGCTCTCTTACTTAGTTTTAGTAAACACTCTACAGCAGACTCAATCGCCTTGCTGCCCCTCCATTGCTCCTGTCAGTAAGAGCTCCACCGGCAGGTACAGTATCGTTGGGTCGAGTCATGATTCGTTATCTTTATTGTTCTTGGTTCTTCTTTTTCGTTGGTTTGTCGTCTACCTTTCTCGATCAGGTGTCGTCCAGTCGGTTGGTTCGATTTGGTGGTGCTGATTAGAGTATGTCGACGATCTGTGGGTCAGACGTCAAGCTCATGCAGGAAATGGAAGATAAATAATGGGAGATTGGATGTTATGTGACGGTACTCGATCCAGTAGAACTAATGGATTGGATTCCTGTCTAGACTAGGTAGCGGTTCCACGAGAACATTCAGTCTAGAGAGGAGAAAGAAAGAATATCGCAGAGAAAGAAAGAAGAGGATTGTGTTCAACCCAGGTAGTCTGGACAATTTCAACAATTCATAACTTCATTGAATATAAATCCAGGCTAGTGGATACAGGCATAGGCTCTACTGAATAAGCGCTGCCCTATCCTCCTTTGTATGCAGCTGTGCTTCAATGCCCTTCGCCCGCCGCACATACTCCGTACAGAAGCAAATCAATCACATCGGTTGTCGCATACGACTCTGATTCCGAATTTCGGTAGAATCTCAAGGCCATGCTGTTTGCGGCCGCAAAGCCAGAGAAAAGCTGGGAGATGAAGTCAGCTATGGTAAAGGTGCTAAATAGGGACAATGTGAACTTCTGGCCGGAGTGCACGCCTAGGCTTTCGTTCCAATTCGGGACAAAGGTGTACCCAACAATTGCGGTCTCGTTTTGGCTGAACGCGTCTGCTCCTGTCCATTCTGCGAGATTATCTTCCTTGTAGCGGGAGCGGCTGACTGATGCCCTGACACTGCGAACGATCGGTTGCAGGGTGCACTCGGTTGCGGCGTAAGTAGGATTATTGAGGATCGCCTTGGATACCTCTGTGCCGTTTACGGCGTTGGCTTCTGCCGCTTCGACGCGCTGAATGACCGGCAATGTAGCGTTGGTGTAAACTATAGGCTGTTCCGTGGTGTTAACCATCAAGGCAATCGAGTTTGATATTTGGGTGCCGGTGGCGTGCCATGCTGATGCTTCATTCTGAAGCGTGAGTGTGCAGTTGGAGACCGGAATTCCGGAGGTGTCGTTGTAGTTTTCACATGTCTCCTCGAGGGAGGATGTGACGTTGGAGCAGAGGGCGCGCATTGCGAGGGAACTGGGCCCCAGGTGCAGTTGCCCGTTGAGCAGGTATACTGTGGGATGGACCTTGGCTGGCCGGGATCCGTGTTGAATAAGGAGTTGTATACATTCGCTTTGAGTGTAGGATCAATGTAGTAGGTTGTTCATGTCATATCTTCGCGATGAGGAGGGTGGGAAAGGAGAGTACAACGGATACAAACATCCAAAGAGCATTGTGCTTCTGTCATTCAACCCTGTCATAATCAGAGCTATTCGCCAGGAGGGAACGCTGTGAGCCATCCTCGACAAGGCTGGCCGAGTAATGCACCAGGTTTTGGATGAACGGCTCAAACCCAAGAGCGAGCATGATCGCAATGGCACCCAAGGCTTCGAAATGGCTATAGCTGTCAACCTCCACTCAGTTATTAGGATATTATTAATTGACACTTACCGCATTTTCAGTGCCCAGAGCAGCTTTGCACTTCCATAGATGCCACGACTAGCATTATCAAAGACCGTCAAGCCCGACAGCGGGCGCTTCCGCTCTGCAAACCACACCCACATGAGCTGCGACAAGGTCGCGCTAACAGGGAAGAGAATGCAGCCCTTGTCTACCGTGCTCAACCAGGAGAGCAAAGTGTTCAGCGACATATACCTCCAGCTGGGCTACTCTTTGCCATCGTACACGCATAGGATGACCATGGTGGCAACCAGGATCGCAGGCGCAAGACCCAGGCCCAGTATATCCCATTCCCACCAGTAGTCTAATCTTGAGGCAGCGTCATCGGGCGTGTTGCTTGCAGCTTTTTCCTAGGCCGTGGCCGTTGCCTCTTCGGTGTGCGGTGGTGCGGCAGAGCGTTCTTGGTCCTCCTGGGAGTGCGCACTCCTTATTTGCGTCAAAAACTGCAGTGTAACGTCGTCCTCCATGCTTTTACTTAATCCGGGGGCCTGGGGTGGATGTAATGGGGGAGGGATTTGAGCAGCTTAAATTTCTTCATCTTTGGAGCGGTTGAGGCTGAAATGGAGGTCACTGCAGCCCTGTTCTGCTAATGAGAATTGATCTTCGAGATGTCAGAACAACTTTCTATATAATAAACACTGTAATTAATTGAAGGTAAAACATCGCAGCAGGGCTGAGCACACCCACTCCTACTTAACAGACCTACAGGACGAGCCCACAGCAAATAAAAAGGTCAAAGCTATTCCAAGGCTATCGATCATTCTATTACTATCTAGCTCTCCTGATAACCTTCCATTCTTTAATGATACGAGACTAAGCTGCGGCATATCGTCGACTTAAGTGTGGTCATCACATCCAATTCCGCAAATTGCGGATGTTGAATATCATCTTGATATCCAAATCCAACTGCGGATGTCCAACAAATATCCGCACTAGCATAAAATGCGCTAACTTACCCTACTCCGGACTATCAGGTCCTATTTTCTACACCCTACGTACTAGACCTTCTATTTCAAAAGTATATGTAAACAGCATCCAGAAATCATGAATGGTCTGGAGAACACAAGGAAACATAGGGCGATGCCAGAGACAAAAGGATAGCTGTGACAGTGTCGAACAATATAAATTCATTGGTAGACTCTCTATAGAAATACTAACATGGAGAAGGAAAGAAAGAAGCTGGACCTGCCAGCGCTACGCTATCTACTGTGCGAAGGGGGTTCCTGCCCTATATTCAAACAGGCCAAAGTATACCAACATCTTGCGTTGTTGGTGAATGCCTGTACTCCGTGAGAATAGCGTCGGGTTAGCCTATTCGCTATAGGCCCAGGCACACTGTATCCTATCAGTAATCACAGAAAAATCAGATTGTGGTTATGTGCAGATGCCAAGTGACTCGGTGTTTGAAATGGATGCAGAATAGTCAATGATCACTCATATACCAGGATGTGGATAATGAAGTTCTCAGCTTGCTGGACTCGCGCGACGTGGGGTGATGGCTCACCCTCTGCATTGTGCACGCTGGCTTGCACATATAATTTTGCTTTACTAGAAGTCTAGCACATACGACCATAGGGTGTGGAGAACAGGGCTTCCCGTCCGCTCAGCCGTACTTAAGCCACACGCCGGCCGGTTAGTAGTTGGGTGGGTGACCACCAGCGAATCCCGGCTGTTGTATGTTTTTGTTTTTTTCATTATTTTTTTGTATTGCAGCGAATATGCGAGGTGGCTCAACTGTTGAGCCTTTTCTCATCATGGCTGTCTCAAGGGCGCAGTTGCTCTGATCCATTTATGTGCCAGTTCTGTCCTCGGTCACTGTCTAGTGGCTTCGAAGAGACAGATAAAAAGTAAAGGGGATGAACAAATGTATTGGAGATTCCAAGCAAGTGTCACGGGTATTCCTGGGAAACATTAATAGTAGACCACGAAATAGGGTTTCATCCGATTAATCCATGATCTCTCCGTCCGATGTATCATACCAAACCTCGTCTACCGGGACCAAGCGTTCTCCACCAGTGTCTTTAGCATTGATCAATATATCTTTGAATATGTGGCGACAATCGTCGACAATAGAAATCGGACCCCTCCACTATCCACCTTCATCCCATCCATGAAACTCCTGCCGAAAGCAACTATATGCATGCTGAGCGGCATGGTCAACTGCATCCCATACCTTGTCCAGGACTTCAACATATATGTTGCGATCAATCTTTGGTGTTGTTAAGCCTATCCTGCTAGGCTATTTCTCCTCAACCATAATAGCTGATGTGATAATGTCAATTGGCTGAGGATCATAGCCAGGGCTTATATCCTCAAGAGAGAGCAGATCTTTCATCTTATAGTGCTTCAGCCGTCGATGTCTTGCTTCCCTTGAACTGAGGAGGAATAATCCCCAGATTCTATAGACAATGCGGATGAAACGAGGGCGCTCAGTGGGCGTCAAGTGTGGTGGCCGGGGCCCGGCACCATAGAACCCATAATCCACCGGATCAACTATTTACTTGAATTAGAGAAATGGAAAAGAAAAAAAATCACTCCAATGGAAAACAGACACATTTAGAGGAGAATAGAAAGGGAGTACAAACTCGCAGCCAAATCTATCAACAATCTTTTCAATGACATGAGCATTCCGACGGAGCTACAGAAACCCTACAACTGTCATGGCAGAGTCAACTGGTAGGATTCCTTGATCGGCCAGCAACCTCCTTGTATCATGTTTGCATTGGATGGTGTGGCTAATGAGATTGTAGATGGCGTTTATATGTTGCTGCCAGGCATTGTAATGTTTCCTGCAGGTCGCGGCAAGGCTGAGGACATTGGGAGGGGAAAGGTGGCCAAACATAAATGATCAATCCAATTGGAATGTCCATTATAAAGGCTTGTCTCAATTAGTTCAAATAAATATACCCGGTAAAGAGTAGCTTCTCAAGTATCAGCGTGTCAACAGAAGATGCATAGCCCTATGATAAGGTGTCCGCCTCCATGTGGAGGCACCAGTTCTTGAAGGAAAATGTAGATGGAGGCAGGGGTATGCTTTTATCTTCCTATCCGTCACACTTTATTAATTATTAATTATATATCAGTGTCCGAGGTTCACTCGACAGATCGTGGCTTGCGACCGACGACCACGTTCTCACCAATGTTGCGGAGACCACCTCCCACCTCGCCCATGAGCGCAAGGAATTGACCTGTCTCTGGATGGGCCATTACCTCGCTCAATTCCTGAAGAGCCATCTCAAGACGTTTTCCGTCGCGGGAAAGCCTGGGTCTGGCAAGACGGTTTTGACCTCTGTGATTGTCGACCATTTGCAGCACCCCATTGGCGGTATCTCTTACAACACACTCTTGATTCCCATCAGTACGTGATAATTTGCTCGTTTGGTGACACGACCGAGTTGATGCTAACGCCTATAATAAAGACTCTGGGATTCCCGCAGAGACCAGTCCTCGTGCCGTCACCCGTACAATCCTTCACCAGCTCTTCGCGAAGCGCATTGGAAACGTCGGGCTCTTCCAGATCCTGAGCGAAGCCTTCGAGCGCAGCAAGGTCATCACAAGCGAGGACGAATATGACAACTTATTGTGGAATGCTCTCAAAAGCGCTCTTGGTGCAACCCTTCACGGCGCCAAGGACCTTATCCTCGTTGTGGATGGCATCGATGAGTCTACTTGCGGAGAGGCTGCTCTCCTGAAGAAGCTTACTTCTGTGGCCTCCAAGGCCTCCAATGTTAAGCTGATTGCCCTTGAAGCGGAGAAGCCACAAGCGGGAAAGAGTTAAGCCTGCGTGCAGATCACCGATGATCTGATCTTCGATGACATTGTCGCAGTGGTCCGAAGCCATTTTAAGCCAAAGGGGGCATTCTCTGACTTGGATGAGATGGAGTAAGAGACCATTGTCAGTCGCATTACCGAAGCCTCAAACAGATCCTTCCTCTGGGCCAAGCTCGCTACTAAGTACGTCCGCGGCGAATTTAGGTCTGATAGTCTTCGCAAGACAGTGGATGCCCTAATCAGTTCCAAGCCGAGCATCTACGACTTTGTCATCCAGGTCCTCCAGGTCTCCGAGGCGACTATGGAAGTAAGCAGATGCTATTTTGGCTGGCGACCGTTGAGCGTCCTTTGCAGGTGAAGGAGCTGGCGACTCTTGCCTCGGTTCAGGTTGACACGCCGTCGGTTCCGGAGAATGAGGTTGATGTTCGACACACCCTCCAACCACTGAACTACTATCCTGAGACAGCTGACTGAGCACTACCAGCTGGTCAGGGAAGAGCAGAAGGTCCGGGAGATTATGATTTCCCTCAAGAAAATTACAGGGACTGATTACGACGGAGACGATGGCACAACCAGTAATCTCAACGTGAAGCTTACTGCTCGCGATGAGAAAGCTGTTGCTGAGACTGGACACATTCTGGTTCTAGACACCGAGTACGACAAGAAGCTCGAAGTAGCCACCCAGTTCGACTTTGACGCATCTCTGCGGGCCGCCGAGAAATGCGTCACCAAGGGACGCCATGAGCTTGCCGAACGCACCTACGTTGAGACCTGGCAGCGGGTGTCTGGGGAGACGCGCAACCAAGTATCCTCGGTTTGGGAAGAGAGAAAGATGAAGTCCATCCTTGCCTACTCCAAGTTCCTCAAGACGCACAAGAGGGAATACGAGGCATCTTCGATCCTGTCCAGCTTCTGGCGGGACACCCAGCAGAGCAACACAGCCATCAGCAGCCAGGCCTCTGCCTCGTACTTCCACGAAATTGCCAAGATGATGAAGACCGTAGGACTGGCTACAATGGCTTTGTCCATCTTCAAGGGCTGCTCCGAGTACTACAGGAATGCCAACTACATCCAGTCCTCAAGCTACAAGGAGATCCAGCATAGTATCCAAAGCACCTCGACGGAGGTGATGCAGTCGGTCAACTATTCATCCTCGGTCGTGTCCGAGTCAACCCTGGAGGAGATGATTTACGAAGCGTCTCGCTCCATCAGCACCGTCGACCAGACCTCCTTCAGCACGACCGAGGGCTTGGTCCAGCTGTATGTGTCCCAGCACCGCTGGAGGGACGCTACGCGCCTGATTAAGCGCGTTCTGCAGGGTATCTGGCCGACTCTCTTCGCCGCATCTCTGGAGGACGTCTCGCTTCCCTCCAAGCACCTGGAGAGCTGTGTCACCCTTGCGGAGCGTCTGTGCCAGTGCTACCATTCTCGCCGTCGCTCGACCAAGGAGCAGGACATTCGCGTCCGCATCTATCGCTCTTTTCGCTCTGGACGCGACGTTGAGGACAAGCTACGTCAGCACGCCATCACTGAGCTGCTTCGGTTCTTTGAGACCAAGTCTCAGACCGGCTTGGTCATCAACGTCCACCAGGTTCTGCTTGTCTTAAAACAATCTATTTATTTGCGTTTGTTTGAAGTTGGGGAAATGCAGCCGAACCTATTGTTCTGTTCATTTATTTATTTTTGATAGTAGGGCTCAGTATAATTCAAGCTCATAATCACTGTAACCTCTTGAATTCAACTCCAACTACACAAAGTATCTGAGTAAATCAACAGATGAAAGTCTGCCCACCACCAGAAGCACCTTAACCTAACCCAGCCACGACTCCCCAAACGAAACAAATCTCCCAGCCAGTAAACAATCTATGCTCAAATCACAACATACTTCATAATCTGCGTAAGCAATAACATAATCTTGGGCGCATCCTTGCCCTCATACTTGACAATAATGTAATAGCGACGACCTGATACGCCAGCTTCAAGAAATGAATATTTCCCTTCATCTGCACACCGGTACAGGAAGCTGCTCATCCAATTCGCCTTCACCCGCTTCTCGATAGCACCATTCAAGCAATGTCAGAGACAATCAGTCTTCTGATAACGATCCTGGGCTAGCATCCCCATTGATAAGAATCGATCAGATAAATAGCTGGCCCGAGTGGCGAGGCCAGGAGATTCTTTGTATAACTAGATCAGCGTGTACGCACACATAGCTAGTCAAGCACTCAATTAGCTGCATACGCCCACGTACATTAGGCAATGAATCTCTTCGTTTGCACTAGCCCTTTCTATATAGACCTCGTTGGACCGGAATAATCGACTCCTGAATCCGTCTCTGAGCTAGGTTTGTGTTCACCCTTGATTGGGGAGCTAGAGTAACACGGTCTCGACTAGAGGTTTATTCCTCCCATTTTGTCCTTGTCTTATTTATGCCCCTGTTCACTTCCTCTAAGCAAATTTTTACCTTTGTTATACTTGACGGTAACCTGGGATCAATGTGAAACAAAAGAGAAAGAAGTAAAACAACTGTAGACCCTGCTCTCTCTTGCCTATTCCCACTGGCCTAATCCGGAATGTTTCTGCCGGTTACTTTCATACTGTAATCGCCGTAGATGCCCAGTCACTAGGAGTGGGCCGGGTGCCCATCCTGCCGGCTCCATTGCCGGTTTCGTCCAGAGTCGCCTATTCCTCTATTTTTCTCCTGAAGGGCCCTTGTTCCTGTAGCTACTTCGAGTGAGAGTTCCCTATTGAGCATCTACAGACCATGCTAGCGTTAGTGCTGCTACGGTGAAATTTATGCAAAGATACTATTAGATATCTGTAGAGTGATTACAGAAAAATGACGGATCATTGAACAAAGATGCCCACTTGTTTCGATTCAGCAGTCAGTCTCACTTCGAACTTGGTTAGTGATGAAATGCTCATTCACCAGACATGGCCAAATGATTCTGACAAGCATGGGCAAGTTGCATAGCGAGTAAGGCTATGTTCCTACTCTGCTCTTTGTTTTTTTATGCCAAATCAATTCGAGAGAAAACGGTTCCCATTTGGCGCTAGGAGAATATGCATAAAAGCTAAGTACACGGGTATCGCGGTCTGTATATAACCTGGTCTGTCTAAGACGCTGGGCATGATGCCTGGTGCGGTTTTTCGGGCTCCTTGAAGTGGAGAAGGAAATTGAGGTTTGACAGGTAGAGATCCTGTCTATCAGGGCCGTGATGGGCTGGGAATGGGGAGGAATCGACTACAAATGTTTGTTGAAGGAAATAGCACACATTCACCCACTGTCATCTAACAGATTCTGCGGCGACCAGTATTCGTTTTCCTCGCTCTGTGCATCTAACCAAACCAGGCCATCCGCCAGAAGATCATCGACGACAGTCTGCGCTCTTGCCCTCTCCCAGTTCAGATTCAATTGTAACATGGAGACACTGACGAAGCCTAAAACTTGGATGGCTTCAAGAACGGTGGCCTGATCCGTGTTGAGCTCTTTGGGAACCGACCGAATGTACTGCTTGCTGCCAACGGAGATGATGGAGAAACCGGAGCCGAGGGGCTCAAGGGATTTTACAGCACGGAGTATGTCGTCCCTGCCAAGTAAGCATGTTAAAGATGGTCTTTTTTAATGTGACCGGGGACGATGCATACTCCGTAACCTCAAGTCCACTCCCAATCGCCCTCCCCTTCCCCACTCTCCTCCGACATTCCTCAACCCCAATCAACCCCCCATTCTCACTCCTCGTCTCCCGACAAAGCTCTACAACTCTCACCGCAACCTCGAAATAAAAATCATTCATATCCCCGCCCATAATCTGCGTCCAGAAACTACCCCCCTCACCCAATCCCCTCCGTCCATTTTTCCCTTTCACGTTACTGGCTGCCAGAGGGTCGACCCCGATCGCATTGCACATGCGCGCAAATTCAGCGCGGAATGTGGGGTTTGATCGGATGGTTGAGCTGTGTTCTAGGGCGAAGCTGTGCAGGACGGATTGGAAGACGGAGAGCTGGGTTTGGAGGGATGAGGCATGCGTGGAGCGGAGGTTGGCGCCGTGGGTGGCGTAGGACTGGGTGGTTTGGGTGCGATTTGTAAAGGCACCGAGGCCTACACCGCGGCGGGTGGACATGTTGATATATTGCAATATTTAGTATGCGCTATACTCTATACTGCGATCGACGTTGGGATGAAATCCAGATGTTATCTCCGCATCGGCCATGTGACACAGGCCCTTATCGGTAAAGTAGATAAGGGCTGGTTCCCACATACGGTTTAGCGTGTGGATACACTAGCCTAACCACACTAAGCCTAGCGGGACTCCACCCACAAACCCGTTTTCTCAACTTCTGTCGAACTTTTTTTCTCTTCCTTTCCAGCACGACAACCTTCGCCCATCGCCAACTTCGCGAACTCTTTCAGGACCGTCACAATGGCCTCTACTGCTGCGTATGCCTCTCTTTGAATCTCCTCGATTCGCTACGAGCATGTGAGGTTCAGTTTATAGTTGTCCTTCTCGCTGGAGATGCTTCGGTCAATTCTGGCCGATTGGCACCAGCTCGATTTTCCCGCGACTTTTCATACCTGTCTCGTCTGATATACCTGAGGGAAGGGGTTGGAAGTGTCTGGGGTGTTGAGGTTGAAGGCGCAATGGCTTTCTCCTTGAAAAATATTGTTGTGGGCTGTCGTTGGATTGCATCTGGTCTTGCGAAATCTTGACTGGAAACAATGCAACGAGTGGCATCAACATAAATTCCCGAGCGTTAGGCTTGGGGTATTGTCGGATGAGGATCCAATACTGTTTGTCCAGGGTCATTGCGAAAAGTCTGCGAATCTTTGTTGCTGAAATATGCGCAAGTAGTAACAGAAGGGGATGGTCGTCTGGCGAACGTATCCGGCCTCACTGATCAAATTGATTTCGTCGAGTTTATTACCCTTTAGCCTTCAGTTGAGAATGTGGCGCTGTAGCTGCAATTCTTACACTCGGCGAAATTTTACTCTTGCGGACAGACTGAACTGACCTTCACAGTACCGTTCCCACCCAGGACCAGGTCCTCGTCCCCGAGACCCTCCTCAAGAAGCGCAAGAGCCAGGAGCAGTCTCGCGCTGTCCGCCGTGAGGAGCTCGAGAAGAAGAAGCAGGTCAGTAAAAAAAATTTTTCCCTTTTTTGTTTCGTTCCATTACATGATGTATAAAACACACCACGCGACTAGACCTACCAAGTCAATGCTGTCGCTTGTTAACCATCTTTCGGGTCTGACAATGCTTATCTTGTTTATTTTTGTTGGAGTTTGTTCGGTGCACCGATGCTAACTGAATGAACCATAGGCCAACAAGGAGAAGCGCTCTACTATCTTCAAGCGTGCCGAGTCCTACGTCAAGGAGTACCGCGATGGTGAGCGTGAGAAGATCCGCCTCGGTCGTGTCGCTCGTCAGCAGGGCAACTTCTACGTCCCTGAGGAGCCCAAGCTTGTCTTCGTTATGCGTATCAAGGGTATCAACAAGATCGCTCCTCAGCCCCGCAAGATCTTGCAGCTCCTCCGTCTGATCCAGATCAACAACGGTGTCTTCATCCGTCTCACCAAGGCCACCCAGGAGATGTTGACCATTGTCAACCCCTACATCGCCTACGGTTACCCCAACCTCAAGTCCGTCCGCGAGCTTGTCTACAAGCGCGGTTACGGTAAGGTCAATGCCCAGCGTGTTCCCCTCACCGACAACCAGATCATCGAGGAGCAGCTCGGCAAGTACGGCATTGTCTGCATGGAGGACCTGATCCACGAGATCTACACCGTCGGTCCCAACTTCAAGCAGGCCAACAACTTCCTCTGGCCCTTCAAGCTCTCCAACCCCACTGGTGGCTTCCACCCCCGCAAGGTCAAGCACTTCATCCAGGGTGGTGACACTGGTAACCGTGAGGACTACATCAACGCTCTCATCCGCCAGATGAACTAGATTCGCTCTGGGGCGAGGGTTTATTTTCTTTCTTAAAAATAAAAAGTATTTTTAATGGGTTGTTTGGTGGCAAGCCTTCTTTTCAATTAGCGCTACGATTTATGATTCCCAATTGAAACGTTCAGACAACCCAATTATTTTTATGAGTAGAGATTCGTAGTATTATCTCATGTAGGTGTACGGCTCTTGTCCTAGTATAAAAGAACATCCTGAACTCTCCTGTTCTTATCAACAACCAGACGCAACTGCTTCCCCTTCGATTCCGACTCGGGAACGCCTTTCTTTCTGAAAGCACCGTTCCGGAGTGTCTCCGTGAAGAGTTCGTAGGACGGGTAATCTATCATCGTTAGTTTCTACCGCGCAGATTGAATTGGTGCAACGTACAGCCATCGACAAAATGATTGACTTGTTCCTCGATCATGCCGGTGCCCTTGGTTGCGCGGAGAGTGCGCTCTTGTTCTTGTCGCCATTCATAAACATAGTGGATGTTTTGCGCGTCGCTAGTCAACGATTAGTATGTGATCAAGTCCCGAGAGAGAACGGACAGTCTCACATGTGAATCAAAGCATCAAACTGGCTGTACCCATCGATTAGCATCTCTCTCTTCCAATGAGTTAACCCAGAGAAAAACACATACTCCGTCAACGCATCGTACTCCCTCAACGCCTCATTAACAGCCCTCACATCCTCAAACCTCACATGTCCCAGTCGCCCATTATAATTCCCCTCTTGCTTCCTCTTAACCGCACCTTCCCACAACTCCCTTAGTGTATCATCACTCCACGCCCGAAACCCAACACACCACCCCTCAAAAATCACTACTCCAACCCTCCTCTCCCCCTCTTTATTAACAACCTCCCATTTCCCCTCATCCACGCGATCCCCCTGCCCGCTAAATGCAGATTTATCATACTGCGGGATCTTCGTGGGTTTGCCTTCACGCAGCGATTTGAAGACTTGTAGACCGAGGGATAGGTCGTGCGTAGAGGGCTGGCCGCGGTGTTGGAGGAGGGGGTTTTGCGGGTTTGTTGTTGCGAGACGTTCTTGGTCGGCGTGGGTGAGGTAGATGTCGTCGAGGGAGAGGGTTATTACGGGGAGCGAGTAAGGGGGGTTGCGGAGGGTATTCTGCAGTGTCGAGACCTATTTTTATACAATTAGCATAGAATCAGGTATTGGGGAGGAAATGCGCGTACCAGGACCGTCTTGCCAGCACCTTGAACCCCATTCAACCCCAGAAACAATGGCGGGGCTTGGTCTGGGTTCGAAGCATAAAGCTCTTGGTGTGTTTTTACGCGGTCGAGGAGGAAAGGGATGCAGTGTTGGGATTTGTCGTCGATGATTTCTAGCATTGTGATGGTTGTACTAGGCCTTGGCTTGTGTTGTACGTATTGTAGAGCATGTATGCTTGTGGAGAGGGGAGATATATATATCAGAGTCGCAGAGCGGAGAGAAATCCGAGCGGAGGGGGAATTGTTTAGGCTGAATGTTTTAAGGGCACGGCAGTGCATCCTACAAGTTTTAATCCGATTTTGAACTATATAAGACAGACTTTTGCATAGACTTTTTCTTCCAGAGCATTGTATAGAAAGTACGCACTGGCTGGTCCTGAAGCACATTACGATGACGTATTGCATAGTTTATGCATCACGTGGCTGAGTCAGTGCTTGTACATAACTAATTGTGCACATAACTCTGTGATCATGCGCATATGAACGAACAGGATAACTTGACACAGGCAATAATGAATGATTATCTGGAATAGGGAGTAGATTCCCCGGAATTGTCAGATGTAATTCAATGTAATTAATGAACAACGGCAGACATCGGCATGTGAAGTAGGGTGTCGCATTCCCTGTACCGTAATTAATTACATCGTTTCCAGACCAACTCCGAGCCGAGGTCCCAGAAGCAACCGAGAGCTGTTTGCGCGACCGTTCTTAATACCCCCGGATTTCCTCCCCCTCTCTTTCTTTTATTCTCCTCTGTATCCTATCTTTACTCTAATTACTATCTCTCATCACTATATTATTGTTTGATTATATCATCCTCTCCTTGACTCTCCTGATTAACCGCGGAGATAAGTGCGGAGAGTACGGAACTTTGAATCTCACCTCGGATCTCCTGTCTTCTCTGTTTCACCCTCATAACTTCATCTGAAAATGTCCGACTTGCGCTTCGATAACCAGACCGTCGTCGTTACCGGTGCTGGCGGTGGTCTTGGAAAGGCATATGCCACTTTTTTCGCCTCGAGAGGCGCCAACGTCGTCGTCAACGACCTGGGTGGTTCTCACGCCGGTGAGGGCAAGTCGTCAAAGGTATATCCATACACGCCATATGTCCTATACTCCAATAAAGGGCCTATACTAATACTCTGGAAAAGGCCGCAGATGTCGTGGTAAACGAAATCCGCTCCGCCGGCGGCAAAGCCGTCGCCAACTATGACAGCGTCGAGAACGGCGAAGCCATCATCAACACCGCAATTCAGAACTTCGGCCGCGTGGACGTGCTCATCAACAACGCCGGTATCCTGCGCGATGTCAGCTTTAAGAATATGAAGGACCAGGACTGGGATTTGATTAATAAGGTGCATACATATGGTGCTTATAAGTGTGCTAAGGCCGCGTGGCCGCACTTCCGGAAACAGAAATATGGGCGGGTGATTAACACTGCTTCGGCTGCGGGATTGTTTGGGAGTTTTGGACAGGCTAATTATTCCGGTGAGTGGCCTATGTTACTCTGGATATTGGATTGGGTGCTAATGGCGAATAGCTGCCAAGTTGGGTCAGGTTGGATTTACGGAGACTCTTGCTAAGGAGGGTGCCAAGTATAACATTATTGCCAATGTTATCGCTCCTATTGGTATGTTGCTGTATCCTTGATTACGAAGGACTGTATCTAACTTAACAGCCGCGAGCCGTATGACCGCTACTGTTATGCCCCCTGATGTTCTCGAGAACCTGAAGCCCGACTGGGTAGTTCCATTGGTGGCCGTCTTGGCCCACGCCTCGAACACTTCAGAGACTGGCTCGATCTTTGAAGTCGGTGGTGGCCACATGGCCAAGCTCCGCTGGGAGCGTGCCAAGGGTGCTCTCCTGAAGACTGATGCTTCGTTGACCCCTGGTGCCATCGCTAGAAAGTGGAACGATGTCAACGACTTCTCTCAACCCGACTACCCCACTGGCCCTGCTGACTTCATGAGCTTGTTGGAGGATGGATTGAAGGTTCCCAGTGCTACCGCTGGCGAGGAGCCCAACTTCAAGGGCAAGGTTGCCCTTATTACCGGTGCTGGCAGTGGTCTCGGCCGCGCATACGCCTTGCAGTTTGCTAAGCTTGGTGCCTCCATCGTCGTGAACGACTTGGTCAACCCGGATCCCGTTGTTGAGGAGATCAAGAAGCTGGGTGGCCAGGCTGTTGGTAACAAGGCCTCTTGCGAAGACGGTGATGCCGTTGTCAAGTCTGCCATTGACGCCTTTGGACGCATCGATATCCTGGTCAACAACGCTGGTATCCTGCGTGACAAGGCTTTCACAAACATGGATGACAACCTTTGGAACTCCGTTGTCAACGTTCACCTCCGCGGTACCTACAAGGTCACCAAGGCCGCCTGGCCCTACATGCTTAAGCAGAAGTATGGCCGTATTGTCAACACTGCTAGCACCAGCGGTATCTACGGTAACTTCGGTCAGGCCAACTACGCTGCCGCCAAGCTCGGTATTCTTGGTTTCTCCCGTACCCTGGCCCTCGAAGGCGCCAAGTACAACATCAAGGTCAACACCATTGCCCCCAACGCTGGTACCAACATGACCCGTACCATCATGCCTGAGGAGATGGTCCAGTCTTTCAAGCCTGACTACGTCGCTCCCCTGGTCGTCCTCCTTTGCTCCGACAACGTCCCTGGAGCTGGCACCAAGGGTCTGTACGAATGTGGCAGCGGCTGGTTCTCCTGCACCCGCTGGCAGCGCTCTGGCGGTCACGGATTCCCCGTGGATGTGCAGCTGACTCCCGAGGAGGTTGCCAAGAACTTACAGAAGATCATCAACTTTGATGATGGCCGTGCTGACCACCCTGAGGATGGCCAGGCTGGTGCTGAGAGAATCATGGCCAACATGGCTAACCGCAAGGGCGGTGATTCCGAGGGAGAGGGCAGCATTCTGCAGAACATCGAGAAGGCCAAGAGCCTGTCTGCTGAGGGTACACCCTTTGACTACGTCGACCGCGACATCATCCTATACAACCTCAGCTTGGGTGCCAAACGCACTGACCTCCCTCTGGTGTACGAGAACAACGAGCACTTCCAGGCTCTGCCCACCTACGGTGTGATTCCCTGGTTCAACACCGCCACTCCCTGGAACATGGAAGACATTGTGGCCAACTTCTCGCCCATGATGCTGCTGCACGGTGAGCAGTACATGGAGGTCCGCAAATTCCCCATCCCCACCGCCGCCAACACCCTCACCTACCCTAAGCTCATCGATGTCGTTGACAAGGGCAACGCCGCCCTCGTGGTCGCCGGCTACACCACCAAGGACGCCAAGACTGGCGAGGACCTGTTCTACAACGAGTCGACTGTCTTCATCCGTGGCAGCGGTGGCTTCGGCGGCTCTCCCAAACCCACCGCCGCTCGCCCCAAGGCCGCCACCAACGCGTACAAGGCTCCCCAGCGCCAGCCCGACGCCGTCGTTGAGGAGAAGACCTCCGAGGACCAGGCCGCTCTGTACCGTCTGAATGGCGACCGCAACCCTCTGCACATCGACCCTGAATTCAGCAAGGTCGGCGGCTTCAAAACCCCCATCCTGCATGGCCTGTGCTCGCTGGGTGTCTCTGGCAAGCACGTGTTCGGCAAGTTCGGACAGTTCAAGAATCTGAAGGTCCGCTTTGCAGGTGTTGTTCTTCCTGGCCAAACTCTCAAAACGGAGATGTGGAAGGAAGGAAACACGGTTGTCTTCCAGGCTACGGTTGTGGAGACCGGTAAGCCGGCGATTACGGGCGCTGGCGCTGAGCTCCTGGAGGGCGCTAAGGCTAAGCTGTAAACTAGTAATATGGTAATGGGGGATTATCGGAGTACCAGAATGTGTATATAAGTCATGATGTTTTTATACGATGCAATTCTATGTTCATTTTCCGTTTTTGATCCGATTTGATCTAATTCCGTACATTCCGATCTATGGCGTAGACGAGGCGATCCGGCGATGCGCTGACATGTAAGCCGGATCAATAACCATTGGATAATCCTCAAACAAAAGCAAAATAATAGAAAGGACAATAATAGACTGCAATCAGCTCTGACCGAGAAAAAGAAAGGTGAAGGGTTACATAACCAGCTGCGAGAACTCCCCGCAGTCTCCGAAAAAGAGCATCTGTCAAGTCACACCTCGTCATCTCTACCCTTCAGCATCCAACACCCTACAACCACTTTGCATTCTACTGTTTCGATAATGTAGCACCCTCTTCGATGAAAGAAGAACAACAACGATGGTACTCTCGCTATCTGTCCCTAGTTTCTCCAGATCCTCGTCTTCATCCCCCGCGACGCATCCAGACAACAACAACAGCAACCAGAATAAAAACAACCAGAATACCCAGAATAATCACCATCGCCATCGACCATCGACCTCAATAAAAAACCCATGGCGCCCAACATCCGTCCTCACCACCAACAACACCCCGTCTACCTCCGCCAGCAATAGCACCAGCAGCACAATCCTCCGCGCCCCATTCACCACCCGCACCCGCCCATCCCTCTCAAAAACGAAAGAGCAACTCGAAGAACACCACCGCGAGCAGGAAGAACTGAATGCAGCGCTACAAACTCTCGCCCGGGTGTTTCCGGATGTCAAGGTCGAAGTATTTCGGGAGATGCTGGTAAGGTTCGATGGGGATAGTCGGGTTGAGGTCTGTGTGGAGGAGTTGTTGAGGCATAAGAAGGAGTGGGTTGGGGGGAGGTGGAATTTTCCTGACGGTGATAATACTGGATCGGGGGGTGGTAGTGGTGAGAAAGTGGTTGGGAGTGATGGTGAAGGCGCAGTACCCTACGAAGAACGGTTTCGATCCGATGAGTACAAAGAAGCCGTCAAGATGGTCCTGGGGAAAGAGTTCACAGCGCTGAGCAAGAGTACCGTTGACGCGGTTCTCGCAGAGGTAAATTTCTGCTATCACTGGGCGAGGCCTATACTACGGGATCTGGCGCGACGGACATGGCGCGCGACGTTTAATAACCTGTTCCCGTCGTTTAAGCGGAAAAAGGATCGCGAGGAACATCCATTACTGACGTGGCAGCGGCGGGCGGACGGAGAAGTAATTCCGCGGTTGAAAGAGACGGGATGTGCGGAGTTAGATCGTGAACTGTACGAGGCGTTATTGGCGCCGTTATTGCAGCAGAGACAGGAGGAGCAGCAAGAAAAGGATTTCCGGATGGCGGAGGAGTTGAATGAGAGCGAGGCCAAGGCTGCGGATGCGCTATATGAATGCGAGTGCTGTCTGTCTGACGTGACGTTCGAGCAGATATCGACGTGTTCGGTGGCTGGGCATGTCATATGCTACGGGTGTATACAGAGGACTGTGCATGAAGCGCTTTTCGGGCAGGGGTGGAATAAATCCGTTGACAGTGAACGGTCGACGCTGAGATGTCTTGCGCCGCTCTCGCACGGGAATTGCAAGGGGACTTTACATCCGAACATCGTGAAGCGGGCGATTCTGCTGGATAAGGCTGGGCTCGAGACGCATCGGAAGTTCGAGGATCGACTGGCAAGCGAGGCGCTGCTGAAATCGCAGTACAAGCTTATTCGCTGTCCATTTTGCTCGTACGCTGAGGTTGATCCGGTTTATCATCCTTCGGTTCGCGGAGTGCGATGGCGGTTTCGGACTAATGGGTTCGCTGCTATGATTGTCATGACCATCCTGTTTATCGACTTGATATGTTTACTTGCGGTTCCTACGTTCATTCTCTGGTTGGTGGACCCATCTGCCGTTCCTGCTATTTTGCAGAATTCGCTGTTGAATCTGTGTCTCAAGGCCCGTCCGAAACGGTTTACTTGTGCGCATCCGGCTTGTCGACGGGTTAGTTGCGTTACCTGTCAAAAACCATGGCGTGATCCGCATGTTTGTCATGAGCCGTTGCTACTTGATCTACGCGCAACAGTTGAAGCAGCCCGCACGGCAGCAGTGAAAAGAACATGTCCCCGGTGCGGACTATCTTTTGTGAAATCGTCCGGTTGCAACAAATTAACCTGCGTCTGCGGCTACTCCATGTGCTACCTCTGCCGCAAAGCCCTAGGTCCACCCCTCGATCCAGTCCTCCAACCCCGCCGTCGTCGCCCACCCCGCCGAAACCAAGAAAACAACCCTCCAGATCTAGTAGACGAATACGAAGATGAAAATGACAAACCTGAAGAACCAGAAGGCTACCGGCACTTCTGCGAACACTTCCGCCCAAACCCCGGCTCGCGCTGCACAGAGTGTAACAAATGCGATCTCTACCAATCCGAAGATGAAGACGCTGTTGCACGACGCGCTGGTGAACGTGTGGAGCGCGAGTGGCGGATTAGGCAAGGTATGACTGGCGGCGCTGGCGCTGTTCCGGGCGTGGGGAATCGGAATGTTAATCTTGATTTCTCGACCGAGGGTAAGGGCAAGGGGAAAGGGAAAGGTGGTGGTGAGGGTATGTGGTGGGATAATGGCAAAAGCGATTGGAATTGGAGGTATTGGATGGTTGATATGTGGACTGATGGATCGTGGAGGGTTGAGGGACAGACGACGGTGGATTGGGTTGTGGAGAGAGTTGTTGTTGTTGATGATATTTGACCTCCTTTTCTGGTAATTTGTTTCTGCGTTTTCGGGACTACTTTCTTCTGATTGTCTTATTTAAAACTTTCTGATTGGCGTTGGTATGGGCGATTGGATGGATGGGATTTGTTGCATGATTGATGATAAGATGACGTTTCTTTTTCTTTCTTACTTGTTAATGTCTAGCACGGAATGAACTTAGGGTCTTTAATACAATCAATTGGATAACATATCAACCATATCCCGATGAGGGCCTCGCTTTCTCTGTCAACTGCCCCCAAATCTGCAATAGTAATCCGATAATGGGACACCCAAATTCCAGTGTCTTCAAAACCTTCGGAAACCGCATGCTTCTTAACCATATCGATCCTCTCCTGACTATCTCGTGCTGATGCCTAGCCGCGAAACGTGATGCCCTGGTACAAGACGCAAATTGTGTCCATATCGACCCTTCCGGACGGATGAATGTAGTGTCGTCAGTATCTGGGACAAGTTTACCGTGTGTTCTTCCGCTCAGACCTCATCAGTAATAAGTCGTATCGTATAGCCTGCCAACAAACCACACGGGAAAGTGAAAACAGTTTTGGCTTTCCAATTAACTCGCAGTACATTATGTAGGCAAGCATTTCGATTCCCGTAATATTCAAATGACCATAATTCTCCGCAGTGGTTCTCCTGTTGAAACATATTTTCACGCCAGGAAAGCCAAAAGAACCATGTTGACGGGGTGCAGAAGCTATAAATTGAGGGTTTTGTGACATCCAGTAGATTAACTACTCATGAATTCTCAATGCGCGTTGCGTCATTGCAAATTTCGACTTGCTGTATATATAAGATACTATATGTAGAAAGCAAGAAACATTGCCAGTTCTTCTTTCATAAAGCATCCTTGTTTGTGTGGTCACCGGATAAGACTCGGGGTGACCTTTCCCACCGCGCGGTATGTATAAAATTGAGATATAATTCGGACAGTTGGACAAGCTCAGAGCCTCTCCGGCAATTATTCGCTGAATTGGTCGGGGTATCGGACGGTAGTAAGACCGTTGCGAAGGCGAAGCAAAACATATGGCAAATATGTACAAGGGCAATCCTGTCCATCCAAGGATGGTTATTAGTAACAAGCTCGGAAACAATTCGATGAGACAAAAACGCTCACCTGCGTGATATAAAAAATAGGCCAACAGATCGAAACTGGCGTTCTGTCGTCGTTGATATCGGCAACAAATCGCAGATATGTTGAACAAAGATGCTCCACCGAACTTTGCAGATTGATATAGAACTGGCATCTGTCATCTGCGACTAAACATGACTTACTCTTTTACGATGTGTACGAAAGAATTATGCCAGAGGGAAAACGTCCTGGCCATTTTCTCCAATCTGACTTTGCACGATTAAAAGTTCCGAATGCTGGGAACACTGTACAAGATCTGAATGGAATATCTGCTTTGAAGTAAACTCAGACATGGCGCTGTACAATAATCGTCGCTTATTGTATATATATGACAAGCCTTTACGAGAACACCCTTTTGTTCTATTTAAGTGGCCTAGAGAAGAGATTAGCTCGTGATACGGAAAGAATTCATTTAGGAAAGGAAACACTCACATGCAATGCATTGAGGACAAGCAACAAGGCCAACAGTGTATTTTGGTGTAAGCGGTTGATCACTCAGTAAATTTATTGATAATAATGGCCATTATATCGCCGGTCTCTTTGTTCTCGACGGTACCGGTCTTGGATGTAAGGACTTCGACCTCTTTTCGGAGGAACGCAGCGGTTGGGGTAAGTGGTGCTAGGGCTGTCCAAGAAACAAGAGCAGTGAACGACAGCAGTTGGATATTTTCCATTATTGTTAAATTTCTAGAATTGGTCAACATTTCTGGACTCATCGGATGGAACATACTAGACTTACCGCCGATGATTTGGCAGAAGAGAACCCAGCAAGGCTGAGGGTTCCAGTTGACAAAAGCGGCACCACATGAGTGTGAATGATGCATTAAACGGACAACCAGAGAAAATCATTACCGGCAATCCTTCCAGCTTTCATCGCTTCGTGAAAATTGTAATATATCGCATAACAGGTGGCGTTTTGCTGGCCAAGAATGGCTGCTCCAGATATTCATGCACGACTGGTCTGTGACTTCCGTTGACGCTTAACTCCCTTCATCGCTGTCTTTCTCGGGTGCATATATATGAATCAAGTCCTGATTACACCCGAAGGAGCGATTATCGTATTGCTAGAGCGCTGGGGGGCTTTGATCTTCTGTGGAATGTTAACAGGTGCTTTGAGAAAAGGGTAAATGAAATACCAACTTTAGCAACACGCGGAAGAGCACGCTGTACGCTGCGTCGGTATTTTCTGGAGCGTCTATCGGGAAAATCTTATATTATCGCGACAGAGGTAATGGGTTATTACATTCCTAACATTTTCGTACATCCTCTCCAACTCGACATATTGGAATGGAAACCTTCCATGATGGAAAATCTGTAGGTGCGACAATGAAGCTTTTCGCCATATCTGGTGGATATGTATATAATGGAGAAGTATATATATAGATCGGGCTTGATCTGGAAATCAGCGTTAGCGTTAAATTTGAGAGGGCTTCATGGATCAGGGCTGCATACTTGGAGCCTTTATTCCACCGGAGGATGTCCACACTGGACTAAGAATGTCAAGAAAAAAGGGGATAACAACCCTTAGAACACACACTGAGAGCACAGGTCAGATTGATGTACAAAATTTGGAGGTTATCCCGGCTTGCGCGGAAAAGAATCACCAAAGAAGAAATGGTGCCATAATATAGTACAAGGTCAGTCAAAGAGTGCGATGTCTTTACAAGGATCTGTCAGTACAATTCAAGCAATTGCAAATAACCAAAAGACCGTGACCTTATTTTAGTGAATTGTGGTCGAAATCCCGGACGCTATTGAGAAAAAGGAGACGAAATCGAGGACAAACAGAATGGGTGAGGTTATTGTAGGTCCAATGGAAAATAATCCTGGTTCTTTTTATTAGCTCGATGAAAATAGTACGGCGAGAGGATTAAGCGTACTTTAAAGCAGCAAAGAAACCAGGCCGCCCATATGGCAAGCATAATTGCCAAGGAAGCCAGCGTCGAGAGTCAAATAATTGCCCTCACAGGTTATCATGAAGGAAGGGAGAAACCGGCATAGCCAGAGAATTTAGAGCTGATTCTTTTGCGATTCTACAAGATCGCATGCTGATACATGAAGGTGCTGAAAGTTAACATTGTTAGCCACGTTCCGGGTTGTTGACCAAGGAAAACATACTTATTTAGGCGCCACATGGCCCGTATCCATGGCAGTAGCTGCCAGATGTGTTGACCCGTGCATTCATCGACTTGATCACGAGATGCCACCTTGCGATGAGGACAAAATTTGAAACATCTCCCAATCGTCTACTGCAATGCGTTAGCACGAGCACAATACACCACTTGAGTTACCAGGAAATGTACCAAAAAGCTCTCTTGTAGGGAGCATTCGCAGTTTTTTTTTGGGGGGGGGGGGGGGGTAATATTCGGCGAGGGGTGAACAAGAGAGCATCATTATTTTCCATGCGTGAGACGTTGAAAACCCGCCGATCTGTTGCAATTCCCATCCACATGCAAGGAGATTTGTGAGTTCCCTCTGTGAAGAGATTGGCGAGAGTAACGAAAGAGGAAGTGGTTTGGCTTGTTTGTCGGCATTCGTCTTGGAAGCGCGTGCAGCACCATTAGAAGAACACGAGTGATAGAACTACCAAGCAGTTCGATCTTATGAATGGTATCATCTCCCCCAAACGCGCATGCCCGGAAGAAAGGGAAAAGGCAAAGGAGACATGCAGAGATCACTAAGTATGGTGCAGTCTCTTGGTTTCTGCGACGTGTCTTTGACAGGCTGCCCAGACTACTTTCAGACATCCGACAATATTCGAGCAATTTGTTCCATCCCAGTAGCGTTGCTGATGTTCCATAGACCGGACGACCGCAGCAGTGCAGATAATAATCCACAATGCCTTGCAGAGAGTAGGGTTACACAACGAAGTCCACCTGCATCATTAACCAACATCCCATCAATCTTCAGATGTACATTAACATACTAAATGGCCTTCAGCAAACGCCGTATAATTTAACGTCCAATCAGTAGATGGTGAACTACGAAGCATCTAGCGGTGATCGGTCCGATGCTGACAACGGCGCGGTTCACGGCTCTTGTCTGGTCTTCTTTCTTTTCAGGCATGTTTTCGACATATATTCCTATTTTAAAGCAATAGGCTTGTAAAGAGCCAAAGATAGACGAGCAAGACTTGCGGCAGGGCTCTGATGCCCAGTGTTTGACATAGTTATACTTCTCGATGTTAGTTTTACAACCATGCAAACAGTAGCCTGCTCACTTACTATAGCTCGTGATTATAGCATGCCAAAAAGATTTCGTCTCTCAGGGACTGTATATAATTCCAGAAACGCGGACAATATATTCTTGACAAAGACGAAAGGATGTGTACTGCATGTCAAGGAGTGCCAGCTAGCAAAATCCGCGACGAGCCAGCTCTTCCTGGAATCAATAATCTTGTAGCTTTCACTAGCGCATGTAAACTTTGAATTCTCGGCGCACCAACGGGCGACTATCTCGACAGTGTCTTGAACTGCCTCCACTCGTGGGAGGAGCTGCCATGGTGGTTTCCCGGACGACTCTCAATGCGTAAACTGCTGAGATCAACCGACGATGTTATATGCTAAATATACTGGAATCGAGCGGAAAGTGTACTGGGGAGCGGCTAGATCGAGTATTCTTTCCATTGTGCTTTCCCACGCACCATAAATTGGCAGACTTCATACCAACAGTCGTAATGGAGACAAAGATTGGGACAGCCCGTCTCATTTTGGTAAAGGTGCTGGTGTCTCAGGATCTGAAAGGCTAAGTTTAGTGCATACTCGCCTTCGGAGAACGTTTCCCAGCAATCGAGGTTTCCGGATAAGATTCTGTGGTGGACCTCGAGCTCGCACAGAATAGCCCAGCAACGAATTCCAGGAGTCATTTAGTGCTTTGATACAACTGGCAAAAGGATTGAATGTTAGCCATCATAATGCAATTGCCAGGTAGTGAGCTACTTACCACGTAGTATCGAGGAATATGCAAAGGAGCCCTAGTCCCTCACATCTTGCAATTAATGTATAAAGGTTTTCCAAAATAAGACGCCACCAACCTGCAATTCAACGTTAATATCAACAAGGTATTGACTAGGATTCGCAAGCACACACAGCACCATCATGTTCCAATTAGCTTTTGGGTACTTTAATTTCGAGTCTCAAAAATTACTAAAAAGCCGTCCACCAAGACAGCAAAAACAACTGCCAGCCATCTTGTGTGCCCAAATCACAGGAGCAAAGCGACCTTCTCCAAGAAATTTTTGTAGGTATCCAGAAACTGAAACACATAAGAGATAGCAAAACTCCTTTTGCTTTCGACCGCTAGATTGTGTCCTGGGTAGGGAAGGAGCTGTTCAATGATGGCGTTTAGCAGTTGACCACTGTGCTCGTAACGGTATTATACTCATTACTAAAGCATGTGCTTTCGTTCCCGTAGCAGCCGATTGATTCGACCAGAGTTCAAGGTCGTGAAGACGGACCGGACCGGACTCAGTCATTGGAGGTATCATTGAAATGGCCTCTGTATATTGAGCCCACCGACATTGCAGAACGTTACAACAATAATAGCTCTCTGAGCAAACAGGACAAATGTCCTGCTTCGAGTCCATGGTGTGTCGCCTTGGGACCGTATCTCAAACTCGTCAATGTATCTGGAGCATGTTAGTCTCTGCACAGCGATGTCAAAAGGGTCATTAACGTACATACTATATATTCAAAGCCCAGGGAAAAAAATCGCCTGAGAATGGAGTCTCACAGAAAGAATATACGAAACCAGCCCATAATAAGCTCAAACCCATCGTCCACGTGCCCGAGAAGACCAGGATTGAGTAGCTGTAGACCAACTCCCGAATATAATGGATACTGTATCCCTTACAAACAGCGCGATATACCACATGCGCTACCTGGTAGAGACTTCAGGTACCAAAACTCCTCGCAGATTCACTGTTATAGATCCAAGAACAACTGCCGAGTCATACAGCCATCCGTTGGCACTTTGTATAAACTCAGGCAGTGGATTGTGTTGTCGTAGCGTTTGCGTCTATATATATCCATCCCTCCAGGACTGTCGTTGACCCAGACCCATCTGCAGTATGTATGTTAATACCCCATCATGCCAGCGAGGAAGGACCTATTCGTACATGTTATAAAACCCAAGACAAAAAGAGACAACGTCGGATCCTAGTACGTAGGCGGAGGCACTCTGCTTCTTCCGCCTGGATGTCCTATTGTTATGCGCAAATAAACCGGCTTGTTCGAGCTGTATGTGAATCTAGAGACATCAGTGAAATTGTACAAGAAATAGAGGGATAGAGCACTTTACCACATTCTATGGTAAGGGACTAAGATCCAGCTCTACCATCATGACAGACCCAGAATTATATCGAGGAAATAGTGAATATAAAAATCTATATAAAAGAAACATAGTGTGTATAGAGTAGACTCTGTATACGATGAAGGAAATCAGAGAAGGAATGAAGAAAGAAGAAAACGTATACATGCCTCAAACCTCTAACAAAAACCATCTAGCGGTGAATCAAATGCCCGAGCGATGCGTGATAGCGAAACTCATACATGCATAAATGCAGCAAACAAAGAGATCCCAACCCTCGATGCATTCATCATTTCCAGTTTCCGGCGGATTGTCATTCTTGTTCGTTATGATCCGTCTATCTTCGCGTACAAGCAACAGTCAACAATATTGAGCATTCTAAAGAGCAACGCGGGAGTTGCTCAAACTTACTAGCTCCAGTATCTTGTCCGTCGCTGTCGCCGTCGATTCTTGTCCATGCCCATCCGGGATATCACTACTCATATCACCTGAGCCCCGACACATCAAGCAAAAAGCAAAGCATGAAACGAACAGAAAGGGACTCACACGTGAACAAAAGAAGCAACATCCCCAACTTCAGTCATCACCACATCCCTCACCCCCGACACATCCGTCCCTCCCCCAAATACCACAACCCTCGACCACTCCAAAAACATCCTAACCTGCTCGAGCAACCTCCTCAATCCATCCTCATAACCCCTCTCCTCTCCCGAGTCCCCACTCCCAGCGCCAATCCCATTAACCCCATTTATACCTGGCGTATCACCCCCCCGCAAAACAACCGCATCAACATGTGTAACCCCCGCAAGAAGCAACCCCCTCACAGCCCCCGCCGCATCATCCTGCGCGAACAAATTAATCTTCACAGGGATCACAAGTGACGAGTCATGCTTTGGGAGGTGGAAGAAAGAGCTTGAGATTTCGGGCGTTAGGTAGCGGGTTGCTGCGAGGAGAGTGGTGTTTGGGCGGCGGAGGAGGGTTTCGGAGAGGGATTTGGGGAGAGCTGTTATGTTATTTTGCGGGTTAGTTTGTTTGCGTTGGCGTCTTTTTGCTTTTGGATCGGGGTGTGGTCGGCTATTAAGATTGGGGATAGAATTGAATGAAAGAGTATGGATGTGGATATCGTACCTTGGTCGGAGTTGAGGATTAGATATGTCGGCATATTGCTGTAGTATTATTCTTGATATTAATTCTAAGAGACAATAATTAGAAACAGAAAGGAGATCGACCACTCTATACATATTCCCGATAATATACATGCCCGACCACCAATTTGTCAACATTCACGCTTCTTTGTCTCCTTGCCTCGTATTAGCGTACTGTCGCCCGGTCTCAACGAGCGATTTGCGCCAAACAAACAATGAACTCGTGTGATAGTGTTTTTAGTGTGCATTGACTTATTACCCCATCGGGTAATAATAGTGAGAGCGATAGTCCATCCTGACACTGGACCATCACGTTCATCTGCTTGTATTCTCCGCATCGCGATTGCCCTTCTCCTTCCCGGCTTCGATCCGCTGTTTACCTTCCTCTTTTAACTTCTTGTCATCGTCCCGGTTCAGTGTAACCTGTGGCATAAGTACGACGGCGAGCACAAACGCGAGTGCCGAGAGCGCGGCGCCGATGATGAAAATTATCCGGAAACCCTTGCGGTATGCGGGGATGATTAGCGAGCGGGCATGCTCGGCTTCGTTGGCGGGGAGCTTGGAGAGGTAGTTTGTTGGGCTGGCGAGGAAGGAACGGGTTTCCTCGGAGGTGAGGCCGAGGGAGGAGATCGAGGAGGAGATTAAGTTGTTGCTGGTTGAGTTAGTTGTCTGGAATCTAGATGGTTGGGAGATAGGGAGCACATACATGATTGTGCCGGCGATGGCGAGGCCGAGGGTTCCTCCGAGGTTGCGAACGAAACTGTAGGAGGACGTGTTAGCTACCATATGGCCGTGCTGGTAATGAATGGATGCTTACTTCCGGAATGCAGTCACGACGGCCATTTCGCGTCGTTCGACACCAGCTTGTACGGCGATGAGAGCACTGTGCATGTAAGTACTTGGAACTGCACAAGGCAAATGAGAACTCACGGTTGCAATGTATTTCCAACACCAACGCCTGTCAAGATCCCGTATCCGACTTGCTTCCCGATTCCGGAGTTCTCATCCAGAGTCGAGAAGAGACCCAGACCAACAGCCCAGATTATCCATCCGAAGAGGATGCACTCCCGGTAGCGACCGACCCAATGCACGATCAGGCCGGAGACGGTGCTGCTCACAGCTGTTCAAATTAGCGTCCTGTCATAGGCGATATAACAGGGGACATACTCTGAAACAAGGTTATAGGCAGTAACATTGCACCTGCCTTAACAGTCGAATAATTGAACACCAACTGATAAAATGTCGGGATGTAATACACCTGCACGAGGAAGTTCCACCCATTGACGAACATCGTCAAACAAGCCCCATTCACAATCCTCGATTTGAAAATGTGCATGGGAACCAGCGGCGTCGACGCACCCTTCCACTGCCAGAGCACGAAACCAATAGATACAGCGATACCAACGACAAGCGTCGCGATGACATGCGCCGAGTTCCAGAGATACTCACCACCACCCCAGTTCAAACCCAGGAGTAGAACAGCAGTACCGCCCAGAGCGAGACCAGCACCGATAAAGTCAACAGCCTTAAGCTTGGCCTTCCAATCACCCTCTACTGCACGCAGCGGCATAAAGAAAAACACAGCCAGAACGCAAATAGCAGTGAGCGGCAGATTCAATCTGAAAATCCACCTCCACGAGTCCTCATCGATACTCGCCAAGGCACCTCCAATAACCGGCCCAATACCATTGGCAATGGCGACAACCGCGCCCAGGATACCCTGATACTTCCCCCGTTCTCTCAGCGGCACGACATCACTAACAATCATCTGCGCCACACTCATCAATCCACCACCACCAACACCAGTAAAGGCACGGAAGATGATGAGTTGCGTGGCAGACTGTGCGAGAGACGCGGCCAACGAGCCGAAGAAGAAGATTGCCAGTCCGACGAAGAGAACGAGCTTGCGGGACCAGATGTCAGAGAGACGACCGTAGAGTAACTGGAAGCATGTTGAGGTGACGAAGTAGCCGCCTGAGATCCAGGAGGTTTTGTCGCTAGCCCCCAATGCATTACCGATGATGGACAAACTGGCCGCGAGGGTGGTCTGGTCCATCAACGCGACGAGATCGACTGTTGAGCAGGCGAGGAAGATCTATCCGCGGGGTACATGGTCAGCATCGCTCAAACACCAACCAGGGTACGTATATAGGTACCGTGATAATAGTGCTCTTGGGAACATAATTGGTCTGCTCATTAAAAACAAACCCGCCGTTATTGCCATTGCCTTCAACAGGGGTCTCTGGCTGCGAGACTGACTGCGGCGTGCTTGGACTGGCCTGCTTAACCTCGACCTCGGAAGCCATGATGCTTGTCTGACCGTCACACTTTGACACTCAGATATCCCCCGAGATGTTGAAAAAGAAAAGAAAAAAACCGCACAAAAGCCGCACAGAAAACGCCGGAGCTTAAAACGTAACCGGTCCAATCTTCCGAATTCTTCACATTTCCGTCCCCTACCAAAATAGCTGTTTTCCTGCTGTCAATTTTTCCCGAGGAGTACTCCATCAAAGTGGACTTGTAGAAAACCGCCGATCTCAACGCTGCATCCGCAATAGAGATCTGCACCCAAGAGGTACGCTAAATTAAACCCGCTCAAACACTCTCACCCAAGGTCCTCTGCCTTTCTCGCTTGTAATGCTGCAAATCCTGTCGATTGCTCTTGGCAGTGAGTACCCTGCTCGTAAGGATAGAGATTGCTGGGTGTTGCTCACATCCTGTATAGAGTAACTCAAGGCTTCAGCCGACGTACAGGGCTGATCTTGACTGGATGGAGGATCTCGAAGTTTCTGGGCATTGGCCTCAAGGTACTTTTTTAATAATGTCTGGACTCGAATGGCGACATGTATTCCGTCGGCAAACAGCTTGCATACGAGTTCAGTGCGCGCTGCTGTCGGGTGTTTCCCGCGTATACCAAGAGCAGTAGTAGTTTCGCTGCCACTGGTATACGGAAGATGCTGTTATAGTGGGGCAGGTTGGCGCGGTTATTCGCAAAAAAGTCAATAGGACCAGGGCACAAGATAGGATTTCAGGGACGGGAAAATAAACGAGAAACAAAGAGGGGAAGCTTGTACGTGCAGGACTTTATAAGCTACCCCTCTGCTGTACTCTGTACTCCAACCCTAGGCGCCGTTTTTCTTCATCACTTCATATCAGACAAAATGGCCGGCAATGAACGAAATGTCTACATGGGCCCAGATGCCTTGAAAAAATACTTTGATCCGGACTCAGCGCCTCCGCTACCCTTGGTTGAGCTGCCGGAGCATCTGAACCCATTCTACAAGGATGGCGTCCGCATCTATGCAAAGATGATGACCATGCATCCAGCCAACAACGTCAAATCCATGCCTGGTACCACACCCTCCAATTCTAAAAAAGAAAAAAAAAAAAGAAGCGGCGTATCACAAATGTGCACTCAATACTGACAAGAGAACTTGCAGCAATGAACATGCTCCAATCAAGCGTGACCCCCTCCACCAAAACCGTCATCGAATACAGCTCCGGTTCAACCGTGATCTCCATGGCCATGATCGCCCGGGTGATGCACGGCGTCGACGACGTGCGCGCATTTCTGAGCAACAAAACTAGCGAAGCTAAGCTGCGCCTTATGCAGTTCTTCGGGCTCGACATCACGCTCTTCGGTGGACCCTCGCAGCCGGAGCCGTTTGATGAGCGCGGGGGTATCCAGAGTGCACGATCGATGGCCCTGGGGTCCAAGGAGATCCTTAACCCAAACCAGTACGAGAATGATGACAACTGGGGGGCGCATGTGCGATGGACGGGACCACAGATCTTCAGACAGTTACCCGAGATCAATGTGCTGTGCGCAGGGATGGGGACCTCGGGGACTATGACGGGTTTGGGCACGTATTTCAAGGATGTGAAGCCTAGTGTGGTAAGATTGGGGGTTTGTACGGCGGCGGGGGATAGGGTTCCTGGGCCGAGGTCGTTTGCGTTGATGGCGCCGGTTGAGTTTCCGTGGAGGGCGGCAGTGGATGTTATTGAGGAGGTGAACTCTTTTGATTCTTTCTCGTGGTCGCTAGATTTGTGCCGTGAGGGTATTGTGTGCGGTCCGTCGTCGGGATTCAATCTGAAGGGGTTGTTCCAGATGTTTGAGAAGCGCAAGGAAGCCGGGACTCTGTCTGAACTCGCCGGCCCGGATGGTCTCATCCACTCCGTGTTCCTTTGCTGCGACCTGCCATACCAGTATATCTCCGAGTACTTCTCGAAGCTGGGAGCTGACAAGTTCCATCCCATTCGCAATGAGGTACTTCCCCTTCCATATCGTCTCCCAGATCATCCCATACTCACAACAACAGGACTTGACAAAAGTCGACCTCTACCGCTACGACGAAAGCTGGGAGCGCAGTCCCATCGTCCTTTTCACCCACTTCTACGAATCCCCGAAGTCCCTCACCCAGAACCTCCTCTCCAACCTCGTCCTCCGCCCGCAGTGCTGCGTCCTTGACCTCCGCACCGCTCCCGACTTTTCCACCTGGCACCTCCCGGGCTCCGTCAACATCCCGCTGCAAAGCCTCAACTCTCACACCCCGAAACCGTTTTCGGATCCGCAGGTTCTGGAAACAGAATGGCGGGAATTGGATGCGATTTTCAGCGATGAAAAGGTCATCTCGCAATTAAAGGGACACCATGTGCTGGTGATTTGCTACAACGGCGACACCGCGAGAGTTGCGACGAGTGTGCTCCGGGCAAAGGGAATCGAAGGCGACAGTCTGCGGGGAGGATACCAAGCATTGCGCGACCACGGTCTGTGGACCGAGGGTGGTGTTGACGTCTCCGCGCCGGCGGAAGAGAATCACGAAATGCCCTATCCGGCGGCAGTCCCGGTGGCTTCGGGCTCGATGAATTGATTAATATCATAAGATTGTTATGTGTATATCCTCATGTTTAAAAGTGTTTATAGGTTGAATACGGATAATAGGAACGGAACCCGAATCCGCCGTCAATATCAGTAAAGGAAATGTGCGCAAATGCGCTCAGTACATCCCAATTAACTCCCGGCGCTAAAAGATTTAAATCTGCTCAATTGTGAGCATCGACGGGGGTTATTAACCAATCAACAATGACCGTTTCGAATGACCTTCGTCGCAGGCACGTGTTCTCGTATTCCCGATTCTTAAGTAGGAAGTATATCAAAATCAATGCTTCGTCCTCCTTTACTTTTGTAGAATAATACTACTGTATACTGCAACACGAAATGATGGACATGGACATGCCAGAGTCTGGCTCCGGGGGCGTCCCCTGGCTGGACCAGCCGGTGATGCTGCACTCTTCCCGCGCCGACAGCTGCTCCATGACTCCCGGACAATGCGCATATCGTAACTACCACTGGAGATATTGGTAGGCACGTTTTACTGCTTCCGGAAGCGATTTACTAACGGGTACAGGTACGAGGCTGACCACGTGTACTCGCTAAACACGATATATTTCTTCTGCGCAGCGGTCGGGGTCTTCGCCGTCGCCAATTTCCTGGCCAAGTATGCACCGGTGCAGGTCAGGAGGAGTGCGCTTTGGCGGAAGGCCACGGCGGGGTTACGGTATCTGGCGTATAGGGGGTATGAGTTGCCGGTGGTGAGGTATTGGTCGCCGAGTTTGGGTGTCATACTCCTGGGGCTTGCGGGAACGGTGTTCTTCTTCGCGATGACGCTCGGTCCGAAGCCCTATTACTGGCCGGAAGTACAGGCCAAATCTTACGGGAGTAGTCCGCCTCTTGCGACGAGAACGGGATGGATGGCTTTGGCGATACTGCCTTTTGTTTTGTAGGTCCGGAGAGTCTGGTGTGTGCTGCGCGGGCTGACTGGTGATAGGGCGTTCGGAGCTAAAGCGAACCTGATCTCTGCGTTGACTGGTGTGCCTCATGAGAAGTTGCAGGTGTTTCATCAATGGTCCAGTTATGCTATGTTCGTCCTCGGACTCATCCACACCTTCCCGTTCATCGTGTACCACATCCACAAGGGCGATATGGTTATGGAGTGGAATACGAGTTTGACATACTGGACCGGTGTTGCGACGCTCATTCCCCAGGCTTATTTGACGGTCATGTCGTTGCCTTCTATTCGGTATGTCGATGCTCGGACCTTGGCCAAGGTGATGCTAATTGTATAGGAATCGGTACTATGAATTCTTCAAAGCAACCCACTTCATCGTCGCATTGCTGTTTATCCTTTTCTTCTTTTTCCATTGCGATTTCCGACTATCATCCTGGTACGCTATATCCCGGTTTGTACATTGATATCCGCTAACACAACAAGGGACTACTTCATCGCCGCCGGCGCAATCTATCTCCTCTCCCTCTTCACAGCCCAAATCCGAACCTTCTTCATCCATGGCGTCCACTCAGCAACCCTCGACCTCCTCCCATCCGGCCTCCTCCGTGTGAAAATTCCAACCATCATATCATGGTACCCCGGCCAACACGTCTTCGTCCGCTTCTTCACTCTCGGTCTACACTCACTCACAACGCATCCGTTCACGATTGGTTCCATTGCCTACGACCCGGAAACAATGGGAAAAGCATCCGAGATTGTCTTCTATATCAAACCGAAACGCGGGGTTACGGGCCGTCTTGCCAGAATCGCTGAGAAGAGTCCCAGCTGCACAAGGAAGGTCCTGTTGGAGGGCCCGTATGGTGGTCTTTCCGAGACACGTCTCGGGCAGTTCGATCGTGTACTTGTGATTGCCGGTGGATCGGGTGGAGGCTTCTCATTATCCGTGCTCGAAGAAGCGCTGAAGCAACCTTCCCTTGCGCATGGAAATATCCAAATCGTCTTCGCGACTCGTCAGCAAAACATGGCAGATTGGTACATTGACGAAGTCGAAACGAAACTATCCACCTTTAACGCCCCCCAAAACAACCCCATCTCCATCTACATCACATCGCATAACCAACCTGACCCTGCCAATATAAAAACCAAAGAACCAGATGCAGACCCCGAACCCGAAACCGGACCAACCGACACCAAAAACAAGGAACTTTCTGAACCAAACACAACTTCCACCCCCACATATTTGGGCTCATACAGCATCGCCGTGAATAGACCCTTCCGGCCTAATCTCCCCGAGATAGTCGCTGCGGCTACCAGCGGAGAATCAGGGGAAAAGGTTGGAGTGTTTGTCTGCGGGCCAGCTAGTATGTTGCATGATACGCGTAACGCGGCTGCGCGGGCGCAGAGAGGGGTGTTTGGGGGGGGTCTTGAGGAGGTTTTTTTGCATACGGAGCCCTTTTCGTGAGTTTTCCTGGCCCTAGTGTGTGGGTAGATGATTGCTAACTGGTGATTGTAGGTGGTAAGCGAGTGTGTTGATATGTTGATGGAGTGGAATTGTGTAAATACATAAAAGTTATGCATCGGAAATAAATACTCTTGCATCCTTTATTTGGCAATTCCCCTAAACAAAGCCCTGTAGAATCATGCATTGGTGTCTGATCTATCCGGACTACTGCATGGTCTGTTTGCATCCAACACATTATCACTGACTATTAACCTCACGTCTAGTAGCTAGTAAATCAAAGGATATTCACTTTCTCAGTCAATCGAAATTTCCAGCTACATTTTCTCTTCATTCAATATACTTCTTTATACCGTATACACGAACGTCCTTAAACTTCATCATCTTCGTCTCCGTATATACCAACTTCATCTTTTTTGCACTTTTTATAAATACAAACTTCTTTTTTTGAAGAACTATATATCACTTATAATCTGTATTTGCTTCCCATCATCTAAGTCGGCGTTGCTCTGACCATATAAGCTTCTGGATATGATAAAGAGCATCAAGCTTTCTGGGAGTGCCATCTCACCAGGACAAATGGTGCCTGTTCCTGTCCACAAGGTCAATACCCAAACTGCATTCACTCCCTTATCATCCATAGTTTCCGGAAGTGAAATGAAGTTAAACCATCAGGAGCGACAGCGAGGGCTCGCAAAGTCTAAAGACCAACGGAATGCTTTTTCCCTCGGTACGGTGTTCAGAAATACCTACAACATCTAATTCACATCCATGGCACCAGAACCAACCATCACTATGGAACTCGACCTACCGTATGGTTGCGGAACTACCAACTGGAACGAGGCTGGAAGATTTCACGGTGCGTTGATGTAATAGTGGCCGCTGGTAAGCGCGAGAAACTATACCAGGTAGGCAGGCGTGGTTCTATTCTGTGAGTATCTCTCCTTTCTCTAAAGAGCATTCGATAATAACGTTCCCTCGACCATGCCAGAGCCCTACGCTCTTTGTATCGGGCATCAAATGATTTCATTCGAAGGCCCCGATTTTCAACGCATCTCATAGATTCCACACGTACCCAATGTTGCTACGGAATGGTTCGCTACCTGGTTAAATGCTCTTGGCCACTAACATTCGTTGCCAATAATTTGCACACTATGGTCATAAAAAGATCCAAATATCAGCACGATTGGTATTCCTTTTTGTCGACCAAGCCTCTCCTGAAACGCTTTTTGCTCCCGACGAAGATGATCGATGAAGACAAGAGAAGCACAAATGCAAAGCACAATAAGCAAAAGAGAGGGATTTTGAGCTGACGGCATCTACGAAGACGTGCGCAGAGCGGCCAAAAACTTTCTTTGGGTGTGATGAATAAAATATCCGATGACGATATACGCCGAATTTTATGCTGTTAGTATATTCCCATTAAAGGATCGATGATATGATGCTAGAATAGCGATGCGAATATAAACGCCTCATATAGTTCCCTTTTCCATTGTACTGGTCAGTGGAGAAGATGTGAGTTGCATGCTCAACAGCTATTACCTACATTAAACGCCAATATCGAGATCAAACCTTTTTGGAAAAGTTTAACATCATTTCCAACAAATGTCATAGCCCTGCGCTGGGTGCAACAAACATTGACTGCCTTCGGAAATGACAATGAAAGAAATTGCCAGGGCTTTGGAAAGGCATTCAAAGTGGCATGGAAGAGCCCAAGTGGAAGCCAGAGGAAAACGTGGTTGCCAAACCGCTAGACCAGGCCCAGTTTTACAAGTTCTGGCTACATCGCAGTCTTGACCGGTTCGCCGTACAACGCTTTTGTTTATTTCGCTTTGGGAGTTGCTGGTCTGATGCCATATGGTCAAGGGCTCTTGACCATTGGCCATCATGCACCATGAACCCTGCGTCATGGTCATGGGGCTGGGCCTGGGTTTGGAAAGAAAGCGTACATTGACGATATGGCACACGAAATGGGTTCCAAGCTTGGAACATGTTCCATAAAAGGACGCTCATGGGGAGAGCGGATTTTGGAAGTAAATGTTTCTACTTCCATCCATGCACAGAGCATTGCTTGTTTATAGTTATCTCTAGTATGCGTGTGATGAGAATAACATTCTCATACTAGAATCAGAAACCCAAGAGGAATTGGACAAGTAGGTACTTTCCTTGCATGGATTATATGTTAGTATCCCATTCCGTTCGAACTGAATACGATACTTAATACTATGCAGATATATAACAGCGATACTCACACCACATTCTGTGCAGAGCTTGAGGCGTTCTCGACATTGTCGACGGCTGTTGTCTCCTTACATGCTATTTGAATGACTTTGTAGCTCCCTCGATTATCAATTATCGACAAGTTTCGTCCTTTAGGGGGAATTTGATATCGATGTGACAACCATGTCGACGAGAACACATCATGAAATGTGGGCTATGTACTTGGCTATGGAATTGTTGATTCGACGATTCTGCGTAATTGTGGCTCCGAAACTACCTTTGTCCATGTCGTCGTCAATGCACACAACGCCCAAAGCTTTGGCCGCGTCTCTTAGTGACCGTGAGCGGGCAAACGCCACTGAAGATGAGGGAATGAAAAACAAAGCTACCAATACGGTGCCCGTTAACATGCTCGTGAGCACGCTCGACAACATGTCTTCTTCGACTGTCTGCACAGAACCCACCAGTGTGGTTATAGAATATTAACAACCTACAAGCAGATGGTGCGCGTGCGGCGCGTCTCTAGCCACATCGCTTGAGGCATCGCCCGTACTTATCACAACCAAGACTTCCATCTTGCCCCATCACGTCTCTTAGCGTCCACGAGGCCATCTTGTACATAACTGACTTGGCAGGAAATGGAAACAGAGACTCAAGGTATACGTAAAAGCTAGAGATGGCTTGGTGAGTAATCGCCAACATTCCAGGGAGCTTACCTTACCCTATTCTGACCAACTATATTAGGCCAATAGGTCATGGATTTTTGAAGTGGGTATCAGGGCCTATGGTCTCATATTTTATTGAATTTATGGCAGACAGGGAGAGGTGATGGACTGACGATTAACTTCACGATGTGGTAACTGGCCGTGTTTGCCAATGAAAGAGGTCATCAGGCTCAACATTTGGTCCCGCTATGGTCGTCTGCTTTGGTGCCATTGCAAGGTGCCGAGGAAGGCGACAGGTTTTAATGCATTACAAGTTGCATTTGCAGGAATGAACGAAGCTGCCTGCATGCTATTGTCATTATTTATCAATTCGTCGATACAGAGACGCGATATTTGTGCTCGTCTTGACAAAGAGGCATAAGCTGGGGACATTATGAAGTGACGGGATGAACTGAGGGCCTGTTTTTTCTCGTGTTCGCCCATCATGGAAGCATTGTCAGAATATTGCGACCAAAAACCCCCAGGATGATTGTCGCAGACCAGTACTTCCCAAAGGATATTGCACACATAGGGACTGAGGACTCAAAGATAAAAATCAATTGCACAATATAAGTTCTGGCTGGAATCCCGGTACTCCGGCCGCCATGTCTTGTCGAACGGTTGACGCATGCACTCGTCTGGCTCACTCGATATGTGAATACAGCAGCATACTCTCATTCCCGCTGTCTGCAAGACACATACATCTGAGGTATTTCCGGTTAATTATAAGTGTGTCCTACGGGGAAGCTTTTAATTATAGCTTCCCGACCATATTGATATGTGAAAAATACATCTTGCTACAACGAACCACCACGTGGTTCGGCCACTGGTACATATCACAAGTCTTCGAGCAGACTGGACTGGAAATGACCGGGATTTGCCAGATCGCGAGGCCCCGATTAGTGGTTTGCGAAGAGCCACGATCTGCTCTGGTTTGCGTTGGCCATGCCATAACCCGTCACCTGATGTTGTTTATGAACCTGCATGTCCACGATGCGCTTTTATCATTTTACCTCTGCTCATGATCCAACACTTTGAAAAGAAAACACAACTCCATTGTGCTGCTTGGGCTTTCAGAATGTTGGATGAAAGGCCATATTCTGCCCACTGAATGACTTTTGAAGAGTCTACGGGAGAGGTTTGTGGCTGACAAAGTGAGTTAAAAATCCACGTGGGCTTCATTACTTGATGGCTATTTCAAGCACGCCTTGTGTACGATGGTATTTTCATAATATTTCACACAAGCTCGGAACTGAGGGGAACATACTTTGCTAGGCTCATCCATCGATACAATTGTGTATCATAGTTGTAATGAAGATGGACAATGTTGTAAGTACACTCACCACAGATTTACTGTTCTTTGTAGCACTAACTTTGAGCAGAGGGTGCTTGATACTTCGCATTGAAGGCTGCAAGTGAATTGACATGACATAGAATGGATTACCACAATAAGGGATATTGCGCCAACTTTACCGTCATTATATATGGACTAGACACCTTGTGCATGCCTAGTCAATCTGCCTTGTCCTTGACTATGCTCAAGTAGCAGACACCGCGTGCAAAAGCTGTTGGGTGATAGAGCAAATAAAGCCGATTTGTGATGTTCAGCAGTATGAAACGCGCGATGATATATTTGGTTTATTGTCACTCAACGATACTCAACCGTGAAGTAGCAGAGATGCTAAGACAAGCTAGAGTGTTTGCTTTACTGATAAAAACATAAGGTCTATTTGCAATGCCCAAGACCGATGTTATTTTGACACCATATCTAGGATGCGTGTGGTAAATATACGGTAGCCAGTTACGCCTCAACAATGTGCTTTGATCAGCAGTACCCACGTCGTGTGCTACTGCTAGGGACTATAACATCTAAACACTCTACACGCCTCGCTCGCGGTTGTGTAAATCTATCAAAGCGAGATATGAGAAATAGGAACAGGATCCAACTTGCTATGGCCCAGACTTGTCAGCCACGGCCACAGATAAAATCTCTTCTTGTCCACCAGGTTTGTGGCCGGATCTAACGCTCCCTCACATTTTTTCAATGGCTGGTGCAACCAATCCCAACAGTCTCAGCCA